TCCCCTATCGTAAGTATAGAGTAGTATTTCCATCTGCTGATCTGTCTCAAATCCTCCGCGTCACCCGCGACCATTTCATCCCGACCGGCATTTCCAAACCCTTCCGGCAGTCAGGCAGGGAGTCAGGCATCCATTTCGCGTTGGAGGTGTTTGTTGTTGTAATTGTTGGAGAATCATCCTCAGGCAGGCACCTTCCCGCGACAAACAGCACAAACAGCCTAGTAAGGTAAGTACTTCGCTTACTCCAACTGCTGCTGAATCGCGCTAACCTGCTTCGGGACCAGCTCGGATCCGACGCGAGAACTGCGTCCCGCCCGCCCGGAGTTCCCAACTTTCCGTTCCCTCCACTTTGGCCTCTCTCTCTGTTCTCCCCCAGACTCCGCAATTTGCAATCTATCGCGACTACTTGCTCAAACGTCTCGTTCTTTCTCTCCCTGTCCAGAGATACATGCCATCGTGGAATATATTACCATAGTGTCCTTCCCCCCTCCCAGCATGAGCTCCGTCTCTACGACCGCACCTGCCCTGCGCCCGCCCTTGCCAAATTGCAATGGTTTCTCCTCGGGCCTCGGGTTCCCCCCAGGTTGAGAGGGCACCCTCTTTTGACAAAGCTTAGCTGAGATCGACCATTACGTTGAGATGGCATTACTTCATCCTCCGTGAAACGTGCACCTTTACGCTACTACTGTCCGCGATTGCCGGTCGGAGCAGAAACTGGACCATGCTGCTGCCTTCCCATCCCCGCTATTACCTAACAGATATCCTTCTCTATGGGCAAGCCGGGCTCACCTCCAATGCGGGGGCGCCATTTATTCATCCCCCGGATTCTCCTCGTGTGGAGATTTTTACGCTGGGAGTTCGTATCACCATCCTCTCTGGCCTTGGAATTCTCCCCACTGAGTCGATACCCCATACTCTGACGTCGGACGGTTGTCGCAAAGGGCAGGGATGGGCACCGGGCTGAATACTGTTGGGATGTATGTGGAGCTGGTGTTTGCCCTCCATTACATAAAAGAAAATGCTGTCAGTCTGATGCAGGAGCTCCTCCTTCTTGCTCTGTGGTGGGAAAGTGTACCTCCGCAACGGCAGATGCCCGGTTCATACCCCAGGTCATATGGAGATTGTCGCTCTCCACCCACAATCCACCTGTCCCGGCTTCAGGTTCCCTTTGGCCTCTAAACAAGCCTTTGGCGTTGAAGGGCCAGCCACCTCGTGCGAGTTACTCCAAATCCATACCCATGAGTGCGCTGCAATAGGTGAACCCCTCCCGTCCCGGCGACTGCCTCGAACGAGCACAGGCAGGTTCTAGACCGTTGTCCCCAGAGCTTTGTGCCGTCCGCGATGGATCTGTCTATGCGTGAATTCTCCCCTTTTTCGCCATCATGCGGTTTGTGTACCCTTCAAAACCGCTCTACAATCTCATTCACCCCTGGATCACCCGCACAGAACAAATGCCTCATTTGTAGAACCTCTCCACTACAGCCTAAGTTGCGCAGTGTTGAAACAAAGCCCCCAGATTCATAGACATCCGAACCCGGAGACAAGACTCCGATGCCGATCGTAATCTCTGATGCCTGCTACAACTCCAGGGTGTGATTTCACTATCTCCAGGTAGACCCAGTTGTCGAGGCGGTCAAGGCAATGATGAATTGAAAGTCAACCGTTCCATAGGATGCCCTTACGGATTATCTATCTTTCTCGGGGATACAGGATTGACGCTTAGTCGGTCCAAGACTAGCCGTTATCACATCCTGCTGCTTCGACTCAGCATTTAGGAATGCCGCTTGGCTTTTCGGTGGTCCGACCGCGCGGAACGATAGAAGAGCGCGAAGTAGAGCGGACTGCAATCTAACTCCAATGCTGTTTGATCGGTCTTATCTGGCTGGCCATTGAACATCAATCTAAATATCCTTCAGGTCCAGACAGACAGACCTCGTTGAATCGACATCCAGTCAATATTTCCACAAGGATGCCGGAACAAGTAACGGACAAAGTAGAGGCTATCCCCAGCCGCAAACGAGATCCCAGGATTCTCCGTTAAGACAACCCTGAGCCAGGTACTGTGCAGTTACCTGTCTTCATACCCTGCCATAAAGGATGAGCCGTCCAGGCTACACGGTCATCCCGTGGGAGTAACCAGGTTCAGGCAAGCCACGCCCACCACAGTGGTGAAACCCTGGCTCCCCCGCGGAGCACGGCTAAGGGTCGACTATGATGCGCGACGCATGCAGTAATGGTTGAATCGGAATGCAAGGGATGACACTTTGAGATCGCAACGGATGCAATGCTACTCCACTTCTCCCCCTGGATCGAAACATTCTCATGGGCGGCATCAGCCACATCCGCGGAGGCCCCGGGTGAGGAACAAGAAAAAACAAAGGTACACATTTAAAAGAAGGTACATGGAGTTAGGCTTGCCATGGACTTAAATTAGTGAATTCGTGGATGCACCTGCCGGATAAAGTTTCCGCTCTCTTTATTTTGCTATACCTTCAATTCATCTCAACTCAGCCAAGCAAATCACAATTTCCCGAAGAGAAGGAGGAAAAGGAAAGAATGGGAAGTATAGGAGACCTGCCCGTGGGGGTATTTCCCACGCTGGTACCCCCGAGCTCTAGTGGTCACACAGAATTCCATGCCTGGGAGATTTCCCCGGACATCCTCACAAATCTTCTGCAAAGCAGTATCCGAAAGGAAGTTGATCTGATAGTGCTGTTGCGTAGCATCTGGGCCATTGTTCTCCGCCAATATGTCGAGTCAGACGGGCTGTGCTTCAAGGCGGGAAGCATGACTTCAGCTTGCTCTGAGTTGGATATGCTGGTCTATCGAGCTGGCATCTCTTCACATGACACCCCAGAAGGTATCTGGAGACAGCAGCAAATAACGACCGGTATCAGTGCGGGAGGTCGGAACTGGGAGGTGAATACTGGTGTCTTTCTACTCAAGCTGTGCAGTGATAGGCAATGGAGAGCCAGAGCAATGGTAAGTGGCTGACGGGCGCATTGCAGAATATGATTATGGATGCTAACATCGTGAGAGTTGCAGCAAGCTGTGGATGCTTGCTTGGTTATGGAAGAAGTGGATGCCAATGCTCCTCGTCTCTATTTCCTGGCGAAAGCGACATTATTATCCAGACAGCAGGCTCAGTATGTTGCAGATACTGTCGCTCATGTCGCCTCAGAGATCCTGCGCAAGCCCAACCAGACACTCAGGGATACGGATTTCTTTAGTCCCCAACATGCACCAATCCTACACAAGTGGAACCACCGTACCTTCTGGCCTGGCGAGGGCGACACTCCCTCTTCCATCCTGGACGCCATTCGACGACATAGTCAGCGGAGCCCCGACGCGCTCGCTATTGTCGCTTGGGATGGCAGTATTTCCTACGGAGATCTCGAGGCACGCAGCACGTGTCTGGCAGAGTATCTGCGTCGTGTCGGTGTTGGCCCGGGTGTCATGGTGCCCCTGCTTCTAGGCCACAGCCAATGGGTCATCATCACCCAATTGGCCGTCCTCAAAGCCGGAGCAGCCTTTGTACCCCTGGAGCCATCGCATCCACAGGAGAGATTGCGATATATAGTGCGCTGTGTGAAAGCCTTCTTGATTGTGGCGTCCGAGGCGCATTGCGCTCGGGCTCAACAGCTGGTTGAGCAAGTCATCCCGATTAACGAGAACATCATGAATACAGTGCGTACCGCACTCCTGTCGACGGCGTACATAACTCCGACTGCAGACGCTCCGGCATATGTCCTTTTCACCTCGGGCAGTACCGGGCAGCCCAAAGGCTGTGTGATCGACCACCGTGCGATGGCCCAACTCCCCCATGATGGTGTAGCAGCGTCAGTGGGACCTGACTCACGTGTGCTGCAATTTGCGACCTATAGCTTCACCATGGCCATCTATGAGATATATTGGTGTTTGAGTAATGGCGGGACACTCTGTATCCCCTCAGACCATGACAGGTTGAACAATCTTCCTACCGTGATCGAGGAGATGCAAGTCACCTGGGCCGTGCTGACTCCGTCAGTACTGCGACGGCTGAGCCACGATAACCCCCCATCTAGTTTGCAGACGCTTGCCCTAGGCGGAGAGCCGTTGGCTGCCGGGGATATGGAGGCCTGGGTGCGAAAGCTGCAAGTGTTTTTCGGTTATGCGTCTAGTGAAGGGACGGCACTGAATTGCCTGACGGAGCTGAGCGAGCAATCACATGCCTTAGAGTATACGCCTACCCCCCGGGTTCGTCACTGGATCGTTGATCCCGACAACCATGATAAACTCGCGGCAGTGGGCACAGTTGGGGAGTTGATCGTTGAGAGTCCCGGACTCGCCCGCGAATACCTGGACAATCCAACCGCTACTGCCGCCGCATTCATTCAAAGTCCCGACTGGAGAAGGTCATTTCGATTTTCCCAGGATGCGAGCCAACCGATCCGTATGTATAAAACCGGAGACCTCTTCCGCTATACGGAAAGGGGCAACCTGCAGTACGTTGGCCGGAAGGCCACGCAAGTCAAGATCCGCGGCCAACGTTTGGATTTGGGAGAAGTCGAATACAACGTCAGCCAACAGTGTCCTGCACCCGCCCGAGTGATTGCAGAGACAGGGGTCCCGAGAGATGGGGCAGGGACAATGTTACTAGTCGCGTTTCTTTATTCGGACAACTACACATTAGAGCAATCAGAAACGACGCAGTCAGATGAGGCCTCTCTATTTGCTGTCCCCTCCGATCAGTTCCGCGCCGACATGAAGATTTTAACACAAGCATTAGAACCATTGTTACCGGCCCATATGCTTCCTGGCATCTACATTCCTCTGCGACGCTTCCCATCGACGTTGACGGGCAAAGCCGACCGTCGTCTGTTACGCGAACTGATCCAGCAGCACACTCGTGGCGAGTTGGAGCGTTACCAGTCTGTGACGACTAATAATGTAGCGCCTCCAAGCACTCGCCTGGAGCGAGACCTTCACGGCCTTTTCGCCGAGGTACTGGGGATAAATGCTCAGGACTTCGGGATTAATCACAGCTTCATACGTCTGGGAGGAGATTCTCTCGCCGCGATGAAGCTGGTCAATTTGAGCCGTAAGCTAGGCCTGCGCTTGACAGTCGCGCAGATTATGGAGAGCAAGACTGTTGCCAAGCTGAGCAACACAACGTTGGCCGACGAGTCTTCTGTTAGCACGATAATCCCTCTGAGGGATGGCCCTCTCGAAGCCAAACTTCCGCTCGACTTTTGGGAAGGTATCGAAGAAGAACACATCGAATCCATTTCCAACTGCTCCACCATCCAGCAGGGCATTCTATTGGGACACATTCGAAACCCAGCCCACTACCATAATCGAATAGTGTGGGAAGTCCTTGAGCCCCCTGCAGCACGAGATATCGATCGAATGCGCCGTGCATGGGCGCACGTTTGCCGCCGTCACCCCATGCTACGTACCTTTTTCGTGGAAGCTCCAGCCGGAAACAGCTCCCTGGCGCTTCAAATCACGCTGAAAGTGTCCCGCTTCCGCCCTGAGGATGTGGATGTGTTGTATGAGGAGCCTGAACAAATGCCCAGCACGAATCCCACTCTAGCCTCTGAACAGCCCCTACAGTGGATTCCCCGATTACGAATCTATGAGGCTACCGGCAATCGGCTATACTGTGCAATCGATATTCATCATGTTCAGGTGGACATGATCTCCTTGGGGATAATTATCCGAGATCTGAGGCGTTGCTATCTGGATGAGACTGAGTATGTTGCAGCGGGCGACGTGTCTGAACCCAACAGTGTGTCATACACCGACTACACCCAGTATCTCGTTGCATCCCAGTCAGCGGAGAGTCTCAGTTACTGGAGAATTCGCCTAGCTCATACGGAGCCGTGTATATTTCCCCGCCTGCAGCAGGGCCCGTTTGAGGCCGCTTCGTCAGCCCTTTGCAGTGTAGAGCTCCCTCTGACGCCGATAGCTGACCATCTGCAGTCATTCTGCAAGGATACGGAAGTCACCGTGGCCACGGTGTTCAAGCTTGCCTGGTCACTGGTGCTAAGCGCATATACTGGGTCTCGCTGTGCCTGTTATGGTTCGGTGACGGCAATGAGAGATGTCCCTTTAGCGGGTGTCGAAGATCTGGTCGGGCCACTAATCAACACGCTGCCGTTTTGTGTGGAATTGAACCCTGACGAAAGAGTGATGAATGTGCTTCGACGGGTCCAAAATCTATTCCTCGAAGAACTACCACACCGACAAGTATCCATTGCAGAACTTCAACATTCCCTAAATAATAGCAGCGGTACTCTCTTCAACACCACAATGAGCTTTGTCGACAGCTTAGACCCTGCAGCAGATTCCCAACACCCTATACGATTGGTCTCCTGGTACGGACCGACTGAATATGACCTCGTAGTTGAAGTAACTCCAGGGCCCCCCGTCTCGTGCTGCATCAGATACTGGAGCCATATGATGTCCGACTGGCAAGCATCCGCTCTCGCAGATACTCTAGCCATGTCGGTTTCGCAGATTCTACGTGGTGCATCTTCAGGCCAGTCCGTCGGAAGCCTCGATCTATGTACGGCCCGAGATAAGCAGAAGCTCGTTGAATGGAATGGGTCTCCCCCGGAGGCCGTGCGGGTGCGTGTGCACGATTTGATCAAGGCTCGATGCATCGAGCAGCCAGATGCCTTGGCGGTGTGGGCCTGGGATGGTGCTTTGAGCTATCGGGAGCTCGACTGTCTTTCCTCGAATCTAGCTAGAAGGCTTATGGCCCGTGGGGTCGGGCCTGAAGCGTTTGTCGGTATTTGTTTTGACCGGTGCAAATGGACGTTGGTATCGGTTCTAGCTGTCGCCAAAGCTGGGGGTGCATTTTGCCTGATGGACTCGTCGCATCCGACATATCGCCTGCGCGAAATCTGTGATGCCTTGGGAGCAAATTTAGTGATCACGACACCAAAACATGTCGCAAAGGTATCCAAATGCGAACGTCCCTTGTTGGTAGTAGTGGAGGGTGTGTGTTCTGAAACAGACGATTTGCCAGGTGGATTGGGGTCCGAATATCGTGACACACTTCCTCGAAATGCCCTATATGCAGTCTTCACATCCGGCTCGACGGGAAAGCCCAAAGGCGTCGTTATCACACACGAGAATCTGGCTGCAACAATCAAAAATTGCCCTCAACGGTTGGACCTACGACCAGGCGATCGGTCTCTTCATTTTGCGTCTTACGCCTTTGACTTCAGTATCATCGAGGTTATAGTTCCCATGGTAGTGGGGGCCTGCGTCTGCATTCCATCGGAGCATGACCGTTTGAATAATTTGCCCAAGGCCATGGCGGACCTTGCGGTAACCTGGGCGATTATGACCCCGACGGTGTCTCGGTTACTAGAACCTGCCAGCCTACCCACCCTTCGAACTTTAGTCCTTGGAGGAGAGGCAATCATGCCTTATGATTTCACGACCTGGCAGGGTTACACGACCCTCATCAGCGCATATAGTCCGGCTGAATGCACGCCGATTGGACTTTGCACTGTGGTTCAGGCGGATGATCCGAACTGTTTGGGCAAGCCATTCACTTCTATGTCGCCCTGGATCGTTGACCCAGAAAATGTTCAGCGGTTGGTCCCGGTCGGTGCTGTAGGAGAGCTCGTCATAGAAGGGACCGTCGTCGGTCGAGGCTATCTACACGATGCAGAGCACCGTGATATAGTCTCCTCACCGTTCATCCCTCCGACTCAGTGGCTATCCCAATATCGAACCATCGACGTGACTAACCCTTCGCGCTTATATCGCACCGGGGACCTTGTCCAATTTACTGAGGACGGGGCGGTACGATTTATCGGGCGCAAGGACTTGCAGGTCAAGATCCGGGGCCAGCGACTGGAATTGGGCGAAGTGGAATCTCGACTCCGAAGCTACCTCCCTTGGGCTGGCGCAATTGTCGTCGAAGCTGTTGTCTTGAAATCCCCCGGTGGTCGCGCAGTACTGGTCGCCTTTATATCCATTAACTCCCCAGATGTTACAGACAACGCCGAGACAGTGTGCGAGATAGCCGGATCGTTTGATAATGATGACAATAGTGTATATCAGCGTGATATCGATAAGGCTCTTTCACATCTTGGGGATGAGCTACCGAACTGGATGGTCCCTTCGGTGGTTCTGAAGGTGCAGGGCATCCCAATGACCAAATCCGGAAAAGTTGATCGACGCAGACTGCGACAACTAGCTACCCTGATTCCCCGAGAGACGCTAGGGGCCTCTAATGTCCATAGTTCTCTTCGTCAAGCTCCAGTCACCGAAGAAGAGAGACGGCTACAGATGGCTTTCGCGAACATCTTGCAAATGCGGCCTGAGGAGATATTCGCTGACAGTCACTTTTTCCAACTTGGGGGTGATTCTGTTGGAGCCATGGAGCTGGTGGCAGCGGCGAGGCTACAGAATATGGGAATCAGTGTCAGTGAGATTTTCCAGCATCCTACATTGAGTGAGCTGGCAGCGGTGGCAACCAAGACCATGGATGAGGAGACTTCTGAGATTCCGCCCTTCAGCCTTCTACCCAGTGACTACGAATCGGATATCATCTCATCCGCTCTAGAGCAATGTGCTCTATCGCTGAATGACTTGGGTGATATCTATCCGTGTACCGCCTTTCAGGAAGGGTTAATGGCCCTTGCCAGTCAAAAAGCTGGCAAGTACGTCTGTCAGTGTCTATTTGAGCTCGGACGTGATGTTGAGATAAATAAATTGAAGACCGCGTGGCAAGCAACAGTGACTGCCAATGATATCCTCCGCACCCGGATTATTCACGTTCACCCGCACGGTACCTTCCAGGTGGTCCTGACGCCAGCCGCAGCTCCGATTTTGTGGCACAGATATGAGACCGTCAATGAATGGCGCAAGAAGGATATGGAACTGAACATGGAACTGGGAACCACATTGGCTCGCTTTAGCATCCTCAGCTCGGCCCAGGGACAGACACTCGTAGGTGTCTCTCTCCATCATGCCATTTACGATGGCGTCTCCCTGCCCCGACTCTTTGACCAGGTGCAAAGGGCATATCAGAATGAACGTCTACCCCTCAATAAATTCACACCCTTTATTCGCTCTCTAATCTTGCAGAATCCTAAGGATGTTGAAGAATTCTGGCGCACCGAGTTCCATGGTCTTCAGACTTCGGTATTCCCAGGTTTGCCCGAGCCTGGATTTGTGCCCAACCCTACAGCGAGCGTGGAAAAGGAGATCAGGCTCCCACGGCCACCGCACCTGCCAAGTGTTACCCTTTCAACAGTAATGAGGCTGGCATGGGCACTGCTGGTATCATATTATACAGATTCTGAGGATGTGGTCTTTGGCGTCACCGTCAGTGGTCGAGCGCGGTCTGTTCCTGGGATAAACCTTCTAACTGGCCCTTCTATGGCCACTGTTCCATTCCGCACGCGAATTTGTCGTGATAGTCTACTTCTGGACGCTCTGCGTGATGCTCAGGACCATTCCATGCGCATGATTCCCTTTGAGCAGGCAGGTCTGCAAAGGATCCGAGAGCTCAGCGATGAAGCTAGCGTTGCCTGCGGATTTCAGTCACAGTTGGTCATTCAACATGGCGAGCATAGCCAGGCCTCCCCTAACATGATGATACTGCGTGATCAGTTTGCGGATCATGCGGCGTTTCTCAACTACGCACTGGTTATATTGTGCACCCCATCAACGGCACATCAAACCGTACGCGTGAACTTTCAGTTCGATCCGCAAATTGTACTGCCGGCGGTCGCAGATCGACTGCTGAGCCAATTTGCCCATATCGTGGATCAGATGTGTGCGCCATCTAGCTACAACGCTAGGCTCGGGGGCCTCGAAACAATAACTCCCCAAGATTGGACCTCGCTGCGGCAATGGAACGGCAGCCTACCAGCCGCATACCCTCATCCGCTTCATCATCTCGTACTGTCGCAGGCGGAGACCACACCCGACAGGCGGGCCGTGGAGTCATGGGATGGAACCTTGACATATGCTGAATTGAATGATCTCTCGGGAAAGCTAGGGCAGCATCTGTTGAACCGTGGACTGAAACAGGGTTCACGGGTGGTTCTCCTTTTTGACCGCTCCCTCATATCGGTTGTGACAATGTTGGCAGTGCTTCGGTCAGGAGGCATATGTGTCAACATTGACCCATCTCTACCGCAGACTCGCATTACCCAGACAATACACCAAGCACGGCCCTCAGTGGCATTGGTATCATCTACATATCAGTCGCGGCTGGCAGATGCATTGCCGGTTCCTGTCCTCACGATTGCACTGGATACCATACCACGAAGCGCAAAGAACATCCCTTGGCCACTTGTGCGCTCTACTGACCTTGCATTTATTCTCTTCACTTCCGGTACCACGGGAAAGCCCAAAGGCATCATGGTAGAACATGGAAATTGCGCTACCGACATTTTTCACTACAGTGCTATCTTGGCCGTCACCCCGGAAATAAGAACACTACATTTCTGTAGCTATGCATTTGACTTGAGTATCTACGAGGTTCTGACACCCTGGATGCACGGCGGATGTCTGTGCATCCCATCAGAGTCTGCACGGCTTTCAGATTTGCCCGGAGTCATCCAGAAATACCACGTCAACTTCGCAATCCTGACTCCATCCGTGGGGAGTGCGCTACATCCAAGTGACCTTCCCAGCCTGCAAACCCTCATCCTGGGTGGTGAAGTGATGCCTGCGGTGATGTTCGACCGCTGGGCCTCTCATGTACGCTTGATCAACTTGTATGGCCCAGCAGAGGCCACCCAGTGTGCCGCTCTCCACCTGAAACCCACAGACGAGTTTGTGCCAGGACTTATTGGTGCTATGGTTGGCGCCTCGGGCTGGGTCACGGTCCCTGGCAGTCCAAATTGCCTCACCCCCATTGTTGCGGTGGGCGAGCTCCTGATAGAAGGCCCAGCGGTAACTCGGGGCTATTTTGACGAAATGGAACAGACGCAAGCATCATATATCGATCCGCCAGCCTGGTTGCAGGAGTTTCGCGGGCCTGCTGAGCCTGGCCGCCTCTTCTGCTCTGGAGACCTGGTGCAGTATGTACCTAACCGGCCAGGTTGGCTGCGCTACATTGGACGCAAGGATAAGCAAGTCAAAATCCGTGCACAAAGGGTCGACCTGACGGAAGTCGAGCACCATGTCGATGAGCTACTCCCACCAGGCAGTCAGGCAATTGCCGAGGTCCTGTTCCAGCACTCGTCTCCCCGCCAATCGAGCCAGCTTGCAGTATTCTTGGCCTTTGGTGAACAGTTAACCAACAAAATGGACATCATATGCGCCCTCGATGAGCCATTCAGAAGATTAATAGCTGAAATCCACCCACAGCTTCAGAAAAGGCTCCCTTCTTACATGGTCCCCACCCTCTTCTTTCCGGTATCTCACGTTCCTCAAACACCCACCGGTAAGACCGATCGAAATCGGTTGCGGCAGTTGGTAGAAGGGTGGACGACCGAACAGCTGCTGCCATATCATCCGTTCAGTACAGATTCAGCGCGTGCGCCAGTAGAGACGGCTGAGGAGCGCATCTGGCAGCACATGTGGTGCGAGGTACTCTGCATACGTCCCGAGAATATCGCCAGAACTAGTCATTTCTTTCACCTTGGCGGTGAGTCTGTTAGAGCGATGAGGTTGGCCGGGTTGGCACAACGTGAGGGATGGATCATTTCCGTGCCAGATATTTTCGCTCATCCGACGCTATCGGAAATGGCGAGTCTCGCTGTACCCTCCCCCAAGGGTGTGCCGGTTCCATCTCCAGACCGTTTCAGCCTGGTAGGAAGCGGAAGGCGGGCATCATATCTGGTTAATATGGCGACTCACCAGTGCAACGTCACCAAAAGTGAGATAGAGGATATATATCCTTGTACCCCGCTCCAGGAGACTCTCATAGCCTCAACGGTACAAAAAGGAGGCTCCTACCAAGCGCTGGAAGCCTTTGATCTGATAGCCGATGTGGATTTGGAACGCTTGGAAATGGCGTGGCAAAAGACAGCGGCCGATCATGCTATCCTCCGCACGCGAATTATGCAAGACTATACCGGCGAACTGTTTCAGGTGGTAGTCAAAGGTCCGTTAGCATGGACCGCGGAACAAGCGGACATAAACCCTGAGAATGGGTTACTGCATTTCCAGCGTACCATGGGCATTGGGACACCCTTGATTCATCTAGTCCTTCTACAATCTCCCGGATCCACGATACCCGATCGTCTCTTGCTCTCGATACATCACGCATTGTACGATGGATGGTCCCTGCCCCTGTTGCTCGAGGAGGTCAATCAGAAATACATCGGCCCATATCGGGGCCAAGACACAACCGTGCCTTTCAACGTATTTGTCTCGCATGTAATTAAATCCATGGACAGGTGTTGTCATTTTTGGAAACAGGAGTTGGAAACGAAGACAGAAGCTCGACTATTTCCACGTTTGCCGGACGGGGCATACGAGCCACACCCACAGGCTATTTTGCAGGACCAAGTCTTTGTTAGCCCGACGCGGAATGAATCTGAGATAACCCTCGCAACCATGGTCCAGGCATCTTGGGCATTGACAGTGAGTTGCTACTTGAACGCAAGCGATGTAGGGTTCGGGATCACCACCTCTGGACGAGCTGCCCCTGTTCCGGGAATCGATCGACTGTTGGGACCTACGCTGGTTACATTGCCCCGACGCATACATATCCAGAACACCCTGGATATCAAACTTTTCCTACGGCAACTACAGCAGCGCTTTACGGAGCAGTCCAAGTATGAACACATTGGACTGCAGCAGATTCGCCAGCTAGGGCCATCGGCGGCCAGCGCGTGTCGCTTCCAGACTCTCCTAGTCATTCAGCCCGACCAGCCAAAGCGCCAGCTGGCTTGGGCTGGAAACCACCAGAGTGCGGCCGAATTGACGCAGTTTAGCAATGTTGCGTTAACCCTGATCTGCCAGCTCCCCTCTCCCTCCTCGACGTCCATTGGCCTGACAGCAGTTTACGACCCTCGAGTACTGGCACCCGCACAGATGCAGCGGGTTCTGTCGCAAGTTGGCCATGTCTTCAGAGAGTTACAGGATGCTCCAGACGGTGTTCCCATCGCCTCGCTCAATATGCTGAACCCCAGTGACTCCGCAGAACTGCAACAGTGGAATAAGCTCACTGTTCCTACTGGAAAGCATCAAGATCAAGAATTTGTGCATGACATGATACGGCGGCAATGCCAGCTTCAACCAGACGCCGTAGCCGTTGAGGCATGGGACGGAAGCCTCACTTATGAAGAGCTGGATTCCTACACGGAGTACCTGGCTGCGAAACTGCAGCTATGTGGTGTTCGCAACGACCACTTCATTGCTCTCTACTTCGAGAAGTCATGTTGGACCATTGTCGCCCAACTGGCGGTCCTGAAAGCCGGAGGGGCCCTAGTGATGCTAGAGCCTTCTCATCCCGTTGATCGCCGTCGGGAGATTTGCCAGACTTTGGATGTCATGTTAATCCTTGGTCCTCCTCACCTCACTCATTCGTTGGAACAGGAGCTCAATATCAAGGTACTACCTATCAGCAAGGCTCATCTCAAAGCGTCGGATGGGGAACATCTATCAGTCGACAGTCATATACAGTCTCATAACCTCATGTATGCCATCGCTACATCCGGGACTACTGGTTGTCCTAAGCTCGCATTGGTTCATCATGGCGGTTTTGTTGCCACTGCAAGGACCTTGGTTGATAGGCTCCTCTTACTGGCATCGTCTCGGGTGCTTCAATTCTCTAGTTACGGATTCGACGCAAGCTTAGTGGAACAACTGCTTCCGTTAATTGTAGGAGGCTGCGTCTGTGTTCCCACCCCCTTTGACCGTGATAACCGCCTAGCGTTCACGATGGCGACCATGAAGATCAATTGGATGGTTGCACCAGCATCAGTGATTCACCTACTTTCACCTGATACGGTCCCAACACTACAGACATTAATATCTGCGGGTGAGCCATTGCAGCAAAGTATAATCGATGTGTGGGCCACTCGAGTCAACCTCATAAATGCATACGGCCCAGCAGAGTGCAGTATGGTGTGCTCGGTCAACCCAAGCGTAAGGCCGGGAACCGATCCGAACAATATCGGATACCCAATTGGTGGCACCTGTTGGATAGTAGACCCAAATGATATCAACACCCTTTTGCCAATTGGTGCTGAAGGAGAACTCCTGGTGGAAGGGCCGAACGTCGGTGTCGGATATGCGAAAGACCCTCGGCGCACAAGAGTTGCATTTTCATCATCACCGCCTCACTGGCTCCGCTCCATTCACGGAGAATCAGTCCACACTCGAATATACCGCACAGGAGATATCGCTCGATATAATCCCGACGGATCTGTGCTTTACGTGGGCCGTAAGGATTCACAAATCAAATTACATGGGCAGCGGATCGAGCTCGCCGAGGTGGAACATCATGTCAGGCTATGTTTCCCAGGCGCCATCCAGGTAGTTGTTGAGATGGTCAAGTTTGACGATTTTGAAACTAGCTCCCTCGTTGCCCTCATCGTCGTGTCTGGCTCAGGCTTTCCAGCGTCTGGATCAAACATCCTGCTCCCAACAACCACAAATTTCCTCAACAATGTTCAACACGCGGAAGCACTCCTGCAGGATCGTATCCCACCCTATATGATCCCGACGCTGTTCGTACCGGTGGCACAGATTCCCTTCAATACCAATGGCAAGGCAGATCGTGCTCGTCTGAGAACCTCGGTTGCTTCTCTGTCCATCCATGATCGTATAGGCTATCGCTCCACGGCCACAACAAAGCCTAACACAGATCTAGAAATTGTGCTTCATGGAATCTGGTCCCGTGTTTTGCGGATCTCACCTCAGAAGCTTGGCATCCATGAAAGCTTCTTTCGGGTAGGCGGCAATTCTATTAGCAGTATGCAACTAGCGGCGCAGTGCAACGAGGCTGGCCTTCCAATATCCATCCAGGATATCTTCCGTTGCCGAACAATTTCGCGGTTGGCGTCATCATTCAAGGGTCATCCTGTCCAGGCGGACAGATCTTTAGAAGCACATAGCCAGGATGGATCACTGGGCCCAGTGCAGCGGCTGCTGCCTGAAGTAGGGCACCCCAAGGCTCCAGTGGATTCTACTCTTGCCGCCTTCACTGATGGCCAGTTCGAGGAGATAAATAACGGCATCCCGGCTGGATATGAAGGGCAGATACAAGATATCTACCCCTGCTCCCATGCACAGCAGGGCATGCTCATCAGCAACACACGCAACTCCAGCCTCTATCAGCAAGTCTATCGCTTTGAAGTGGTTAGAGGTTATGATGCGCCCAACGTTGACTGTCAGCAGTTGGTAAGGGCGTGGCATGCGGTAGTCAAGCGACATGGAGCCCTGCGGACCGTTTTCCTTGATATACCAGGGAGAGGGTTCCACCAGATCGTGCTCGTCAATGCAATAGACAATGTCATAATTGCGGCTGACGGCAACCATAGCAGTACATGTACCCAAAAGAGACCTGGTACACAAGACCTGTATGGTCCTTTACCAACTCTAATTATTCACCAGGAGTATGATGAGCGGCTTTGGATCGAACTGCATATAAGTCATGCTCTTCTAGATGGAGTGTCACTGCGAATCATCGAACAAGACCTCGTGAAAGCATACTACAACAACCTACCCTCTTCATTACCTGACTATCGGGATTACGTCACCTATCTGCGGGCAAAAGGAGATACGGAAATGTCATTGAGCTACTGGAAAAAATACCTGGAGGGTGCGCAGCCCTGCCTCTTTCCACGCCTCCGTGACTCTACAGCAGCAGTGACAGACGTGTCGGAGCCAAAGGCGACAGTCGACTTCGTGTCGCTTGACTTGGGCCCTCCGAAGTCTCTTGATCAGTTGTGTGAGACTCATTGCCTGAGCCTTACCGCTATCTTGCATGTAGTTTGGGCCATTGTGCTGCAGCAATATACCGGAACGGACAGCGTGTGCTTTGGATATGCCACATCCGCGCGGCATGTCCCCATCCCTCATGTGGATGAAATAGTTGGTCCAATGATCAACACGCTGCCCAGTCAAATCCAACTCTCTAGGGATTCATCAGTACTGTCCACTTTACAAAAGTACACCGTTCACTTCATGTCCTGCATGGAGCATGCCTACGTCTCACTTGGACAGATATTACACTCGGCTATGTCCAGTACACAATCACCCTTCAACACAATGATAACTATTGTTGAGACTGGAGATCGTAGAGACGACGCTGATGGATCCTGCTTATCGTTGGTTTGTATGGATGGACATGGGGAGACAGAGGTATGCATCCCCGTATTCCTACACGGCGAACCTGACGACTGACTGCTCCCTTCACATCCCTCAGTATGCGTTGGCCTTGACTGTTTCCAAAGCATCGAGCCGCATGGATTTGCACCTTTCATACCAAACATCCATGGTCAATGCTTCTCAGGCCCATGATGTGTGCCTGATGTTTCAAAAAGTCCTGTGTGAGGTCTTGGAGTGGCCCACGGCCAAGATTGGTGCCATTGATGCCCTGAATATGGGTCAGAGACAGCGCATGGAATCGAGGCAGCCTACCCCACCGGCTGCTGCAAATACATTGATATACGAAACCATCAATCGGCGATGTGCAGAGCAACCATCCTCATCAGCCGTCTGTGCCTGGGATGGTGAATTTACCTACGGGGAAATTGATCAGCTCTCATCAGTATTGGCGGGAGAGATCCTTGCCCATGGAGTTAAACCGGAGGACCCGGTTTTGGTATGCCTTGAAAAGAGCCGCTGGGTTCCGGTGGTTATGCTGGCAGTCTGGAAAGCCGGGGCATGCTTAATTCTTCTGGATGCCACCCATCCAACTACCCGATTGCATATGATTGCCAAGCAATCTGCCGCATCACTGGCAATTGCAAATAGAAGTACGCGCTCCAAAGCAAACATCCTGTGCTCACGAGTATTGCAAGTCGATGATGACCGCTTGTGGACTCGACATGTTAACTCCTCGCGGGCCGAGATGGTTCATGTTGACGGACACAGCGCTGCATACATTATATTCACATCTGGCTCGACTGGAACACCCAAAGGGGCTGTGATTGAACATGCTTCCCTTTCCATTGCGTGGGAGACCCTCATTACTCGACTACAGTTAAACCCGACATCGCGTGTTCTACAGTTTGCCTCCCATTCCTGGGATGCGGCAATCATCGATGTTATGGCCGCATTGATGTCAGGAGGCTGTCTCTGTGTACCCTCGGAAAACGAACGTATGGGGCATTTGGCCTTAGCTGCGAATCGTATGCGAGCCAATTGGATGCTACTGACCCCAACTGTCGCCCGTCAGCTTACTCCTAGCGAGTTTCTTTACCTCGAAACGCTAGTCCTTGGCGGCGAACGGGTCAATACAACGGACATTGAAGTCTGGCATGATAAAGTCTGTCTCCTGAGCGCATATGGCCCAGCAGAGTGCACGCAAATCACGAGCGTGACGAGGCCGTTAGATATGACCTGTGATGCGCGGAACATCGGCGTCCCAAATGCCAGCGCTGGATGGGTTGTACGTCCGGACGACCCTGAACAGCTCGTCCCCGACGGAGCCATTGGAGAGTTACTTATTGAGGGACCCATTGTGGGCCAGGGCTATTTAAATGAGCCTCAGCGTACCTATCAAGCCTTCATTGAGGCCCCCAGTTGGTTGCAGGCCATTCGCTCCCCCGGTACCATTCGGGTCTACAGAACTGGGGACCTGGTTCGGTTTGCAGCTGACGGGTCACTCATCTTTGTCGGACGCATGGATGACCAGGTGAAGCTACACGGCCAGCGGTTAGAGCTGGGTGAGGTTGAACATCACGTTCAGCAGGCTTTCGCTGCATCGCTTACGGTGATTGATCTCATCCAACCCAAAGAGGAGCAACAAATGGGTCCGTTCCTCGCAGCATGTATCTTCTCTCCCGGCCATGCTTGTAAATCACCATCTCATGCCGGCATTTGGGAGCCCCCTTCAGACACCTTTCGAAAGAAAGTTCAAGAGGCTAGAACAGCATTGTATCAGAGCCTGCCTTCATACATGGTGCCTTCTGTGTTTCTGCCATTGGCATACCTGCCCAAATCAACGACAGGAAAAATTGATCGAAAGCGTCTCCGCAATTACATCCTTGACATGTCCCAAGAGGAACTCATTACTTATAGCTCTCCCGATGTCAACTGGGTGGCCTCTGTCTTAACCCTCATGGAGACGCGCTTGCAGGATCATATTTCCAGTATCCTGCATAAACAACCTTGGCAGGTTTCACCCGATCAAGATCTCTTTCAGCTGGGAATGGATTCAGTGCTAGCCATGGCCCTAATTGCAAGGCTGTACAAGGACGGCCTCAAGCTAACGGTCAGGGATATCTTTGAGCAACCTCAGCTGCGTAACCTGGCTCTTGTGGTGCGAGAGACGTTGCGGCCAGATCAAGAAGGTGTCAGGAAAGCACACAGCCGCAGCCCCCTTCTGCACTATGCGAAGGAGATTGCTGATGAGTGGAAGATGGCTTTAACCTCCATTGAGCACATTTTGCCAACTACCCGTTTCCAGCGAGAGAGCTTGGAGGCGCGACACAAAGTGTACTTTATTTTCCATTTTCATGGCAAGATCGACTGTCAGCGTCTTCAGCATGCTGTGCAGGCTGCTGTAGACAAATACGCCATACTGCGAACGGTCTTCATTCCTTGGGACGAGTCTACAGTTCAAATAACTTTAGGTGACGCCACTGTACCGGTGGAAATCACGACGACCGATCTGAATCCAGTAGAAATAGCAGGATCCATTTGCCGCGAGGATTCATCAGCACCCGTTGCTCCCGGCAAACTACACACCCAGCTTCGCTTGATCATGGGGTCCAACCGTGATTCAATGGCCCTTCGGTTGTCCCATGCTCAGTATGACGGCATCAGCATGCCTCGCCTGTTCACGGACATCGCCCGGGCATATCAGGGGATAACTTTAAGTCCCGCTAAGGTGGACTTTCCGGAATACCTGCACAGCCGCATCTATAATATTCCTTCGCAGGCATACAAGTTCTGGCGCGACTTGCTCCGAGGTTCCAGCATGACCTATCTACGTTCTGAATCTTCATCAGGGTCTCCGCCTTCCCATAATCGGGGAAGCCTTATAACGAGCACCACAGAGGTCTCATACCCGCCAGCCCCCGCTGGAACCACGATGGCCACCGTCGCCAAGGCAGCTTGGGCCCTCTGCCTGGCACACATGGCTGGCACTCACGACATCGTATTCGGTCAGCTCGTCAACGGCCGAAACCTGGAGCTGCCAGAGGCCGAAACGGTTGTGGGTGCCTGTGTCAATTACGTCCCAGTCCGTGTGACTCTCCAGGCTGACTGGACCGTGTCAAGCCTCCTCCATGCGGTTCATCAGCAGCAAACCCGCAGCATGGCCTTCGAGACACTCGAATATGACGAGCTGGTGGCGCAGTGTACCTCCTGGCCGGCAGACACAGACCCGGGTACCGGGATCCACTACGTGAACATCCCCGATGCGTTTGCTGGTAGCGGCCTGCCTGGGGTGGGGTCGGACTATGAGACCTATGTATCCCGCTTGCCTTATTATCATCCCCGTGTGACCTGTAGTCCCCTCTCGAAGGGAATACTTGAGCTTACGCTTTCCGTCTCGGATCAGCTGTGGGATCAGAATCAGGCGGATCAGACTCTGCATCTGTTTGGGCAGACTGTGGTACGCATTCTGGAGAACCCAACAGGGCTTGCTTGTGATGTTCTTAAAGCGCTGGTGTAGCTTCCTCCCACAGTGTATAGTAATGGATTGACCCAGACAGATGGTTGACAGTAATTTAATGTTTAATAATTACAGCCGGATGTTCTCAATCAATTTATGTTGTAGACTAGACAAAATCTTGTTACTTTTACTAGTTATGCTATGCTTGACACTGCTACAAGATTGGCTACTGCTCCTAGCAATTATGGTATCTACTACGGCTGTCCACTTTCTCCGCACTTTCCTCTCCGAACCATTTTGTTTTACTCCCAATGTCGTCAACACCTAGATACTTCTTAAGCGCGGCCCTTCACTAAAAGGGGTCATCTATGTGAGTTAGTGACCCTCATTGTCGCTACTACTAGAGTTTCGAACGCGCGGACATGATATGGAGAGGGTTGTATCTATGCTGGTGAATTCGCAAGGATTGAGCAGTTTCCTCCCTTGAAATCAACATTTCCCCTTGAGAGGGTCCACAGGAGAGCAGAGGTAGATTTATGCTTAAGACTAGAATACTCTCTTTCCTCGGGGTATGCCAGATCTAGCGGGAGAGTTCAGTCAATCAAGGTGAGACCTGCATCCGCAGACGGTGCGCAGCATTGTGTTGCTCTGCATGGCCGATCATCTCTCGGGTATGCGTCATACCTTTGTCATTGGACATCGTGCAGATGAGTTAACAGGTGTACTTGGCAGGTTCATGGAAGTTGTCGAGAAAAAGGCGGTCAATGGATATATGTGAAATAGGTAGGTTAGATTTATTGGCATGCAATACAGCCTTGTGGGCTACTCGCACCAAGAGTCCGGATCTTGCGGGCCATTGATGGTGGTGGCGTTTCATATGACATGACACGTCCCGCCACATGAAAGTCAATCCCATCGGGTTAGAGCGAGATGCAAAGAACAAGTTTCGAGTTCTGACAAAGCAACCCTTGGCAGAACTCGATGATATCAGGAAATGATCCATTGTTTACCTGTAGGTTGCTCTCTTCGGGCCATTCAGTTTGATCTAAGAGCGGTATATGTATATATCCACTCATCCAGTGACGACTCTGTGCAACATGCTGCTATGGTAGACCGCTGGCTACTATCGGAATCGAAGATCTTATGGTACTTGTGGGTCATTCATTGGTCCACCCGGGGTTAGCATCAGTCGATCGATCGCTGTGGGCCGGGTATCTCCGGGTCGATCGTTGGTCAGTGAGAGTCATCTGCAACGGGTCAAAGGATTGTTCGGGAGCCAAAATGAAGATGGAGAGGGAGGACAGCCTGGGACGAGCGAGAGGGCCTCCCTCGAGACGGAGTCAGCGATAGCTCCGCCAGCCGGCGCGAATTGGGTTCCATCCAGGATCCACCCGTGCCGGGAAAGTCAACATCTTCACCGGCAGAGAGGCGCTGAATTCTTCACGCGACTGAGACAACTCAACTGTATGAATGGTCATAGGGCTACTCTCTCTGCAATTTGGAACCAATTAGATGCTCCATCACAACTTCTGAACTGTTGGAAGGATCGGGGATGACAGCACATGAGGGAGCCGGAGTTGGGCGGCCACGGTTTAGCGAGCGGGATCGACCGGCGAGTGGCCCTGATGGATCACAATCCACAAGTCATGAAAGGCCATTGCCGGCAGTGCACTGTCCCACGTGCAAGGCTTGAGTAGCATCCAGCCCAATCACGCTTTGCTGGTGAAATCGTGCCGAACCCCATTCGCAGCAAGGGGAGGTGGTGTTGCTCAGGGGAAAACCTTGTTGGAAAGGTAACTCGGAGAAGATTCGCCTTGTGGGGGCGGTTTTGCTGGTCCTGCATATCCACCCATATATAAGGGGCAGGATATCCAGACTGTGGGCGATTCTTCTCCCTAACCTTTTGCACAGTCAATACAATCAACTTAAAATGTACACCAAGTTGTCCCTGTCTTTCGGCCTCTTGGCCACGGCAACGCTCGCTCTGGCCGAGCCGACCGTCTACCTGATTCGCCACGGCGAGAAGCCCAGCAACGGGAGCACCGGCCTCAATGCTGTGGGTTTTGAGCGGGCCGACTGCTTGAAGACTGTATTCGGCCCGGATTCCAACTATGACATTGGATATATCATTGCAGAACAACCCAAGTCAGGTGCGTCGATTCTCGAGTTTGCTTTCGGGATCCAATACGTCAGGGATTGACAGACTCGCAGATGGCAAACGCGACCGCCCGTACGAGACGGTTCTTCCTCTCGCCGAGGAACTGGGGCTCACTGTCGATACGTCCTGCTCGAAGAAGGACACCAAGTGTGTCAAGGACCTGGTGAAGGACTACACCGGCAGCGGCAACATCTTGATCTGCTGGGAGCACAAGGAGTTGACCAAGATCGCTGAGAAGCTGGGTGACGATGATGCGCCCACCTACCCGGATGACCGGTGAGTCTATGTTTGAAGAAAGCTGCACAGGTGTGCTGTAGTCAACGAGACTAATATTGGATGCATCACAGGTTTGATCTCATCTGGACGGATCCTTATCCTTATACCAACATCACTGACATCACGAGCGAGAACTGCCCGGGTCTGGACAGCTGAAGGAAGAGCAGAAAAAAAGAAAAGGCACGCTCCAAGTGGGAACACTTGGCCTTGTGCCACCGTAACCGACGGCCATCCAGGTTATTGGCCCCCCTTTTGAGAAGCGACGTAGTGCAGGATCTTCGTGGTCCGAGTGTGGCCATAGAATAGTCCTCGGAAATGTGTGTTGAATACGTTAATTCTAGCAGCTCACGATTCATGACACAATATGAACCAGAACCACTGCACGGTCTAGACACATTCTCATCAGTCATCAGAATTATTGTATGGCCAACATTTACCCGGTCGCAACTCACTCCTGTTCCCTGAAGATGCATATAAGGCCACTCGAGGAAGGCGAACTCCCTCAAGCTCCCTTCTAGCAGGCCCACAATCCCGCCAGGAACCTGTGGGCGAGCCTGGGCCATGCGTCTGATAAGGCGATAGAATGCCAAGACCCCATGCCATGCTTGATATTGTTGAGAATGTAACTTCCCATACTTAGAATCCTCCATCAGCGTTAAGGCCTCCACTAGATGCGACGGAGGGGTGATACGGGCAAATGAGATGCAGCGGGAGGAAAGCTTTGCCGTGGTGGCTGACTCCTGGCTGACTTTCCCCACGCACCACGAACCCCTGCCAAGTTGGACAAAGACAAGACTGGCCTGCCAATAAACTGCCAGATAAGGCCAATCCAGCAATTTCTGGATGGCGCCAAGCTTCCAGATAGTTTTCGGCGGCGGTCTTAGCTGATGCTTGCACGGACGGGAGGCCACCTCCTCTTCAGCCAGGATGTTCTGGGGAAGCTAGTAATACGAGACTAGCTTTGGCCGGGAAATTAACTTCCGCTCATCTATATCACTGGTCTGTTTGGCTTTCAGTCTGCTGGACCTCAGGCTGCTTTCTCGGGCCGTGGTGACCACCCCTCGTAGGTTCAATGAGTATGGACGCCTCTGCGAGCCAGTGTTTTTTTAACATCAACCATTCTTCCACCATGAGCAGCCTCTCACATATAAAATGAACGGTGAAATCTAACACTCCGATCAGACGATGCAAGTCATTGACGTCCCGCATTTCGATAGTGATGGGGTAACCCTCCAGCCAACGGTCGGATATGATAAGGTCACCCGACACGAACAGAAAGGGAAATGATCAAAGATGCGTCGAGCAGGGGAGGAAGTCCAAACAAATGGCATCACTCCCAATTATCTTGACCCCATCCACTTGGCAATGATATTAATATCGATACCTCGATCTGGTTGGTCGGTTCCGATGGCGCAAAGGACGGCCGAATCGTTATCATCGGGCGTTGATTCGAATCAGCGATGCCGAGTGGGACAGTCTAGGGCTGGTAGACATCCCCTAAGGCACGGACCCCTGCTAGTGGAAATACTCTGCCTAAGTAGCCCAACTGATAGCAAAGACTGGTGTTACATTGCGCGATATGCCCGTCCGGGCATTCGCCCCTGCAATGGCATCGTCTGGGGCTACTTAACCCATTGTTTGACGGCCGCCGGAGATCCGTCCGACCGTGCTAGCAGCCATGCTATAAAAGTCGGAAGCTGTGCAGCCGTTTCAGTCGACTCAGGAGCTGGCAGTTCAATCACTTTCACTATATTTCCCTGGCGTCTCAACGCCCAATCAACGCAATATGGGTAGGTGTGACAAAATGCATATCGATGTACCCTGGACTGACAATAGGGGACCGTTCTAGCTGCCTCAACCGGCGAGACTAGGGTCGCCGACGCCATTATCGCCAGTGAAGCCACCAACGAGGTAGGCGAAGTACAGACGAAGTCCGATCCCGAGAAGAATATCTATGAGGTAGATACTCAAGCGCTTGAGAACGAGGAGTATCCGCCACCCACGGAGGAAGAGCTCAGCAGCCTTCGCAAGGTCCCGGCCTATCTCCCCATCATCGCATACTCCCTTTGTCTGGTGGAGTTCGCCGAACGAGCATCTTACTACGGCGCCCAGACCGTCTTCTCCAACTTCATTGAGTTCCCTCTTCCGAAAGGTGCTCTTCTGACCCAACAACCCCTGGTCTACACAACGCTGACCGGCTGCTTGTAGGAGGAAATGGTGCGGGTGCACCTCCGCGAGGGACGCAGGAGACAGCTGGTGCGCTGGGAATGGGACTCCAGGCGAGTGATGGTTTGGTCTTGCTATTCCAGTTCCTTGCCTATGTCATTCCGATCTTCGGTGGATGGTGAGCCAAAATAAAATCCCCAAAACGGACACATGTGTGTGCAGTGCTCACAATATCAGGTGGGCCGACGTATATGTCGGTCGGTACTGGGCCATTTGTGTCGGAGTCGCTATTTGTGGTATTGCCCACATCATTCAGATCATCGGCGCAATTCCTTCAGTTCTGCAAGCTGGCACGGCGCACGCAGCGCCGCCATTCATCATCGGGCTGCTGCTGTTGGCCCTCGGTGCCGGTATCTTCAAGCCCAATATTGCACCCACAGTCTTGGACCAATACCGCCATCAAAAGCAGTACACCAAGGTTTTAAAGACCGGGGAGAAGGTCATTGTGGATCCCGAGATGACGGCTACTCGAACGATGCTCATCTTCTATGGAGTGATCAACGTCGGGGCATTCTACATGCTGGCCACCACATATGCGGAGAAATATGTGGGTTATTGGCTGGCTTTCCTGCTGGCCGGGATCATCTACTTCATTTTGCCGGTGGTTCTGGCGGCCGCCTATAAGAAGACGTACAGAACGCCGCCGAGTGGCAACTCAGATCTCGCCAAGGCGATCAAGATCACCATAACTGCTTTGCGCCAAAACAAGTGGCAGGTCTGGCGGAAGAACTTCTTCGATGCGGCGAAACCGAGTGTCCTGGCAGCCAAGGGGATCCAGGTCGACTGGAGCGACAAGCTGGTGGATGATGTGCGGAGAACTCTCGTGGCAACGGAGATCTTCTTCTATTTCCCCATCTACAACCTCAATGACGGCGGTATCGGGTCGGTCTCGACAAACCAGGGTGCATCGATGACGACCAATGGCGCCCCTAACGACCTTCTGAGCAACTTCAATGCCTTGACCATCATTGTGGCCGTGCCAATCGTCGATTACTTCATCTACCCCTTGCTATATCGGTACAACATCCCGTTTAAGCGAATCACTCGTATCACATTCGGGTTCACCCTGGCCGCACTCTCCGGTCTGTGCGGTGCCCTGGTCCAGTGGCGCGTATACAAGACCTCGCCGTGCGGCTACTATGCCTCCTCCTGTTCCGAAGTCAGCCCCATCAGCATCTGGTGGCAGCTGCCAAACACCATCTTGGGGGCCCTCTCGGAAATTTTCTGCAACGTGACGGCGTATGAACTGGCGTATGCCCGGTCGCCCGCGAGTATGAGGGGTCTAGTCATGGCGATCTTCCTCTTCATGACTGCTTTGTCCAGTGCGCTGGGAGAGATCCTTCTACCAGTCACAGAGGATCCCGACTTGATCTGGATCTGGGGTGCCCCCGCTGTTGCCCTCGCTCTCCAGACCATTTTCTTCTGGTACCGCTTCAGTTACCTGAACAACGACGAATTTATGACCGACGAAGCCAACTATGCCAACAGTGATGCGGAGGAGACCCCTATTCAGACCACTGAAGTGGAAAAGACGGTTGAGAAGTAGATGTGCACGGTCGAGGCCGAATCATTACGGTCCGAATAACGTTAGCCACATCTTGAATGGGCTACTTCATCAATACATATATCACGTTCAATTTAAACCGGGTTTGAGGAAAGCCGAGTCTATGATTTTTATTTCAGTATTGTATATGTAGTCTCTTCTGTGAAAATGTATGGTGATGGTATGATCTATTTTGAGTTGAGAGACGCTGCAAATTTGCAAGTGCGGCTACCTTGTCAGTGTCGGTAGCAGATTGATGGTATGAAAGGCTACGGTCGTGATTTCATGTCGAAATTAGTTTCCGATCAATGGCCCATGAAGTCCGGTTTCGGTAAAATCATGAGCGAATACTCCTCTGACTGGTGGGAGTGATCAGTGGATGGTTCATTGTGCCATGCACTAGATCTCATAAGCGAACGGAATGCTCTGCATCGCACCCTTCCTCTGGACACACCCTGCGGCGGCCACGTTCGCCTTCCGAACGGCCGTTTCAATCTGAGCATCGAATTCCGCCAGTGGAGCACCGGTGGCAACAAACTTAGCAAAGGCAGTAGCGAAGTAACCGACAAATGTGTCTCCGGCGGCAGTGGTGTCTACAACCTTCTCCACCGCGGCGCTGGGAGCAAAGCCCTGCTTGCCAGTGGCCGTGGAGTAAAAGGCACCCTTGGCTCCAAGTGTAATTAGAACGATCTGAACCTGAGCATGTTTGTGGAATAAAGGTGCCAGCTCTTCGGGCTTTAGGTCCTGCTCCTGCTGGGCAGGGGTGAGATGCTCCTTGACCGCCTGAGTCATGAGGACAGCTTCGGTCTCATTCATGGCCAGCACACTCGTGCCGGCAAGTGCAGCGAGGGGGATTCCTTCTGTGAAGACCGGCGCAGGATTAAACACCAGGTGAGAAGGGCAGGAAGGGTCGTTGAAGTGCTTCATCAGCTCCAAGGTAGTCGACCTCGGGATCTCGCCCTGCATCACGACGACGCCTTGTTCTAGATGGATATTCCGGGTGGTGGCGAGGACCGCATCTACATTATCCATTCCCGAGTAGTTAGCGCCGGGGACAAACAAGATCCGATTCTCTCCTCCGGCTCCTTCATCCACGATGATCGTAGCAGAGCCCGTTTGGCTGTCCGTCTTTTCCTGGATTCCCGTTGTGCTAACTCCGGAACCCTCCAGTGTTGGGCGCAGGAGCGCCGAGTAGTAAGGATCACACGCTCCTACCGCTCCGATCATATACACCGATGCATCTTGGTTGTCTTTGGAAACAAAGGAGGCGCGACCGCACGCGACTGCCTGGTTGGCACCTTTCCCGCCGGCGCTGATGGCGAGGGAATTGGCTGTCAGGGTTTCGCCAGCATCGGGGCAACGGGGGGTGTAGGTGACGAAATCAATATTCAGGGAACCAATCACACAGATCTGCGGAGGCGCCATGTTGTTCGTTCCTGGAGTTGCAAGAAGACGAGTCAGTTATCCCAGTGGCGGATATATGGTCAGATCGCTAATGCGGGGAAGAAGCACAGGTGGAGACTTACTTATAACGGTCGGTTAGTGATGACAAGTCAATTGATAGAAGCTTGAAAAGAACAGAAATGCCACAGGTAGCCGCTATGCAGAATATTGCAGAAATGACTTTCAATTGATGACTGCAGGCGAGAAGAACAATGGGATGAGTGAGAGTAACAACGAGGGACTTCTTTTGGCGGCGGGGTGATAAGGATTAGGTAAGTAAAATGGTCACATGATGATGACGTTGGAGAGGTTCCCGAGGTAATTCGTAGTAATCTATACAATGAATATCATATAGACAAACCGTTGGGTGTTCCAGCTGTCACCATTCTGGTTCGAGAATTAGTCACCGTGACTAAGTTCAATATAAGAAAATACGACATAGTATCCCATATTCGAGGGGGACGATGAGGTACTAAAGGCTTAGCTGAGTCCCAGAGTTATGGGTACCTCATAACAACATGTACTAGGCGACATATGTTGGTGACATGTCAAAGTAAACACAGTTTTGGTTCGCAAAAGCTTATCCTCCACTAGAAATACTTGAAGATCTTTGAAACTCCGTCTGTTCAAGGTTGAGTGAAGGCGGTCTAGTTTCTTCTGTCTGGATTTGGCCGTAATCCTCAATCTGAAGGATCGGATGTATTGCGCAAGGGATGGCGGCAAGATGGTAGTTGCAGGAGCAAGCATGGAATTATGTGCTTTAATAAAAGAAAGAACGAAAAAAGCAAAAAACCCAAGAAGCGGTCAACTTTCATGGAGCCACTGGCCGGTTGATATATTTACGATTTATTGCTTGATTTGAAGATTTATTGCATTTTACCTTTCTGGCTATTACCATCAACTCTGCCGCATTTAGCACAGCTTGTTCTGAACAGGAAGTACTTACTTAGCTCTTAAGTGTCATCACCGCCGCTATTATTCTGGCGCACATGGGTTCAAGCACCTTTGGCAACAGGCGATATTCGACTCCTGGAATCTCATAAACACAATAACCAAACTCCAACCTACCTCCGCAAGCACATTGTGGGATACTGTTTCCACACGGTCACTTGTCGGCTGGCATACACTACGCTTCCTTTGCTTGGCCATGGCAACCATAACTAAGACGACCACCACGGCCATCACGGCCATTGGCTGTCCAACTCTGACCTTCCGTCCCCTTCACCCCACATTAGGTGCCGAGTGTGAGGGCGTGGATTTCTCAAAACCAGTCCCGGACGCTGTCATCGAACAGCTTCGTGCCGCAATGGCTAAAAATGGCATCCTGGTCTTTCGTGCCACCGGACTTGACGATGCACGCCACACTGCCTTTGCGCGCCAATTAGGCGAACCGATGGTGGATAGCGCGGTCGGGAAACCGGGAGTGCCAAACCGACTCGATCCTAAAGGTGAGCTGATGGACATTGGGAATGTGGACGGCGACGGTCGGATCCTGTCGACAACGTCGTGGCGGTCGCAGCTGCTCCGGGGCACACGCCTCTTCCACGTAGATGGCTCCTACTTCCAACGCCGAGCGGGATATAGCCTTCTCCGTGCGCATCAACTGCCCCCAAGGGGAACCGGCGGCGCAACGGCATTTGCTGACACCAGGACTGCTTATGCCGACCTAGCGGAGGAGACCAAGAACGAAATTCAGAATCATGTGCTATGGCATTCGCTCATGCAGAGTCGATATTTGGGAGCCCCGGAGAATTGGCTCATCAGGTTATTGGTTTTCGTCTCCGACTTGGATGACCTCCGTCGTCTTCCATATCTAATGGCCGTGGTATGTTCACGACGTGGTCCGCGGAGAAAGCGACCAGCCCAGTAGGGCAGCGTATTATGTTGGCTAAACTGATTGATAAACCGCAGGGACTGATAGCTCGTGTACTGGAGATTTGGGTCCAGATTGTGGACATCAGCCTGCTCTTAGTGTTCTGTTACGCTTTGATGCGGATCCTTGTGCTGAGGTTGCTGCCTGAGGCTGCAACATCGCGTGGACGTCATCAACTGGTACAGCTGCACAAGCCCAGCAATCGAATGAATCTGTACTTGGGATCACATGCGTACCAGATAGACGGATGGAGCAGGGCAGACAGCAAACCCGTGATTGAGGCATTGATGCGGCATGCTAGTCAGGATAAATATGTCCTCACCGTGGACTGGCAGAACAATGGAGACATGATTATGTGGGTATGTATACCATTTGATTCTGTCCGTGGAAGTCGGAAGCAATGCTAACACCGTTAGGACAACACTTGTGTGATGCACCGATCATGTGGTGGCTCATATCAAGGACGGTATGTGCGTGATATGCGGAGAGCCACAATCTTCGACTCCGCGTAGCCGCTGGAGTAAGCCGGTGCGGAGAATGAAAAAGTGTTTAGTTCAAGCAATACAAGCCGAGAGAACGAAAACAGGTATTTTTCCAAATGTTATAACCTGTTTGCACATTTCAGGGGAAGAAGCAGAACCGAGACTGGAACCTCATGAAGAAGATGAAGGATGCTGGCCCCTGCACTAGTCCCCGTTTAGTTTCATTGGAGTGGGTACCTGACCGTTGAGGTGTCATGTCAGGCATCCAGACTTTGAAGATGTTTCCAGACCATAGTATCAATGGCAATTTAGTTCTCCTTTAAGACAGACATATCTCTCTGTACACAGTGATCTCTGATTCTCCGTAATCACCATCACTTAGATACTGTACTGCGGCAGCACCATGCCTAGACTCTATCTTCCCTGCATTCTGCCCAAAACGTCATTTTAGAAGCCCTGATGCAATCCCTCAAGTGGATCTGCAGGATCCCCCCAGCCCCTATCCCCTCACATCCAATGTCCGAGAATTCTGCCGAGCAGAAAGAGGGGAAGGAATCCTTAGTATCTAGTCAGCAGCGAAGCATGAATCATGCATGTGCATCACTGCGGAGGATCACCTCTACTCGGAGCATTCTCCGTAGCGGACAATATCACGCCTGCCTATAGGAAGGGGAAGAATAATCACAGGTACGAATGACAGATTAATTCCCGACCAAGTTAATGTCAATTAAGGTAGTACTACCTCCTCTTCCTCCTTCACTAGAGAGGAGGTACCCCGTAGGCAACTTCATATTTAACATAGTGTCGTCCCCTCACTCATCCTAGAGCCTGCAGTAACGTGTGTTACTTGGAAATACCTCTCTCAGTTAAAACAAAGTGCAGCTTTCCATTATTTACCACTTTTTAAAATTCTCCTCACAGAGATCAACCATCCAAAATGATCTCCCTCTCTACCCTTCTCCTAACTCTGACTCTGACTCTAACCGCAACCGCCCATCCCTCCGCAACCCACCAAAAACGCAGCGTGACATGCCTCAAGGTCGGCGCCACCGCAACAGCCACCTGGACCAACAGTGCCGATCAAACCTGCACCTATGTGGGCGTCGTAGGCAGTAATTATGGCGAGAATAGTGATGGCGATGGAGAGTATGTGAATTATTCCTTTTCCATCCTCTTTAATACCTTTCTTTCCCTATAACCAAGCCAACTCCAATGAAAGAAGCGGAAAGATGAGCTAATCACAGCAAACGAAACATCTAGTTACTCCTGCAACGGACGTTGTGGATCAGGATGTACCGGGGTCGCACTGGGCAATGTCTATACCCAGGATTGCTTTTCACATGATATCTGCTCGTATTTCGAGGATGCTAGTGGGGGAGCGAGGTGAGTAAATTTCCAGTTACATTCAACATCATGTAAAACATGATGTTCATATGATGTGTGAGGAACGCTAACATTGTTTACTACTAGTGACCCCAACTGCGGAGCAGCATTCAAGGCCGCAGAGGATGATTACTTGCTGGGGTTGGTGGATGGGTGCTCGCAGACGAATCCCACTAATGCAGTGGTGAAGCCGACGGCGAGTCCAGTTTGCACTTGATGTGTCCAATTTTTTGTTTAGGGATGTTAGTGATATGGGGAGGAACAATACGAGTGGCCCGTATCTTGACATTCGTTGTATGCATAAAAAGACAATATCTTCATATCTGACACAATATGACATCCGATGTAAGTACAGTCTAACCAGTCGCCTAATCGTATCAAGCATATTTACATGCTAAAAAAAAGAAAATGTTCATATCAGCAGCACATGATAAGTCAATCATTAATATCAGGAGAAACACTACTTTCGCTCCCCAATCAACTCTCTTGACTCATTACTAGTAGAACTCCCCTGTCGTGCGCCCACCATACAAGCACAATGCGCCTCCATCGGTGGACTAAGTGCTTGTTCAATATCATCCTGCAACACGCTCAACCCCGGCTTGCGCCTGTTGCTCGACGGTGTAGAGTTGGTGTTGGAAGAAGCCGACGGTCGCGACTGGCTGCTATTACTGCCGGAGTCACCAATCCAGCAGGGTGCATGGAAGCGCAGGAACTGTTTCAGATAGGGGAGACAGGGACAGATGATGATGAAGTTGGCTTCGATGATACTAGAAATTCTGTTAACAAGATGTACATGGTATTGGTCTGTGTTCTATACGCACATGAAGATGACGGCTAGGGCGATTTCGTATGTTTGGTCATCGGACGTTACCAGGGGCATTAGAGTCGCCAGCCGGATGATGCTGGTTATTATGGTTCTTTGATGCAATGAGTTGTTAGAGTTCAATTGACCACAGTGGAGATGTCTGGCGGAGGGTCACCTACAAACAACCAATTCCGAACATGCAGCCGACCCCGAGCTTCTGGACCAGGGGAAGCTTCAGCTTGGCTATGACTGGGATGGGGATGATGATCAATAATACATCGCTAACTGTGTTCGTAATAGCCGTAGCGAGATAGAATCCGACGCGGTTGACACAGTGACCGGTCGTGATGGTCAAGTCCCAGTTCTTGGCTATGGGTTGGCAAGGGAAGATGAGACCCAGGGTGAGAGCGATCGTGTAGCCGGCAATGAAGAAGGTGACGAGGAAGATGATGTTTCTCCAGATGCGGATCATGTGCAACAGACGATAGTAAAGCATCAGCAGAGCGAACTTGGCCGCAGCTAGGGTAGGGACGTAGATAATCGCGGCGGAGAGAATGGTCTATGGCTCTCAGCGACGATGCCAGTGTACAGTAGAAGAAGGATTGGTGACAAACTTTCACATAGATATCGAGAACCGCGGGAGTCAGGTACTCCAGGTGGACACCATAGCCTCCATAGCTGTAACCGTCTACAGAGAGAGGGACGTTAGATTCTCTGCAACCACTCGCACCGCCAGTATTGCACAAACATACAGAGAATAACAGATTGAGTACCAATCGAAAGGATCTGTGATAGCACAAGACATGTGAGTGCAAGGACCGAGACGAGGTTATTGCTGGTACACAATTACCCAAGCGAGGATTAAGCAGACTGCTGACTGCATTAGCTACCAGCCACTCACAGTCCAATCCATATAAGCATAAGAAAACGTACCATCATCCCACCAAAACTTCCTCATTATGTGGATCTTGGTGTACATTCGCATGACGAGTAAGATCGTGCAGAAGAAAATCCAAATAGCGCCCAAAATATGATTGGTGGTCCGTAACCATGGGTTGGAGAGAGTCCCCAAAGGAGCGTCACCACCAGCAGCTCTTCCCACCACGTCCATGTTGAGGAGCCGACAAAGAGCGGCAGTTTCCCCCGAAGAACGGACATTATTATCCGGTTGACCTGTCGATCGTAACGTAAATTGACAGATGGTGAGGAATGAAAGCCTCGTCGCATTTAAGTAACTGGAGAGGGATCGACTATCCCTCGTTTCTTCCCGTCGAGTGGCTGAGTATCAGTAGAGTTTCAGCCACGGCATCATCATCCAGAATTTCTGGCAACGAGCATCGACCAATCGTGCCGCGAACACCCGCAAAATGCTCAGCCATCTGTTTGGATGCGATGGGGGATCGTCACAAACCGGGGTCTGTGCATCGCGAATAACTTTTCACCCCCGGGTAGTTTAACATACGCCACCCGAATACTGTGCCCAAGGGAAAGTAGGTCGAACAAGCAGAGTCATTACCATAAATCAAAAACCAAAGAAGGGATATCATTACTGCATTTCGTCTATCATAAGGTTGAGAGATCGGTCTAGACCAATTCATCGACCCCCTTTCATGTACATATTAGATACAAGAAAAAGCCACCCTCGTCAGTTGAAGGTGGCCTGAACGCTAGAAGCCGCATAGAAGGGCGCTTTTAATGGTAGAGCTCAATGAATCAATCCAATGCAAAGCACCGCTCCACCGAGTCAGAGTTATTGCCCCACCAATTTGGCATCGAAATTTGCTTGCCCGAGCCAAAGAAGAGGAAGATCAACAGCATATTCAGGTTGAAACCCGCATCGAAAGCAGCGGCCACCATGTAGCTGTAGCGTTTCCAGACCTCGAACCGATACCGGTAGGCCCAGTACATAACAACATACCCGCCGATGATCGCCGATGTGTATCCCGTGCTGATATTACCGTAGAAGACCGCCAAGCCGGAGAAAAAAATGCTAACGTTCCATAGGTCAATGCGTAACCAGCGCGGTAGAGTGCGATGCATAATGTACAGGATCGGGGGCAGCACCGCGCCCACCAGAAACGCCCAGGGTAGAGGTTTCATCTCCTGCTCCTTGAACAGGCGGCTTGGTCCGAGAACTGCATACTGGACACCCAGAGTATTCGAGGACTTCAAGGACTGACCAGACCATTGGTTCAATGGATCCGTCTTCTTGCCCGACAGGTAGTCTCCTTTGGTATTGAGTACCCATCGGATCACGGCGTAGTTCACTGGAATACCGAGGACAGTGCCAAATATCTGAGAGAAAAAGACCGTGCGTGGCGGGATATGCATGTAGTGACCGATCTTCTGGTCCTGCAACATATACTGTGCTCGGTACCAGGCATCGCCGGCAATCGATCCGTAGGTGGACGGCCCACAAGGGTGCCGATGGCTTTTTCCAGCCGGAGTTTCGACCATGTAGCCATACACCAGCTCATTGAAGGATCCCACTGCCAATTGATAGTTCGAAATGGCATACAGGAAGCCAAATGGGACCACCAGCACAGCGGCGCTCGCCAGCGCCACAAACAATGTCCAGATCGGGATCCACAGATAGCCACAGGCAATCGTCACGATTAGAGCCACAAAGCCAGCCATGAAAAGCGCGACGTACCACCAGAGCGGGATCTCCTTGTATGTTCGCTGGAGAACATTGAGCCGATCGTGATACTGGTGGTTGATGCTTTGTCCCTTCTCCTGCGACGCCTTCCGCCGGGACCGAATAACTTTCATCAAATTATCTCGGATCTGGACGAAGCCAAAGGTCAAAATCCACGTAATGGCTGCGGTCACTTTCGCATAGTCAAAGAAGGTCGCCCAGAGGTTTTGAAGACCCATGTACATGTCACCGTATTCCGCGTAGGCGGTCTCATTCAGCTGATAGTCGGAGGTGACCACCTCAAGGGTAGGGTAGGTCGTTCCGTTCACGGTCAGCAGAGAATTCGACATGAGACCGTGCTTGTAAGACCCCAAGTTCCCCCATTTCGCAGCTGGAAGTAGGACCCAACAATTGAAGACGAAGGCCAGGAACAAAACGACCTGCGTCCACCATGGGGTAAGGAGGATCGACGAGCCGTTCCAATTGATGTTGGACCAGTCGAGAGACAGGTTCAGCAGACCCATGCCTCCCAACCCAGAGCCCAGGAAGTTGGCCACGGCGTTATGCGGTGCGACCCAGCACAAGAAGGCGAGGGAAGATGTGAACGGAAAGACGTATTCGGGCAAGAACTGCCACAGCGTCATTCCCAGAAAGCAGAGGAAGAAAATCTTCATCTGCCGCCGCGCGAGGGGGGATGAGACATCCTGTTTCCGGAACGTTTCGAACAACGTAGTCTGCATGAGGGCCTGAGGCCAGACGAAGTTGGGGTCATATAGCAGAAGCTGGCGGGCTAGTGCTGCGAAAGCATACCCAATCCAGACAATCGCAAACATGAAGAAAATAGCCACGGCAGCATTGACCCTCTCACCATAGTAGAGCTCCGCCATTGCGATCGGGGTATATCCGAGGTTGTAGGTAGCACCGGACGCCGCCGTCAAGGTGACCAGAACGTGTTCCTTGATGCTCCACGGCCCCGGGTTAAGGCTAAAGGACCAACGGGTAAAGGGCACGCGGATCACCCAGGCTGGAAGGACCCGCGCCAGAAAGTGACCCGCATAGTGGCACGCGATCTGCACAAAGAAAACGGAGTATGGAGCTTCGGTAGTACGGAAGTGGCTCATCATGGACAAGAAGGCACCGGGTACGACGAAAATCACGCAGAGAACGAAGTATCGAAAGGTAATGGTGTACAGGGTTGGGTCGTCAGTAAGGCTGACCAACTGGCGCACCTCGAGGGGCAGCGCGGCGATCTCGGGGTCCTCTTCGGCTGCGGTTTCGACCACATTGGGCTCTTCAGTCTTCTGGCTCTTCTCCAAATCATCCACGGGCTGTTCCTTCACGGACGCCGATTTGGATACGGAGTCGGATGTCTGGTCCTCCCGGTAGCCCGTTGTGGTGGCGACGGGCGACACATCGCCGGCATCAGAAGGCGCTGCATCGTCTCGCTTCCGTCGAAAAATAGTGGATAGGCCCATGGTGAAGAGCCAAGATCTAGCGCGCAGAGGCGGATGGGGTGAAAAGACGCATACCCAGGCAGTTCCTTCCGACGCAGAGAGGGGTGAGGCAGCCCGCAGTTATAGAAAAGTTCCATGATCGAGTGACTCCTCGCCCTCTCCGCATCAGGTAAGGGGGCGATGGCGCAATCGAGCAGCAGCACCGCAGCATTTTCACAGACCCCAGCTGCCAAGTCGGTCGGCTTCACGCCGAATGGCTAGAAAGTTGAACTTGTGCAGGTGGCACGAGCTAGGGCTGACCATCACGGTGAAAGATTGGGGAGAGAAAAAGCACGGTATGAAGCCAAAGTGGATGCCAAAATGGCGTTATCGAATCCTTCTCATTCGTGATGCGCCCTGAGATCCCCGCCCACAGCTTCTCCGAAGAAGCGCCGTGATTCGACAGACGCTGTTTCGAGCTCTTAGCAAACAACCGGCCCCTGGGCCATCCATGGGTCCGAGGCCCAAGAAGAAATTTTACACAGGAAGGTGGAAGAGCCAGGCTAGTAGAATTGGGCTTGAATACCACGGAGGGCAGACCGAAGAGAAGATCGTGGCCTATCAGAATTCAGCCCTTCCGCCCCTCAGGTCGGTCGCGCCCCAATGGGGTGCTTAATCCGGTTAAGCTTAGATAAGAGAAATCGATGAGCAAGATTCCGCGTGGATAACAGAATCGAGTGTGAGATTTGCCCGAGACGGGGCGATAATGAGTTGAGGCAACAGATAACGGAACGAGGTTGTCAGTACCCTTTGAATAGTTAATTGAGAACAAGCGACAGGAAAGATAAGCTGAAAGAACAATGCCCGCGGCCGCGAGACTTCATATATGCATGCATGGCTGCCTATAGGATTATTAAAAAAAAAAAAAAAACCATATTGGAGACTGACTTTTCAAATAGAAAAGATGAATATGGCTTAGTACTTGCAGACCAGGCGCAGGTTGAGACTACATGTCCTTTGGGCTGTTGACCAAAAAGGCTAAGAAAAGAAAAAAAAAATTTGACAGAATTCCCCCGAACCAGAATCGAACTGGTGACTTTTCGGTTACAATTATACCATTACAGCCGAACGCCATGAACCAACTAGACCATCGGGGGTTCTTGTTGATATCAGCTGTCAATTATGAATATATCAGGCAAAGCTGTATTTTACTTCTCACTCCACTAGGTCGGCTGCGAGCCAGCAAGCCATTATTGACTAATATAGAAGAGTAAACTTGCTTAATACAATATAAACGTAGAAGAGAGAGGGGGGTTGATTGATAGACACTGAATAACTGGTTCCTGTGTTTATGAAACACCACGAGGCGATCAAGATGCTTCGTTGCATTAGCGGAAGCTCGAAACAGCAGATTTCAGGAGTTTTGGATTACGGGGAGTTGCATAGAAGAAGCAATGGCTATAGGTATGGCCACCTGAGTTGCTAAACCCGCATGGAGGCCCGTCCTTAACGAGCAGTAAGGAGTAAAACTAGTATTGAGCAATCCCGACATGGTATGGGCCGTCCTGCAGGTAATCTCATGCCCCTCCAGCGCCAGTGGGATGTCCCGTTCGATCTGCGGCACACATGCTGTACCTTGGCTTGATGGTGGCTTGACAGTGGTTATGACCAATCAACAGCAGTCTTCGTCTTTGCAGCACTTCGGAAGAAGCAGTTCTAATGATAGTGCTTATATGTCAAGCAAAAACTAAAATATCCCCCGAACCAGAATCGAACTGGTGACTTTTCGGTTACAATTATATCTATTACAGCCGAACGCCATGAACCAACTAGACCATCGGGGGATTGTTACGATGATATACGCTGCTTGTTTATTTGTTAATAATGAATAATAGCATCGGTTAGTTGTCAAGCCAGGAAGAAAAATAAAATATCTCCCCCGAACCAGAATCGAACTGGTGACTTTTCGGTTACAATTATGCTATTACAGCCGAACGCCATGAACCAACTAGACCATCGGGGGATTGTTATGATGATATGTATCAATTTTTTAATTATTAACGTAACCGGACAACGAAGCGTCGCGCGACAACGAGCCGTCGGTGACCCTCACCGTCTTATATCTCCAAGATATACAGTATTTAATCTTACTTAATTCAGTCAAAAATGAAGCTATGTAAATATATAGAGAGTTTTTGTGATAGGATCTACTTGTCAGGCTAGAAAGCCTGTCGACTAGGTAAGGAATCGGCCACTAAACACCATGGATTCGTATAATAATGACAAAGGTAGCCTATATCCACGAAATAAACTGATCCTTGGGGGATCAGTGGTCCAGGCAAGGGAGTCGGCAGCTTATAGGCGACGGGAGGCTGTAGAATCATTATCGATGACCTCATGACTCCCATAATCGCTATAATACGTCATTCCGGTGGCTTTGCTCCCGATGGGTAGGTTATTCTATCACAGTTTTAATAAGGTAGAATACTATAACTTATCTATGAAGTCTTTAATTGCGGTTAATTTGCCCCAAAAAAGATGTATACTGCAGTATCTGATATTAAGATAAGTGATACTCGAAAATACTTAATACTAGCTATTATACTATGGTGATTACAATAAAAAAATTATAATTAGTCTAAATATTTGATAAAATCAATATTTAGTATATTTATGCATTTTTATCTGGGTAGTGCTGAATTACTTTATTTTGATTCGATTGTTAGTATTTTTCGTAGGCAGAGCGGCGGCTCGTTGTCGCGCCGGTTCGTTGTCCGATTACGTGAATGGTGAATGATGACTAGTCAATTAGTTGGCAGACCAAGAAAGAAAAATAAATATTTCCCCCGAACCAGAATCGAACTGGTGACTTTTCGGTTACAATTATATCCATTACAGCCGAACGCCATGAACCAACTAGACCATCGGGGGCTTGTTGACTTTATTTGTCATATTTTACACTTATAGAGGCCGTCAAACGCTGACTATCAGGACAAGAAAAAGGTTTTAATAACCCCCGAACCAGAATCGAACAGGTAACTAGACTATCGGGGGCATGTTGATGTAAGCTAAGTAGATTCTGTTTATGGATGCACAGAGTGTGAGGACCCGGAAAGTCCTCACATTATTCACTGCAAGCTTATAAGTGATGCGCGTTCTGAGCTGTTGGACTCAGAATTCTAGTCATTCACCGGATGGCCTAGTGGTTTTAGACCCAGAGGATTCACTGCCTGAAGCGCACCAGGTTGGTTCCTTGACACGGAGCTGGCTGTCAAGGCAGGGGTAAAAAAAGATGTCATGTCCCCCGAACCAGAATCGAACTGGTGACTTTTCGGTTACAATTATACCATTACAGCCGAACGCCATGAACCAACTAGACCATCGGGGGATACGATGGCGAAACAGCCAAAGTTTTGGCTATATATTCCAGCATTGTACCTATAGCAACTCGATAGTGACAAGTCGCACTCCCCGGTTGTAGCGACAAAGCTACGAAGGGGATATGCTGTGTTTCGAGGGCAGACCGAAGATAACTACCATAGTAATACCAATCAGCTTAGTATGGGAATATGCCCGTCGCCTTTTTCATCCAGTCAAAAGTGAGTGCTCTGTAGTACAGTGTCGCTGCTATTGGTTGAATGATATATATCCTACGGCGCGGAAACAAAATGGAACGCTATCCGTTACTACTAACTAGTAGTATTGCTAGTAAGATCCCGTGAAAGCGAGTACTAATGGCGGCATCCGATGGTTGTTTACCACCAAATACTGAAACGAACGCAACATCTGAGTTGATGATACATAACCCCGCTAGCTAAAGATCAAGAGAATGAAGTTCATTTTGCAAGCGTAGGCGTGTACTAGATTACCTGATCTTCGTGGGATGTCCCTTATCTGGTGTAGCAAGATCCGCGAGTTATCTCTAGCAGATCGATATCCTCCTGCGTAGAGGAGCTACTTCAACACACTATGTAGGCGTTCGTAATCCCAATTCTCCTTCTTGAAAGCCTCCAAAAGCTTGCTAGCCTGCTGACAAGAGAGGTGAGGATGAAGTCGCAGAAGTACTATCACATTGCGTACCTTGACTATCGTCACTGCTAGACTAACTAATAATGCGGTAAAACTGATAGTTAGCATGGATACTTACCCCAGTGAAGCTTTCATTTTCGTGACTGTACGTTTGTCGAAGAGGGGAGCCCTGGCCTAGCCAGATCAGTGATAAGCTTGGCTTCATACAGATTATGTTGAATCATTGACTCTAGCCAGGCCTCACCTGAGCCTCCGCCACCTCTGACACCAACCTACAACCATCATCTTGAGATCTATTTAGACCAAATACATACATTCAACCCCTGCGCCTTGAGAGAATATATTGATTACACAGTAGACGATGCATATGACAGATAGTGGACAAAGCGAGGGCAAAGGTAAGGAGGGTAAAAGAAAAGGGTAACTGATTCCCTTCTAAGAATGCAGTAGAGCTATCTCGACGCATGATCCAATACGGTCTGCCATGGAGTTATTGCTTGTGATCGATTTCTGGCAGCCGCTATTGATCGGTTCCTCCGGGTTAAACTTGTCGTTTGGCCGCATCAAATCCGGTTACGGTGCCATCGCAGCTGCACCGCACATTTCGCACGAATGACCCGGAATAGCCTGGAACTTCTAGTCTGGACTTGACTTCACCTGCCAATCTTCCTTTTAATTCATTAATTATTTTTATTATTATTATAATTTTTTTTTTTTTTTTTTTTTTTTTTTTTTTTTTTTGATACCTAAAGATATTGTTTGTGCATGATTTGATGGTCATTCATCGTCCGAGCACAACAGGAACCGGAATGACCTCATGGCGGTGGTTTCGGTACGGTCGGAGGCATCCGTGGCAAACCATGGATTTGTACAGCAGTCATCTAAGCCAGTCACAGCAGAGGAAGAGAGCTGGGCAGGGCCTTGAAGTGCCCTTATTGATGGATCCAAACTGTCAGGCCCCGTCATCTTGATTGGGGAAATTAGGGGGGAGGGAGGGAATACAGTATGCAGGGCATGAACTCGCTGTGAACAGGGCGATGACGTCCTTCTCACATCAGAGTCCCGGGGGCTGTCAGAACCCTTTCGCGCCCAGCTATTATAAACCACCGATCAAATGGCACCTCGGCAGTCTTCAAGGTCCATTCGTGTTCGCGTAGCCTTCGAATTTTAATCAACTGCATCGCTTTGACACGTCTGAAGATGCATGAGCACACACGAAAGCACAAGGTGGCCGTGGTCGGCTCCGGTAATTGGTATGCACCAACCCTTTCTTGCCGCTGCCGCGCATTTGGCTAATACCGTTGTAATCTAGGGGATCCACCATCTCCAAGATTGTTGCGGAGAACGCCAGAGAGCATTCGGACCTTTTCGAGCCAGAAGTGCGCATGTGGGTGTTCGAGGAGGAAATCGAAATCCCTGAATCCTCCAAGCACCACTCCAAACTAGGCGGCCAGAAGCACAAATTGACCGAGGTCATCAACGGAGTCCACGAGAATGTCAAATACCTGCCGGATATTGCACTCCCTGAAAACGTCGTAGCCGACCCAGATCTCAAATCGGCTGTTAAAGATGCTACATTACTCGTCTTCAACCTCCCCCATCAGTTTATCGGCAAGACCCTCGATGGTGTTGTCGGGCACCATCTACCCTATGCGCGAGGTATCTCTTGCATCAAGGGCGTCGATGTGTCTGACGGAACCGTGACCCTTCACTCGGAACTTATCATGGAGCGACTGGGCATCTACTGCGGCGCCTTGTCCGGCGCCAACATCGCCCCAGAGGTGGCCGCGGAGAAGTTTTGTGAGACGACCATTGGTTACGACACCCCTCCAATGGATGTGGAGGAGCGTGATGGGTCGCCGAAGGAAAACTTAATCAAGATTGATGAGCAGCGGCAACATAAGACTAAACCCACGCATGTCAAATTACACCCAGTGCCAAAAGATCTCCCCCCTGTCGACGCTGAGCTGTGGGAGACTCTGTTTGCCCGCCCATATTTCCATGTTAATCACGTTCGCGATGTTGCCGGGGTGGCTCTAGGGGGTGCACTCAAAAACATTGTAGCTTTAGCATCGGGGTTTGTTGCAGGAAAGGGCTGGGGAGAAAATGCCAAGGCTGCAATTATGCGTGTCGGCATCTTGGAGATGATCAAGTTTGGTCGGACGTGGTTTCCCAAGTCTGTGGATGAGAGAACCTTTACCGAGGAGAGCGCGGGTCTAGCGGACGTGATCTCCTCGTGTAGCGGTGGGCGGAACTTCCGGTCAGCTTGTCACGCAGTCGAGCAGGGGGTCAGCGTCAATGAAATCGAACAGAAGGAGCTCAACGGTCAGAAACTGCAGGGGACTTCGACGGCCTACGCTGTTTATGACTTTCTCTCGAAGCACGACCAGTTGAAGGAATTTCCGTTGTTTGTTGCTGTTCATGGTAAGCATTCTCTTCGGTTTTCTGTTCCTCGCAATCTCTCACTAACTTTTTGTCAGATATCCTCGAAGGGAAGTCTACTGTTGATGACCTCCCAGCACTGCTAGATGGGAAAAAGAAGAAGAATAAGAGCGCCTGAGCGTGCGTGATCACATTCAATGGTGCTGGGGAAGTAGATAATGAGATATGACACGTAGCTAGAATGTGAAAACCTAGTTAATAGATGAGTCAGAGTTAACGCTTTTAAAGCATCTTTTTAGCTTGCACCATTGCTGCTCTTGAGGTGCTGAGTGGTGGACAAGACCAGATCACAGCAGGTGCCAGTGAAGGTCTATCGCGACTGCCGTCACATGATGCGGCATTCTACATCCCTATGTAAGTCAGAAACAGGCGATAGTATAGACTCTGGCACGGTCAGCAACAAGCAAAACAAAGAATGAAAAGGATATACACATGTAGGAACTAGCTCGTTTTATCACAAATCTATCATCACCCACAGCTATACTTCAAATCCTAACCAGAGACTCTGCCATTGATCTAGAAATACATGCAATCAATCTGAGTACCTGGTTCAATGGTTAGCATTTTAGACGAGAAAACCTGCCAAATGGAGTCACATCACTATGATCAGGTATATGCTTACTTTGGGCTTACTGTATCTTCTCGGGTTATTAGCTCGTTGTAATTTTATACTGGCTACTTGCTTACCTGAAGTTTGGGGCTGTGTCACATCGATTTGACTTCTATTACTTAGTGGCCCAGGAAAGAGCTTTAGATGGCGACTAGGGGATGCACCTGAGATGGCCCTGATGATAGCCCAGTCATATGAGGCATCCGACTTGTGTCACCTTGAGTCACGATGTGTAAAGGCAAATGGCAGTTGCCTATTTCTGGAAGCAATTCCAAAGGTATTCAATCCCTTTAAAGTCTTCAAGATTCACGGGGTGTCTCATTTCGTTGCACTCATAGTAGCGGGACTTTCCTTTGTAGTCCACCTGGTTTTCGCTCCGTGAAATACCGGCGAGTGAAGTTGAAATTGTATTTGCTTTATTACTTGCTAAATTCACCCACTCTAGTATAAAGAGATCTCCTAATCACACACCACAGCCACACAGGAAACAATAGGGAACCACTTGCATGGTACTCTCCTTCTACCTACAGTAGAGCTCACACTGGCTCGGAATCATGTTTTTATATATATAAACCGGAACGAGCGTGTCGATACTGCAAATTATTGGCACACATCGACAAACACTGCCCTGAACATAAAACTTGCATCTACTGCAAAGGGGGCCGCAACATCATCGAGTGTAAGAGGGTTACGTGCAGAAGACGCAAAACTAGAGAGCATCATCAAGTCGTCTATTCAAATACGCCAGAGTGTACGTTGTCGCGCTGAAAGGAAACATTTGCACACCATACAGACTTGCTGACTCTGTTGGAAAGCTTTAGGCATTGGCTTGAGCCTGATTCCAGACAGATCCAAGCAGTATGAATATTCTCCGCCACTTCCAAGAGACCGACCTCGACATCAGGATTAGTCTTCTTTAAGGGGCAGAGGATATTGGACCGTCACACTTCAATAAATCTGAATATCTCTGTCCGGTCACCCGGTCATTCAGACAAGAGATAGTTTGCGATCGATGAAAAGCGTGAGGAATGTAAGTATATGACTGCCAGGGACTGCTATTGGTATTAACCAGCCTTAGGAGCTACTACTGCAAGAAAACTTTATCTTTCCGTACCTTAAGCCACTGTGCAGCGAAATGGTCATGCAGGGTTTACTACCGGGATCTTCATCGCCTCATTGCAACTACTTGAAGCTCGATTCTGCAGAGCTTTCAGGATCCACCATGGAAAGGGGAATCGACTGAGTCGGAGCACCAGAATTATGGCCAGGCCTATAATGCTCATCCCTTGCTGGAACAATTCAAGCGTGGGGCATATACCAGTCCACTGCCTCGCGAATCGTGTGTTGATGTGCTGTTCCATGTACCCGCCGCCCCTTCCTTCCCTTTCCTTTCTTGCACTGAACATTCAGCATCCATCTCGGACTTTGCCGGGGAGGGACCTTACTAATATTAGAGAACCGGCATCTTGCTAGGCAGTATACTGTCAGAGGGATTACCAAGATCCAGCCAGTGTTTTAAAGTACTGATTCGCTCTCTTAATCAGTGTAGCTGGGACTACGAGCTTCGGGGTTATATTGATTGATTGATTGTCCCTCTAAAATTATAGTTCCTTAAGAGTACATTATGAAAAATGTAGAAAAAAAAAAAGCCCCTGGTGGGGATCACCCACAGCCTTAAGATTAGAAGTCTTACGCGCTACCGATTGCGCCACAAGGGCTACTTCTCTGAAAGGTGAATCAAAAATGTGAATTATTAAAATGAATCTGCGTTTGATTGGAGGTCCGGAGTGACTTGCCCGTCCCCAATTTTCTTAATTTCGGGCAAATTCACAACTCCTCCTCCAGAAACCTCCTATTTCAAATAACACAGACAATGCGGAGTATAACTAGTCGTCTTAGAAAGGAATACTCACGCTTTATAGCCACGAAGGGCGTTTTAATTCTCTATTAGAGTGACTTCAAGATGCCTTTTGTGGTAATGGTTATTGTACACAACTCGAACAGAACTGCTCACCCCATTACTTATATATTCAGTGCCTGATTGTTCTAGCTTCATTCGTCATTCTTTCATCTTCATCTCTTGGTGTGGAGTTGAGATCTTTTGACTTCATGCTGTCAGGGATGACGCCCGGGTTGAGTGAATTGCGTTGGCCTAGACCTTCTTGAAAATACGTTCTACTGTATTTGATTCATTGGATGTAAAGTTAGACCACGAGCTACAGGACTTGAATCTAGAATGGCGGTGCTAGCCAGCGGCTTGTTGTATTCTCGGCCGTTGTTCAACGAGTTCCATGCGATGACACTTAAGAACAAGACACGTTAAAGGTTTCGGGACTACAAAGTAAAAAAATGGGCCCCATCCCGGAAGGCTGGTTCATTACACCTGTATATCCTCAGTTGCTGAAGACAGTCAAGTGCCTTATCCCAGATAAACCTACGTTGTCAGGCCAAGGCCTGTATAGGAGCGGCATCAATGGAAACTATTGCCGACTGCACGGGATCACGGAGCATGAGTACATGCTGGCAACCATAGCAGTGATTATAACGCAATGATCGTTGGTTTTGTAGCCATTAGAAGCATTTCCTGTTCCTATCCAATGGCACCTTGGCTACGATTGATTTCAGAGTGAAGACCGGTCAATGGCCTCAGCTTGTGTTACTGCCTGACACCGCCCACAGACGGTTGCATTACGATAAAGCTAATAGTATGAAGAAGCACGACGAAGTATGCCCCACTGATGCATATGCGGTTCTCAGCGATCATTTGCAAGTCAGTTTCTGTTTGAACGCGGTATGCATGATAGCAAGATGATGAATGGCTCATACTGCTGGCCTTGTCATATGAATCCGCGACATAAAAGGTAGGCGGTGATGATCCCCGGACAAGGGGGTGCTTTCCCGTTGTGGATCCCACCAGTGTCTCCATCCTTCGCTTAACTGTGAAGAATTCAAGGTTCTCGCTCATTCCCTTACCCAGATTCGAGAATGTCGGTTCTACATTGAACTTGGCCGCGGGTCTATCTGGTTTGTTTATTGACAAGGCAGTTATAATTTCCCTTGTGTCACGATCCCAGGAGTCTATCTAGGCACGAGAACAAGGCAGCCGAGCATTCTGTCTCTCAACCTTTAAACTTGCCCGGCTGCATTCTTACTATCCCTTTCAATTTATAGGCTCGTTAAGGGGCATTAAAGCTCGGACTAAATTCTGATGCGGTGAAGAATCGTTCGAACTTTGGCAACTTTGAGCAATCACGTATCTCCAAGTTTCCGCTATCCAGGGACACAAATGTGTATGCCAACTCCATCTTAGAGAGCCAATCGCGTCCGCCTTCAGCGCCCTCAATGAACTGTATAGACAGAAACAGTATAGTGGCCGATGCTGCAGGCCTCCAAGGATAAAGAATCCGGGGATGTAGATCCCTGACCCTCACTCGTGCCGGAACCGGCCATGCTTGTGGGGCTGGAGCAAGGGGTGACGCCAGTGGATCCAGCGGCTTGCATCCCATCGATCCTTGCCATAACATGCAGTCTCTACTATGGAAACTTTGGCTGTGCCTCAGGTAGACGCGTTGCAGCCAACTCAGGTTATTCAACGAATGTGGACTTGACAATAATAGGATTCTCTTCTGGCTTCCAATCAGTGATATCTTGTGACAACATTGGGCCCATTAGTTGGTCGAAATGGTGCATCCCTTGCATTACCCGCATGTGGTAGGGTGATACCGTGTGGGGAATTCATCTTGGTCAATTTGACAAGACCAGTAGATACTACACTGGCTCATCCCTTTCTTCATGAAAGTTATCATTCCGTACGTGATCCTACTATAAACACAAGCAGACGCCGAAGGAGCCATCTCAGGTATAAATACGAGGTGTTGACCTGCTGTTTTTCATCTTCATTAACCAGAGCACAACAGCCATCAACCACCAAATCCAATCACTCTTTTACTAACCTATCCACAGGAAACCGTGAGTTAGACACCATTCCTGATTCATCCATCCCACAACTAACCAGTTCCAGACATCCACCCAAAATGCGCTTCACCTACCAGGCTCTTGCTGTCTTCATCAGCTCCCTCCTCGTCAACAGCGCTGCGGCCCACGCCTGCGAGAGCAGCGCTGTCTGGCCCGATCCCGCCGACTGCCACCATTTCTACCAGTGCATCCCGGGCACTGAGCCCGCCCACAAGGTGTGCGGTGCTGGCACTGCCTTCAACCCCAAGATTAGCGCATGCGACTACGAGCAGAACGTTCCTTCTTGCTTCAAGGACCCCCACCACCCTCGCCCTTTCCACGCCTAGATGGCAAACCTACTTTCCGACCAAAGTCACTCTTTCACGGATATGTTTGAGTATAAGTGTACAGGCTTATACTGGAACGTTTAATTTCTAATGTATCTCTAATTTGGGGGTCGACTATAACATACCTTGAGAAAAGTGGATGAATTTGTTATCGGATCTGTTTTCATCTTGTATCATCAGTTGCATGTACTATGACCGTTCATATAATACTGCAAAATGTGTCATTCATATTTTGAATCATTTGTTCAATTAATAACCAATATGATCGTTACTAACGGTATCATATCCTCTATGAAAGGTCTATCAAATCTACATAAAATGGTATCATAAACAATAAGGGTATGCATCCGCTTTACAGATGGTATTGAGGGGCGCCGCTTTCCTCAAATCCCATACGCTGCCACCAGCGATCAACACCCATGTCTTCTTGCGAGCTGTCAAATTGTTAGCTTACATTCCACAACAATATAAAACAGCTTCAGAATTTGAGGAACTTACTCCCAAGACTCCTTAACAACAGGCTCATTCTGACCCTCGGCTGGGTTAGGATTCCGGAAAACAATGTTATATTTCTGTACAACCAGACCATTAGCATCCCTCCATATCGCGAAGACAAATAAATAAAACAAAAAAAAAAAAAAAAAAAAAAAAAATCTTACCAATCCCAACGTAATATGAATCGCCGTCGGGAACGGCGGGAACGCCTCCTCCGGCTTCTTCCCCTCAATCATCGCCTGGATATTCTTCGCCACGGTCGCGGCCTGGGGACCGCCGGGTCTTGCGGCCTTGCGCAAGCCAGTATCAGCGATATCGCCCAGCGCAAAGAGGTTCGGGTACTTCGGGTCCTGGAATTGCATGGTGGGACGGATACGAATGAAGCCGTTGTCAGGGTTGATGAGAGAATCGGGAGAAGAAGCATGGAGAGTCTTGATCAGGTCGTTGTTGGGTTTTTGGCCCGTGGCAAGGATGACGAACTCGGTTGTGAGTTCGGTGCCGTTGTTCAGTTGGACGGTGAAGGGCGTGCCGTTGTTAGGGAAGCCGGTTTCGGGGACGACGATGCGGGCGCCGGTAACCAGGCTGAAGTAGATTAGTTGGGATGATCTGATAGATAAGGGGGAGAAGTGAAACTAACTTGATACCGAGCTCTTCGAAGCGCTTCTTAACGATTTCATGCAGACCACGGTGGAATTGGGGCATCAATTGGTCGCGCGACTGCACCACGGTAATTTCCTTCTCTGGGTATAATTCCTTCATGTCGGTGGCCATCTGCACGCCGACGGCTCCACCGCCCACGATTACTACAGACTTGGCTTTCTTGACGTCGGCTTGGTGTTTTTGGAGGTAGACAACGGAGGACGGCTTGTCGTCGTCTGTCATGGCTGCAGGCTGGGCGAGACGCGTGCCTGTCGCAACAACGAGGTACTCGAATGGAATCTGCTTCAGGCCTTGCCAGTCACGATCGAGATTGACGTGTTGGGGCTGTACGGAGAGAACGCGCGCCTGGACGACTGCATGTTGTGTGGCGTTGGGGGCGGAGGAGTAGAGGCGGGAGTAGGGAATGAAGGCCTTTTGTTCGTGGCCAGGGACGACGGCGAATCGGGGCTGGGGTGCGGATTAGTTTGTGTCTATAGCGATATATGGGCCAGTAGGACGGTGTTGTCACATACAAATGCGAAGAGGTGGTGGAAGTGACTGTGGGGTTCGATCAGGAGGACCTGCGGACGTAGGTTAGTCTGGTGACCAGGATAGCTGGGCAGTGGGTAGGACATACTCTATGCGTGTTGGGCACAACCCGCGCAAGCTCCTGTGCGACTCCCTGAACTTGCTGTCAGTCATGCTTCTGCATTTACAACTGAGAGTTGCGCGTGGAATTACCTTTCCGACATAGGAACCGCCCACGACGATGACATTCTTCAGCGAAGATGCGGCCATTCTGTTGGAGTTTTCGGTGCGATCTTGAATTATTCTTGGAGCAATGGACGAGATAATCAATGCTATGGTTACAGTGATAACAATCAATGAAATCAATGAAGGTAGAGGTCTGTCTGAAGGTAGAAACATGATAAAGGCGCGACCGAGCGAGCAAGAGCACGACTATATAAGGGCGGCAGAAGGCTTAGCCCCGGAGGCAAAGTGGGGGATTGTCGCCAGGGGGGTTCGGCATATTCCTTATCTGATCTCCCGGTTTCCTGATAGAGTATCTCCGAGAGAGCATCCACCACGGATTGGGTCCGGGTGACAGTGGCGTCACTCCGATATTTCCGGTGGTCCACATTGCCGTGTACTTGGTATCTATCTTGCCGTTGGGCAGTTCTTTCGGATATGGATCTTGGTGTTGTGAGTCAGTTTGTGTGAAAGTTTGAGAGAGCAAGGGCGCCATAAGAGCGGATGGTGTGTATGGCTTCGAAACTAAGGGCCATCTCGACCGTGGGGGTAGTCTCAGCAAGAGCCATTTTTTGTGAAATATCTGAATTGGCTGGAAAGCAGAGGATTCTAAGAATCAGAATCCCCCCTACGAACCACCAGCCTTAAGAAGATCAGATAAGAGAAGGTCAGCCTGACGCAGGCACCGAGGCACCACCGCCGAGCCCCACGGCAGTTGATCGCGGATGAAGTCCTCGGATATGCGGGGTTCGGATATACGGCCGGGATCGATGACATGTTCCACGGACTCGGTTCCAGGGTGTGGTTCTGTGGTTGGACTTGCCAGTCTGGGGTGATTGATAGGTCCTTGAGTATTAGGAGCGTCACGCGTACCGATACTTCCTATTAGGTTGTCATCACGTCTCTTATCCCGCGCCCATAGTTACCGGATGCGCAGCGCAGGTCCAACAACACCCACTAAAGACTCATGGATAAAGCCGCAATAGTCAGAGAAAGGCCAGAAGTAAATCTTTGCTATACTACTGCCTACTCTTCAACATGTTGCTGCCTATCAAACTGGAGAAACCCTCAGTTGGAAGGATGACGCTGCTGCCTCGTATCTCAGGCGCCAGCCACGTGGGCTCCACGCTTAAGCCCCGTAATCTCGTGCTTATCGCGTCTCACGCAGCACACACGCAACTAATCTAATTTCTTTTGTCTCCAGGCTAATCATTTTCAATTCTACTGGCAGCTCGACCTATGCTCCTCGACACTCCGGGATCATCCGAAATCACAACACCCCCAGCATCCACCCGCAAGAGAGCTGGGGGAAGAAGGTCCAAGACTGGATGTCGTACCTGTCGGTGAGTTCAGCCTGCACGACACTACCATAGATACTCTGCTAACAAACCCGCGCTCTTTAGTGCCCGCCATAAGAAATGCGATGAAACCCCAGGCGCCTGCATCAATTGTACATCTACGGGTCGAACCTGCGATGGATATGAGCTCCACCGCTTACCCCGCGAGGTGAGGAGACCCGGAAAAGCAGTGGTGGGGATAACAGTGCCCGCCTCACTCGCGAATGGGATCCACTGGGTGATGAATTCCGACGAGCAACGAGCGTTCGCCTATTTTCAGCATCGATCCATGCCCGCGTTTTTAGGATGGTTTGACTCGTCGCTATGGCAGAAACTGGTCCTCCAGTTGAGTCATGCAGAGCCCGCTGTATACCACGCAGCTATCGCATTGAGCGCCATCCACCAGGATGCCGAGAAGAAAGGCATGCCGCTTGCTAGGGAGGACTTGGACAATACTTGGCATCGCTTCGCTTTGGAACAGGCGGGACGCTCCATCGTCTTGCTCAATGCGCGACGGACATCGCAGGATCCCCGTCTGAGAGAGGTCACTCTGCTGTGCTGCTTGCTTTTCACGTTGTCTGAATTGCTGCGCGGTCGGTACGATAACGCTTTTAGACATCTGCATGGTGGTATACACATCTTGAAAAATCTAGGCGCCCATAGACAGCTTGATTCGGTGGCAATGTCTAAGCCTCCGGTCGAGTGGTGTCTTGTCGAGGCATTTGCGCACTTGGACGTCCAGTCTACCCAGTTCGGCGTAGGAGGACCGATCTGGTTTACCGGTAAGCAGGACCATATCCAGCTAGGGAATGGGAAGTCCTCCGTTTTTCATTTTCATACTCTTGCAGAGGCGCGTCGAGCTTTCGATCGCGTGATGGGCACTGTTCTTGAGTTCACAGCAAAGGCATGGGGCTCAACCCACAGTCAGATCGCATCGGACTACGAAACACTATACAAGGAGCAGCTCGAACTCTGTCTACAGATAGACACATTTGCACGAGCATTCGATACATTTCGAACCGACGCATACCCTCAGATGAGCCCGAAAGAGCGACGAGGAGCCGACGTTGTCCACCTTCACCAGCGAGCCGCAACCCTCACCCTCCAAACCTGCCTTTTAGACGGAAACGAGCCGGTACTTGATCAGTACACGCCCGAATTCGAAAATATCCTATCTTTAGCGGCTGCAATCATGCACACATTCCCAGAGCGCCCGAGTGTTTGCTTTGACATGGGCATCATTCCACCTCTGACTCTCGTGGCGACAGGCTGCCGTGATTACAATGTTCGGTGGCGCGCAATTGAGATGCTTTGTTCTTGGCCTCATCGCGAGGGGACCTGGGATTCCAACTTGTGTGCGCAGCTGGCGGTTCATACTATGAAAGTGGAGGCATTGAATAAATTCAATGTGGATGCGAGTGGAACACCGGCCGATGTTCACAATGAGCCATCCTTGCGAGGTATATTCATGACAGTCGAAGAGGATCAGCGCCAGGCGCGTATTTCGTACTTTCTTGGAGATGTAAAGCACGAACTCCGGGTTATGCTGGAGGAGGATATACATCCCTTTTAGTGGATCTGTTACGCCAGGGTCGCCTATCCTGTGGTCGTCGGTCCTTGATCACAATGCGCGAAAAGAAGAATAATTGATATTGCGAGACGAGAGATGTCAACACTACTAGGTGTAGTTCTAGGGGTTCAAAAGTACCTGGGAGCTGCTAATAAGAGTCTCTATTGCACCGAGCTCAGGCTACACAGAGTGATGGCAACGATTAAGGTACTAGTGAATCACAAACGGCGCCTCCTGAACCGGCGCAAACAGTTCGTCAACCGGAACCACCCTTTCGATCATCCCCTGTTCATACAGGTACTGCACCAGCGCCTCCAAAGTCTTACGGTTCTTCTCAATCCCATACGGCCAGCAATCTTCCCCGAACACCTCGACAGTTTCTTCCAGTGCCTCCCGCAGCCACGGCAACATACATCGGATCATACCAGGCATGTAGGTTCTCTTGCGGACCAACTCCTTCGACTCATTCAGCGCCTGAAACAAGCTAGTAGCGATCCACTTGTGCTGGTCGTACACTTCCCTTCGGATAGCGACCAGGTGCATGATCGGGAAGATACCCGTCTTCCGGTAGTATTCCTTTTCGGCCTCCTTATAATTAGGGAACAGGCGCTGGATATGAGGTGCTTTCTCGTTGTCCCACAGACAGGATGGGACCTCCGCGCCGATGGTCGCATCGATCTCGCCGTCTACCAGCAGCTGGTTTAAAGATTTCCCGCTGTTGTTCTTTTCAATGTTGGCCAGAGGCTTGCCCCCTTCTCTCCGAATCAGGACAGATGGCTTGCCATGAGCCCCGGGCGCGTCCATCCGCCCCTCTATCCAGGTGATGCTCGACAGATCCACGCCGTACTCGTGCATTAGTAGACCGCGAATCCATACAGCAGCGGTCATAGTATATAGTTGCACACCGATGCGCTTCCCCGACAAGTCTGCGGGGGACTTGATGCGGTCAGCGTTGACGACGATGTATCCGTGACGAAAGGTACGGAGCGGGAAGGCGGGGACAGCAGTAAAGGTGCGATCGCCGGCGACGTGGCGGGTAATAAATTCGCTACTGGAGAGTTCGGAGGCGTCGAACTCGCCGTTGCGGACCATACGGTCAAACACGTCGCGGGGATGCTGGACTTCGACATAGTTCAGATCAAGTCCCGCGGGGCGAACTTCGCCGGTCGCGAGCGGGACCATGCGGTCGTAGCAAGGGGCAGCAAAGGAGAATTGAATGGGCATTGTGACTGTGTTTGCAGTGAGGAGTGACGACAAGGAAAGAAATCAGTATGTGTTGGGTGGAGGGCGGCTTGATGAGCTTAAGAATTGCCCAGAAACCTAATCGCAGACAAGGTGACCCACTGCAGACTCGGCCGTGAGTGATAGTGGGGATAATTTTCGGGCTTAGCATCGTTGCAACTAGCTCCGAGCGGAGCTAGACAGCGTACCACATGATTTCTCTGTCGAGAAAATGTATCCGCCAGGGCGGATAGGGCTGCGCTTTCATGAGGGGAATGATACTGAAGGCGTAGGGTCAGACACTAGGGAGGTCATCTCGTGTATCCGGTCCATTCAAGTCAGTTGTGAGGGCTGGCAGCAGATCTGCAACTCGGGCTTATGGAGAAGACCCTCGGGCTCCCTCGGACTTCTCGGGAATACCCTATGGCAGGATCCAAGCGCGTCAGATTGGCCCCGGCTTATTCCTGTTCTCGGAATCGCTCTGTGCTACAAATATGCTCGAGACGTGTGGTGATGGATAACGTCGGCTTTGACTGGAGTGGAAGCTACGAATGCGTATCCGCAGTCCACGCTTATCGCTCACTACATGATCATGGGCGTGACGGCAACTCAGACATCCTGAAAAGCGGAATTGTAGGTTCTCCCACGCCATTCTTGATAGACTCCAAGGAGTCGACGAGAAATTCATTCTCCGCGTCAGTCGTCTGCAACATCGACAAGGCCTTGTCTTCATTGGGAAAGTCCCTTTTGAGCGCACCCAACGCCATCAGAGCAGTGACATTGGAGCTGTGAAGGCCCTCGTAATGTGGCCATGACCGCAAAAGACGAATAGCGCGTATGCGAATCCCCACGTCTGGGCATTGTGTGGCCACAAGGTACATGTGGGCAATCATGACGTGGTCCATTACAAGGCCCGAGACGGACTTGAGCTTCTCGATCATGTCTTCATGGGCCTGAAGTAGCGCAAGGAATTCCGGAACCAGAGACTCTGGCACTGGTCCACGAATTAACACAGTTTTGAGTGTGAGAGTGTGACCAAGGTAAAGCAAGTAGGTGATATCTGCTCCCAATTGCTCCTTCTCGCTTAACTGATGATATTTTGTCACGCGGAAAGACGTGAAATGTAGGTCAAACTCAGCGAAAGCATCTAGCAATCGCCGTTGACTTTGGTAGAGTGACTCGTAGTTGGTCTCCATGTTGGAACCGTTCAGGCTCCAGCTCCTTGCAACCAAGGGTATACCCGCTGTGAATAGAACTGTGATTTTCTCTCGTACCTGGCTAAGGCTAGTAAAGCCGCCTGTTGGTGCTTCGAACAACTTAAGCGGGGATTGATTCCCATACTCCAGGCTTAGGATCGGAAACCGAGTATCATAGAGAGAGGCCTGTGTATCCAGGCGGCGAAATGCGGCAACTATTGATGGCTCAACCTCCGACTCCAGCTTCCCTTGGATTTCGAGTTCTTTTAGAATACGGAGACCGCCGTGTAAATGCGTGAACGCACTGTCATACTGCGCGACAAGCACATCGAATAGAACAAAGAGCAGACAGCACAGGAGGATGGTTTGGCGCAGCTGGGGATCCTGGGAGTTCCGGCGCTGGTTCAGGAGCGCGATGGCCCGCGTGGACTGCTGAAGAGAAAAGTAATACTGCTGGCTCCCAATGCGTGACCGTGCAGAAATCTGCATATTATGCAATTCCGACTCCTGGTGCGCAGCACTCAACATATTCACCGCATGAAATACAGCCGGATCAGTGCGAGACATCTGTAGGGCCAACTGCTGCCAGAGTGGGGAGTCGAAGAACCCGGCCAGATTCGTAACGGAACGATATTGAAAATAGGAATAACAACGGTGTTCATCCGACGTCATCATCCAACCCAGCCGAGTGCCTATATCCTGTAGACCTCGGCGCTGCGGCAACCGGTACGCATCGTATCCGTCGCACGTCCAGTTAGCAGAGACGCAGTTGTTGCATTGTCCTGGCGATTCATCGCATTTGATCCGTCGGATTCTGGGCATGGAAAGTCCTCGGTTAGTGCTAGTGTCTCGTGCCATCAGTTTCCATGTACTGCTTCCCCTCCTTACCGGCAGGTACGACAACCTGTCCTAGATCTCTTCCCGGCGCTCTTCCGGTGTTTGCTGGATAAGATGAGCTGCACCTGGGCCATTGTTGAACAACGACTAGGGTGGGATTTTCTGGAATTGCTTTCGAATAGTACGCAGGGAAGAAGGGGCGGGAGCCAGAGGGGGCCTAAATACCACTAGCGGGTGTCGATTAATCTGTTTGGCTAGAGGGTAACCGGGTGCTTAGTAGCACTAGTGACCGGGCCATGCAGACCGACAGGGAACAGGATTTATCGAGATGGTAATTTAGCCACTGCATAGGCCGCGCAGGAACTGTTATGAAATCCGACGATAATAGATGGACATAATATAGGTTTCCAGGGGTGCGAATCGTCTATTTAGATCTCCCCGCAATTCACCTCCTCTCAGCCCATGTCATGTTTTTATTACACGAGGTGGGGGAAAAAGTCTCACGGGATCTGGACAAAGCAAGGCTGCTTTAGCGTGGTTCTAGTGAAGGTAATCACTAACTAACTAGTTAATTAATGAGTCGTAGTATCACGTCAGCACATGATTATTTTTTGTGGTAGTTGGAAGTTACGCACGTTTTCTGGTAGAAGACATGTTGTGAACATCCTGCATGGTCGTCGTAATGGTATTACATGCACTAGTACTTAAGAGTACTAGTGGTAGCCTGCTTGAGAGGACTCGATGATCCAGTTGTGTTCAGTGATAACTGTTGGGCGGTTACCAGCTGTAGGCGGAGATATATAATCCAGAGCCCGCTGGTTTGTTGAACGCAGGACTGGAGCCAGATACTACTTAATTTTGCTGTGAGACACAAGTTGAATGCCAGAGATAAACTAAACAGATACGAGCCCCAGATCTCAATAATGTTGAGAAGGTCTGATGACATCGAGACGTGGCCCAAAGTCATTGATGCTTGCGGAGTTCTTCCGAAGGCCACCCAGGTAGACAACAAAACACGTGCCGCGACCGTGGTCAGAGGCCAGACTGTAAGCTGGTCTGCAGACTAAGTAGTACTGGGAATCAGTACAGCGCATGAGGGAGCGGGAAGTGCGAGTGGATATAGATTAAGGTTGAGCTTGTGCTTGTAAGCTTTGAAAGGAAGGGACGATCCACATATATGACCTGAAGATTTACTTAGAATCACAATGCCATTGTCGAACATTATTTTAGGAATATAATTTCAAATAATCCCAGCTCTTTCAAGCAATGGCTGGTTGGTGTAGTTGGTTATCACGTATCGTTAACACCGATAAGGTCCTGGGATCGAGCCCCAGACTGGTCATTATTTTTTTGCTATTTTTCTATCCCCACCCCACTCCTGCTGGACGACGGGGCCACTTTTAGAGGCTTAGCCTCTCTTTGGGTCGAACCATCATCTGTCGTATTATCCTACATTTAGGATCTATACATTATGGTGACAATTTGGACCAAGACACTTAAGCTGCCCCCGATCTATGCTTTCAAAGTAGGCAGCTCGGGATAAATCGTCGGGCCTACTGGTGCTGTGGCGAGCATTCATCATCAAACCTCACCCATTCCTCAAGAACTGCATTAACTCCTTTCGTCAAAATCATCAAAAGGGAAATGATCTCGGATAGCAATAACCTCATCAGGAGTCTCTGCCGCTTCAAGCATTTGAACCTTCATGTCACATGCCAGTCTTCTCGCAGCCTCATAACCTTCATTTGGTACCCAGCCCAAAACATCGACACCTAAAGCATGTCGCATCTGTTCCATTGCCACATCGGCTTCTTTTTGCTGCATGTCTAAGTCAAAGGTCTCCCGGACAACATCTTCTGGATACTCTACCGGAGGAGCAATATCAGTAGTCTGGACAATGGCTGACCAGTTCGATATCGAGCGAATGAGCTCAGCTCGCAATGAGACCGAGTCCCCTTCCCAGGGTGTACCGGCACTCTTGAAAAGGCGTTGGCGGAGTATAACAGACTGGTCGAAGAGAGCATCATAATGATCTTGATTTAGTCTTTTAGTCAATGCGGCGTACAGGAAATGAACCACTCTTCTGCGATGAATTTCTTTGATCGAAGTCTGCTTGGACGGTGACATGGAATCGTAATCAGAGGGCAGGTTAAGCTGAGGTTGTCTGAGCATTTCTGACTCTGGATCGCCATAGTTCTGGAAATGAGCTGGAATTCCGGCAACAATGCCCAGAGGAAGAATTGAGCAGTGCTGCCAATCTACAAGTCCAATAATGTCGTTCTTGTCAGACACGAGAATATTATTCGGCTACAGGTCGGGGTGGCGCATCACTGGTCGATCCAAGGATAACTTGTTGGTATGGTCTAGACTGGGTACCACCTTAAGGTAACTGACAAGATCTGCCATGTGACTATCGGGTGAGACACATTTAAATTTGTAGATTTCCCTATAAAGCCGCTCATAGGGCAAGCGAGGCTTTGCATAGGCTTTAGCCCAGGTCAGTTCACGTTCACCAGCTGCTCGGAAAATGTCGATTGGTGATGGCCCTTTTTCTCCCGTTGAAGTTAGTGTTGTGAGTCGTATGATACTTGGTATATTCACCCACAAGGTCCGCGGTCAATATCCATAATGCCCCTCTCGTCATGCCACCAACTATAATGGGCTATTGGCCCTATGCAGAACGCCATGCTGCTCGGATCCTCTAGCCTTGTCCTCTTTTCGGATGGAATATCCTTCAAATAGTAGAGACTCCCCGAGGCAGGGAACTTCAACGACATCAAGCGCGTCTCCCATTCAACTATTTGTGTCATTATCTTATACTGGTCCTTTGGGGTCAATGAAAACCATCTATTGCCGAGAGGAGTACCATCCAACTTCTCCATAATAATATACTCAGCTCCAACTGGATTGACTTTCGTCGAGCACCAGGCATATACCTCTGGTGTGTGAAGCCCATGCAGGCGCAAGTAGTCCAGAGTCGCTGCTTCGCTTGCTACAGTGTAATGCTCTGGCGCTGTACTTGGATAGGGTAATCTCGCGAGAACACATTTTCCATCGCTGAAGGTAGCCTCAAACACACGGTTGAAACCACCTTCTGATATTTTAGTAAAGGAGCTGAGTTCGGATACTGAATGACCAGATGCAGTGGAAACGATGTTTTGAAGCGCAAGCACATCAAATTCGAGGAAGCGTTCCGATAAACGCAGGTGTTCATTAACGCTTCATAATGTTCAGCCAGACCAATGCCACCTGAGCGGATATGTCAAAGCACTTACAGCCATCTTCCGGAAGTGTAGCGGAAAAGATCCCCATGGGAGGCGACTGTTGACTGTCGTGCACATTCCGTCGTCGTCAAGGCTCTCAAGGGCTGGAGGTGTCCAAGGCTGCGAGGGTGAAGGATCCGGGGTCGTCGCGAAGAGCAGAAAGACTTTCGAATTCTTGAGGAACAGCTGCTGATCATTCTGCTGAATATACCGAGCAGAGCACCCTGCGAACTTACTTCGGAGAGAGAACTGATCGACCGAGCCCCTGCGGGAACAGAGTACTCCGTGCCCGCCCCCCCTTCCCTTTAGCCGCCGGTATCTTACAGTCACTTACTACGCATGCCGTCTCTCGCTACGGTATGAGATTCCCAGCCAACGATAATTGTATAAACGATCGCCCCCTAAGACCATGATTCTAGCCAAATTGCTTGAAACCACGCAGACTCTGCCGGGGATTCTTTCCATAATAATATAGTTTTTCCCCGTAGCAGGGTCCGAATAAAGCGCAAAGACACGAGGGACCCGGATGCTGGTGTTTTTCTTGAACAAATATGTTCTCTCCTTCGATAAGGTTCACGCCTTTTCCAAACTTCACTACCGAATGTTCTCCGATTTCAACGATTCTTCGTCCTCCATATGCTAGGGATACGTTGGGTGCTGCTGCATTGATCTCTGAAGCTGTGGGTAGCGGGCAAGGTATGTTAGACGCATAGTATGGTAGTGTGACGGTGGGAACCATTGAGGTGGCTTAAAAGTGACAGTGGATGTAAGATTTAGGGAAGGAAACGTGGATTACATACAAAAACTTCTACTAAGTATTGAACAGCCGCCGTCACAGTTAACTAACTAGTTAATTATTAACTATAAGCCACCGTCATACCCCGCACAACTATGGCCTGTATCCAAGAAGGTTCGAAAAAAGCTGGATTGGAGACTTAGGGATACTGTATCAAGGTATCAGAAGAAGCAATATTATTACATTACTAGAACACTATAAACACCCTAACACCTAATTACAAAAATTGGCAATCTGGTTCTCAATCTGATACTTCACCCCCTTACAGAGCAGTAATCGAAAGCCGCTTGGCTCCCGCATTGCCCGTCAGCAACGCAGACCCGCTAGATTGACGCAGATGGTTCGAGTGCTTTTCTGCCTCTCCAACATCCAAGCTGAACCGCCGGGGACGCTCCCACATGCCCAGTGAATCGTCCGCCGTGGAAGGCTGCTCCAGCTTGGCCGATGACAGGCCAAACTTGGTTGCGATCTGCTGCACGCGTTCCTGAGCCGCCGTCGCGTCGATCGCCGCACTCTGTCCTTCCTTGGCCAGACGAGACTGTGCCCGCTGCAAGAGCTCCAGGTGTTGAGTGACTGCGTTGACAGCGGCTGACTGGTCCTCGGTCTCGTCGTTCAGCAGCTCTGCCAGGGCTGTCTCATGCAGAGCAGCCGCAGCAAGGTTGTTTCCGGACGCCGTGTACAGTCCGGAGAGCAGCTTGTTCATTTCGAGAGTGACGGGGTCGGAGTTGCCCCAGACCTGGCGCAGGTTGTAGCAAATGTCCTTGCCCAGCGTCGTGGCGGCCGTGACATGGCCTCGGCAGAACCGAGTCTCTACCAGACGCCGGCCAATCCAGACAACTGCGGGCAGCGTCCAGGTCTTTTGAACAATCCGAGAGGTCCAGAGATCGGTGAGAATAGCCTGTTTCGTTAGAGTGGATACCGTATGAGTTAAGAGGATGATAACTTACCTCGAGGTCTTCGAACATCTCGTGTTCTCCCAGCACTGTCACCAGATCGTTGAGCTCCTCAAATGGAAGTTCCGAGAACTCCATCGGGACATCCCGTGCATTGTTCATGACCTCCTGGAGAAGTGTCTTCGACTCCAGGGACATTGCGTTCGCCGTGGTAGTCTCAGTGCACTTGTTCACCTGGTAGCCGCAGAGGTACAAGCACAGCTTGATCGCGGTGAAGATGCTCTCCGTCGAGCGGAGTCCATCGGTCAGATGGACGAAGGAATGGAAGACACTAGTCACATCAGTGGCTTCCTGGAATCTCGACTGGTTGCATAGATCCCGGACCATGCTGGTGGTTTGGGTGATAATATTGAGATTGTAGTCATCATGCAATGACTCGCGCCGGCACAAGGAATAGAACTGATACACGGCATCCTTCTTCCGGGCTTGCTGAGAAACAGAAAGCGTGTTGCAGAAGAAATCGTACAGCTTATTTTGTGTGCCCTGCGCGGCTGCGCTGCGCTTCTGGTCCGTCTGCAAGCGATGCAATCTCTCGCCGGCTGCAAGGGTGGGCATGAGATCATGCCCAGCCAGGCTCTGCTGGAAGACGCTGTACACCTCGCCTTCGCTAGACAGGTCGTCCAGGATCTGGCGCGAGGTGCGTGTTCGGCCAAAGACCTCTTCGAAAGATGCCACGAATAAAGCCGGTCGGTACTCCTCGAGATTCTTCCGCTGTGCCGCGGGGGTGTCGTGAATGACCTGCTGGTGCAAACTGTCGATAAGCGCCCAGCCCTCGGTGTTGTATCCACACTCCAGGTAAATCTCTGCCAGACGGCGGGCACGATACACCAGAGCGTCATGGTTGGCAGTAACGTGGACGACCTCGTCGACGTGTTCATTCAGCAGATCGGCACCTCTCCGACGAGATTCGATGTTATCTTGTAGAGAGTACATGCGAGCAATCTCACGTAACCACATGAGCGTGGTGGGCGCGGAAAGGCCTTGTTGCTGCTTGGAGAGTGCCAGCTCTTCGAGATACAACGCACGAGCTTGTTGCGACGTATCCTTGTTGCGCAAATGAAGCTGGGCCATGCGATGCTTGATGTCCATGGGCAGCGGCTGTGTCATGTCAGGCAGAGAGCGTGACGCCTCCGTGGAAGACACCCAGTCGCTGGTCTTGAGCACCTGTCGGTACAAGTCAATAGCCTCGCTACTATGCCGGTCGCTGCTAGCGCAGAGCGCTGCGAGATACATGGTTGCGTCCCGAGTACGGTGACTGGTCGGTCCATACAGCTTACGACACAGCTGCTGGTGCTGGGATGCGACTTGGTAACGCTCCTCATAGCCCGCTTGACCAGATGTGCTCTCAAGAATTGCCATGTACCCAGAATAAGTCTTGGGAAGCAATCCTTCCTGCAAAGCACGGTCATAGCCGTCCTTTTCATCAAAGTGCACCAGTGTGGGCCACAAGTGTCGATAGACATCGAGTGCAGCATCCCATTTCTTGTCCTGCTCGTAAAGGTTTGCTAGAGCCACAGCCGCGCGAACACCGGAAGAAGAGATCCTGCCTTCACGGACACAAGCCTTGTAGATATGACGATAGCTCTCTTCTGCCTCGGTACGCCGGTCCAGACGCAAAGCGAGGTCGGCCTCATAATAGCGGCTGTCCAGCGTATGCTTGTCATGCGCACCTAAACGCGAGGCAAAGAACTCGCTCACTTGTCGCAGGAGGATCAACGCCTTGTCAAACTGGAATGTGGTCTCGTAGAACTCGACCACTGTCTTCGTCACTGTAGTGACGGCTGGCACAGCAACTTGGTCCGCGGTGATCGAAGCCTTAAACGCATTGCCGTAGACAATGGTGGCTCTCTTAACATCCAAGCGACGGAAGATACAGTAGGCGTAGTCGAGGGCAAGACTGGACATCAGTGGGGAAAGATCTGACGAGAATTTGGCCCTCGTTTGGGCATCCTCGACATCAGGCCAGGCATGCTTAAGCACAGCCCAGGAATAGTCTGAGCCCTTGCGCCACTCCTCCTCCCGGATACAACGAGTAGACAACTGGTGACAAAGCATCATTATGGACTTCATGTTGCGGGTATCACCTGCAGAGGCCAGGCTGTCTATCCAGCCGGGTAGAAGCTCCTGGTCTTCGGGAGATAATCCCGACATAATGTATTCGGTTTCAGTCGTGGTGGCATCCTGACTGGGAATCATACCCTCGGTAAGTGACTCGGCCAATGACACTGCCTGAGAAGAGTACACTTGACCAGATGACTGGTAGTACTTCCACATCTCCAACGCGAGTGCGCGGTCCATATCGGTCAGATTCATTTCGCGCGCTTCGCCCCGCAGCTCCTCCGCCCGCTTTAGCATTTCCGGAGATTTGACGCCGCCCTCTGCTTCCAAGTCGGCCGAGAGTTCACGGAGGATGGACGTGGCCCGGTCGGATTGACCCTGACGACGCAGGAACTGCGAGTAGTAGAAAGCAACCTTGGTCTTCTGATCCCAGGAAGTTTTAGAATCAGCCTCGCGAGCCGACAGTCCTGTCCAGAGTCGGGACAGCACGGTCTCGGATTTGGACACTTGACCATTTTGCTCATACAGTTGAGCCAGATAGAGTGAGTAAGCCACCCGGCGCGGGTCGGTTGCATCCATGGAGCGAAGCATGTTCTCATACTTGTTGCTGGCCAATTCCAAAGCTAGCTCGTCGGGAGGTGCGATGTCGAAGTGTTTCGTAAGGAATTCAGCGGCTTGCATGGTCTCCGACGAGTGAGCACCGTAGGTCTTCACAGTCTGGCGGTAAAAGTCCTTGGAAACTTTATATGCCTCATCATTCTGGTTATTCTCTTGATACATGTTGACAAGTCGATCAAGATACTGAAGCCGCTGGGGGAAGCTAATGTCGGACTTGCCCCAACCGGTCATTGTCATTTCCCTCAATGTGACAGACTTGCTTCCTCCACCAGTCAGGCGACCGGCGGCCGGCGAGGACACAAGCATCTGCTCCAGCTCCTGGGTAATTTTGCTGCTAGTTCCAAGCTGACTTCGGCTCACCGTCCAAGCCTGGTAGAGGTGATCATTGGCCCAGGATGTACGCGCCTTCTCAGACGCCCGAGCACTAAGGATCAGGCTTTGTAGGACTGCCGGAGAGTCACTTCCTAGCACGACACGGCGGACCCCAACTGACAGTCGATACAATTCAACAATGCTTGACCGACTGAATTGCGACTCACGATTGGTGAGCTCCAGCTGTGCGAATAACACAGTGTCAGGTAGAGAGCGCCGGAAGGCGGTTGGGAATGAGAGCTCGCGGTCGGAGGAGGCCATCGGAGAAGATAGCATGTGGGCAAGCCAGTACCGGGCAGTATATTCAAGAAGCACATAGGCGTCCAGGTAGCGGTCACGGACCTCAACACTCATTTTGTCCCAAGAGACAGAGATCTCGTCGGATACCGAGCGACGCACCCAGGCCAGGCAGCGGATCAAAAGATCGTAGTGTGCGTCTGCCAAAGAGAATGGAAGTTCCTGGCGCATCTGGGCTCTAGCCTGGAGGTGCTCACGGACCATGGGATGGCGGAAAGAAACGAAGCCATCACGCACGGAGATCAGCCGCCCAAGAGGCTGGAAGACATCACGCTCCACATTCGGTGGACGAGCTGAAACCTTGAGCGTCTTCAGGTCAACAGACAACAGCTGCTCAACCTCTGGAATGCGCAATGGCCGCTCACTGGCGACTAACCAAGCAAGTAGGCTTTGCGTACCAAGACGGTTGAGGTTGATATTGCGCAGGTGGTAGTCAATAAGGTCACCTAACGTGTTGGGCATTCTGTGAACAGCTGTTGTCATTTCATTGTATGTGGTCTGGTGGCGCACTGCCTCAGCGGCAAGCTGTGCCCACACGAAACATCCTTGGGAGCGGTTGACGATAGACGTAGTCAGGGATTCCCGCTGGGATGGCTCTAGCCCCGAGAAAGAGGAGTCTGACAACATAATATCTGTCACAGCTTCTTGGAGATCCTGGTGAGTCGTGGCTGTGTTCATTGCAATCTGGTGCGTATTAATTGTCTCCCGAATAGGGAGCAGGTCAGTCGACATTGGTCGGCTGAAGATGATCAGTTTCGATGGGGTATTCGCGACAGTATCCTGAAGCAAGCCGAGGAACGCGCTGACAGTGGTCTCCGCATGTTTCATTTGATCGAACCCATCGACCACTAGCATGAAGTGGAGGTTGGACTGGATTGCGGTCCTGATGGCTGCCCACAGCTGACCTTCCACCTGGGGATCGGAAGCGCCGGATGTGGCCATTTCCATAGCACCGGTGACAGCCGCGAGGATGGCGTCCTGGGTCTTACGGCTGCTCACGCAATGATCAAGCATCTGGATCAGAATTCCTTTGAGGATACTGAGCGTCAATGTCGAGATTGGGACGTCCGACCGAATGACGATAGGTATGACATTCCAGATATCATACTCCGAGGACGCTTGCAGTCTTTCAACGGTCCACTGAGCCAAGGCACTCTTTCCACAGCCCGGATTACCCCGGATCATCATCATGCTGCGCCGTCCCATGGCAAAAGTGGTCAAATGGGGCTCGAACCAGGTGAATGAGCCGTCAGCCAAGGAATGGCTATGACCTTCGAGCAACATCTGGAGCGGACGGTCCTGAAGCTCCAAGAACTGATAGATAGCGGGGAGGTCCACGGTAGTGTGCTGCTTGGCTGTGCCAGACTCGAGGACATGAGCAAAAATTTGCCGCCAGTGGGTTATGAACCGATTCGTATAGCGGAAGAAGGCGGCGTCCACAGCAGTACTCATCGTCTGCCATTGCTGGGTCCGTGTAGCCTGACGATACTCCGAGGTGATGTGAGCAACTAGCTCCAACAGGTGGGCATAGATTTCCGCGACCTGCTGCTGGAGGGGCCGTGAAACCGGGAAGAAAGTCTCCTGCTGAAGCAACAAGGAAATGCCCAAAGTGACACGACCGTAGCGGCCGTACAGGCTCTCAAGGATATCGATATGATCAATCCCCATCTACCCGATTATGTCAGTCACCTGCATGGCAATACTTTCAGACCATAGTTCAAAAGACGTACCTCGAGAAAGAGGAGGTTGGTTCCCCAAATCAGTTTGGTGGCCTCCTCAGCCCCGTCCATGAAGCTGTAGACCGAGTCCCGCAGGGAGCCGACGGCAACGGCCAGCCGAGAGGCGCGCCGCAAAGCCCCATCAAGGCGACTCCCATCGGGGGGCATGCGCCGAAGCCGTTCGGCAGCAATAGTGTCGAAAAAGACATCCAGGGTGGGTGATTTAGCCTGGATTTCATTTGCCGTAAGCCCGAGACGAGTCGGGCACTCCTGAGAGACGGTGTTCACCGTCTCCCGCAGGATTGGGAGAGATGCTGTACCCCCATTGACAGCAAGGGATCCCTTAGCACGAGTGGAAGCCATTGCTGTATCATTTCAGTGGAGGTGAATGGTTAGGAAGCATAGCATTGAGCAATTGGCCTCTCGACGAACGTGGTTGCTGGACGGTATATGAGTTTCCGATTCCTCCGCAAGGGTCGATGATGCGAGGACCAACGTTGAAGTCCGAACCCTGAGCAATCCTGACATCATGGCCTTCGTCCCCTCCGGATAGCTTGCCTGCCTCTTATCCGTGAGGTCGAACTCGAGGAATTGACTACGACGCGACCGTGGTTCGGGACGATGAGCGAGTCTGCTGCAGGCGGTTGATCGTGCAGGGGGAGAAGCCATTCTGGCGCGCTGCCAATAGTCATCGAACTGCCCACGTGAAATTGGCGTAGTCGTGGTGTCATGGGCCTCATTGTTGACTCGAAAGTGTGGTTAGGATGCGTCATGAGGAAAGGTGAAAGTCAATGACATCATGAAAGTTAAGGGGATTGTTTGCATGCGGACTCAAACAATGACTCGCAATGTGAGGTTACGATGTCTTCGAAGATTCGAAGTTATATAAACCGGAACAGACCGATCATGGCAATGTTTGTGAAACGTGCCCGTAGCTGCTGCTGCTGTTACGACGGGGATGCCGATAGGGAAGACGGAAGTGTGTCGCCGTTGTGGTTACAGTCGTTGGTGGGCGAGCAGAAGCGCGATGAGACGAAAGCGGCCCGGAGTCACGGGCTCTCCGTTCCCCCCACCAGTTGGCCAGCCATAAGAGTCATGCCTAATGAAATCTGTTTGACAGATCGATGGTTTCAGATGGTGGTTGTGAATTATTTGACAGCAACTCGATTGTGCATCTAAGATGGTCCAAATCCATTCTATATCTTGGTGCCATTCCTCGTGCTGCAAAAAATTGTCTACTACTATCGCGGTTCTTGCAGAAACCACCAAATTCATCCTCATTCCCAGTCAAGTGTCGCAGATTCCACTGGCAATGAACTCTTAGAATGATCTGGCCCAAGATGATGACCCCATCTCTGCCTCGGAAATGTCCGGCAGTCTGAGCCGGCCATTAATAGGTGTAGTTCCACGGTAGACCCCAGCCGAGTAGTGAAGACAGCCCTTGGATCGCCTATTTACCACAGGCCCTAGCAAGTATGGACTGGGACGGACGGTGATCAAGTCCGAATATCTTGTCGGAAGTTTGTCTGGAACGGTGCATGATTTGTCGGAACAGGTGCCATGGCTATCCACGCCGCAGATCATCTACCCTACTACAGAAAACTATAGCTATCAAACAATTGAACCCACAAGTGGTTATGTCACTATCATTACCACATTGAGTGCATCATCGTCCTAGGCAATGCAGCCGGTCCCTCCAGCCACTCCAGTAACGCTCATTGAATCCTATTATTTCCACCTCCGATCAGCACTGCCTGGGGAGACTGCCTGTATCACTCACCGTAGATAATGGCATCAACCAAGCCCTGTGACATGATGCAAATCTATACCTCTGTCAATAGAGTTTATGGGAAGCCGTGACTTGTTTCGATCACCTTTTCTAGAATCTCCAATGCCAGTGGAGCTCGCTTTCCCGTCATCCCTTGATAGACGCGCACGGAAGTGGGGATGATCCAAACCAGTGCATAGACGGTCGGATATACCATCATCTGAAGTGACACCTAGTCATCCGGTCATCAGGATGAGACCGAAAACTCTGATACTAGATTGACTAACCTTCCTCAGCGGGATCGACGAATGAGTACTTTGGCTAGGCCCATCACTAATATCCAGAAGCTGCCATTGGTGCGGATGCGGCGTCTGTAGAGTAAGTTCGTGGTCGCTGGAGATGGCCTTATGTGACCGGTAGAGGAGAAGGCATAGTCGGGTGTAGATACCCATGATGACAAGGATGATAGTCCATCGTGGGATGAAGTTCACAAAAAGGCGGACACGATCACTGGTGAACCAGCACCCTGATCTCTATCAATCGTGCGTCTCAAGACCATATAGCCAAAGGGGGACATACAGCCACCGGCATACCCGTATCCGACGACGACAAGGCCAAGCACTGCCCATAGGATCGAGAGTCCCCATGCCATGCACCAGATGGCGGCTCTGTGGTTCTGGACCCACGAGGCAGCATGGGCATAGTCCATCAGTATGAGGTACGTGCAGATTGCAATCGAAAGGATCCAGTAGTCGGCTAGCAGTACTAACGGTTAGTATGGTACCGCCAGTACTAATCAATATATTGGTTCTTACCCTGCACCACAAAAGTCTGAACCATGAGTCCATTGAAGCTGCAGAATGCCTTGAGGGATGGATCCCATATCTCAATGCCCACGGTATTCACACTAGCCGAGATGACAACATTGCCTGAGGCTAGAAATTCGCTTATTCCAAGACCTGAACTCATCAGTGGCAGCCATATTGCATTATCGGGATGAAGAACAGCACCTAGAATCAACTGATGACGGAAAGTGCGTAGACTTGGTACAAACTGATTTGTGTCACAAACAGAACAGACAGGTAGATACACTGTTTCCATACTTACAAGGAAGCTGATAATAATCCATCCCGACCCTATCATGGAAGCCACCGAAACAACGAGGATAATTCGCGAGAGAATCTCCTCTGATTCCATCTCCACGGGCGCAGAGAGAGCAGCGTGCTCCATAAGTGATGAAGAGATTAAATCACGGTGTTACATACTGCAGCATCTGTTTGAAGAGAAGAATGATAACCGCAGACTTCGATGTGGGAGGTGGACATTGCGAGATAGATATTAGGACAACGATCGGGTACCTCCTGTCGTGAACTTCAAGCACCCGCGGAATTGGCCATCCCACCCCAGAAACGCCGTGGAGATCAGTCATGCTCCCAAACAGGTGGCCGGGAAAAGCAATTCTGGATTGCGTGCTTGCGAAGGGTGGTCGTTGCGTATACTTAGTGCGAAGATCGCGGACCAGCATTCCAGGTATAAGATCAACTATATCTTGTGACTTGAGGTAAAAGAATCTAACTTGAGAATCCCACGGGACTAAATCACGATGAAGCCACGGCAAGTCTCTGTTGCTCGAACCAGTACGGCTCATTGGCTTGGTTGACTGCCATGCACAAGAAGGTGCTGCCTCAAACCGTGTTGTATGGCTTAACTCAAGGCTTCCTGCCGAGGTCAATGCCGCGAGATACGGCAACCAAGTGAATCTCTAATCCAGGGGTAGCCTAAAAGCACAGATGCTCCCTTATCGTAGCCTGTCTACACGATCGCCCAATTCAGATGCAAGATTGCGGATATTGCTTTGGCTTTGTGTATTTGCTTTTTCTCTATTGATCACCATCGTCGACTATCGCGTTGAGGCTGAGCAACCGCCCAAATTTGAGGTCTTTATTCTACCCAATGACATTCTTAATGATTTATTGTCACATTGTGAGAATACGATAGAGGTTGGGCTGAAACCCCCATGCAATGTTGCCTATTGATGACCAAAAGTAACATTCTTTGAGAGTGTAATTATCCACTCAATCAGAAGAAATACTAATAGTCCGAAATGCTGCACAGCCATTCGAAGCTGGCCCCGCGAAACTGCACGGGGGAATTATATTTAGCCATTTATCTATGTCCCATTGAATTCCAAGTCCAGGGATCTGCACGATGCATCTTCTACAACCCCTCTTGGTCCCAGCGCAATGGTTCTAATTCCCTTGGGTCGGCGGCTCTGGCTCGTATCCAACATAGGCCGTAGTCAATTGGTGGCGCACCCACTATGACGTACCAGAATTAGCCTGTTCCTTGAGAAGGAAGAACTTGAAGCATGCAATTCGTCTTACCTCCCCCGCTTTGAACGGCTTCTTACACGCAGGGTTGTCCTCGGTAATGCAGCTCGGTAGCACCGCCACAGTGGTGTCATAGTCCACACCAAAGAAGAAGGGGACGGTATATCGCTCCTGTCCAGTCAGGTTTGTCACACGATGGATTGTCGATTTGAACTTTTTGTTTGTCCTGTACACATTGTTATTACGTTGTAGAAATCGAAACTTACGAAAGAAAGCACTTCATACCAGATGGACAGGCAATCCGAAATGTTCACAACCAACGTGCCCGGAATCGGCGGTGCCAGAATCCATTCCTGCCGAGCGTTGAGGACCTGCAGAGCCGGAACTTGATCTTGTGACAGAATAGTGAAGCACTCATAGTCCTAGAAATAGGTATTTCTCATTTCAGCATGCACATTTCTTTTGTCTTTAAGATACCTGCTTACCGTGTGTTCTCCAAGTCCGACTCTCACCTCGTCCGCAACCGGCTGCGGTGGATAGTGCAACATCCTCGACGTGGCCCCGGGGTTCTTGATCATCGTGTCGAAGAAGTCCTCGGGTAGATCCAGTGCTAGCGCAAAGATTCGTATCAGCGCCCGAGATAAGGTCAGCGCCTCAGCAAAGTACCGAAGATAGACTTCGCGAAAGCCAGGGAGGACATCTTCCTCAGGCCATTGATTATCTCCGTACAGATCGTACGTGTCCAGAGGACCATCGCCATGTTGGCTTTTAAGAGGGTCTGCAGCGACTTCATATCCGATATCGAAGGATTCGGAAAATGCCCCGGGTGAGGTAGGGTCTGCCTTGGGAGCGGCCCCGAGATCGGTGTCAGTGGGCTGCTCTGAGTAAAGAGGCATGAAACCGCGGAATTTCTACTTTCGTATCAGTAATCTGTCGTTTGTCGATAGAACGTATATTCAAACCCTAGACCTTCCAATATAATAATCCATCTTTTGCTTCTGCGAGAGGGTAAAGAACTGACGCGCCATGTCATGGAGAGAAGCGATGAGATCTTCAGCTATCTCATGGTTCTATGTAACAGTCAGCTACCTTCCTTCGCCAGGTTATTGAGAAAGAATTATACCTTGATGTAGAAGAATCCGACCTGAGTACAGGCAGTGAAGATCTTCTTTGCCAGCCGTTGGCGCTCCTTCAGCACAGGGCTCCTCAATGCCGAGAGGTCGATAACGGGGATCTGATCAAATTCCCCAGGCTCTGAGTTGCTGGCCGACATTATATTCTCACTAAAATATGGCAGTGACTTATATTTAGATGATAATGAATTATCAGAATGTGTCTGTCTCTTCATGTTGAGTGAACAGCAGGATTTCTATCTCAAGAGGGGTCGTCTTATCACCCCGCACGGGATGTCTTATCGGGGAGGAGAAGATAAAGATAGCTTCTAGATCTGATGATCACAGCAGAATTTCACACTGTAAGACCATGTACCCGCATGAGTCCTATCTATGCATTCAATAAACTGTGATGTAGCGTTATAATGGTTGGGCCAGATTGTTAGCCTGGTTATGATGAAGTGTGCCGATATGTTTATACACGAAAGGATTTGCAAGACCATTAGATAGTCCTTTCCACACATCCTCCCATGACACTATCTCAACAATACTACTCAGTACCTTCCAATCTTCTTTGCCCTTTTAGTAGGAATTACCCGAGGAATTTATTGGCATGGATCTGGCCCCACTAGCGAGTGGATCCCTTCCCAATACAACCGGAGTTCCCTAAAATTCTGCCGCGTCCTGAATCACCAAAAGACTAACCCTATACTAAGGTGTAGGAATACCTGTACTTGGACTCCTTCAGCTACACGCACTCCGATATCCCCATCATGGTCCATTCAACAACATTATGACGGCTATTCTCCTTCCAGTCGAGCTCATCGAACAGATTGTGGGCCACCTTGAATATGCAAGTGATATCAATGCCCTCGCTCAGACTGATGGAACCTTCTACCGCGTCGTGAATCCCATGCTGTATCGACATAATGTACAACATAACAACGGCTCTGCGTTATCATGGGGAATTAAGCACAGATGCCTCGCAACTGTGCAGAAGTCTCTGAAGGCCGGTGCGTCGGTGAATGAGTGTGATCCAGATACTCTCTGGCGACCCATGCCGTTGGCGGTTTTAGAGGGCGATGAAGCCATTGTCCGGTATCTGTATGAGCAGGGAGGAGTCGACATCCGTCACACCCGTGGCTGGCTCAATCCGCGCCATGAGGACTATGACAGGGGCCCTGGAAGCCTGCTGTTGCTGGCCGCCGTACGGGGTCATGAAGCCCTGGTCCGCTTCTTCATGGATCACCTGCCGCGGCCGTTTCATGTCGATTACCCTGCCGATTCGGACGGACGAACACCCCTTATAGAGGCTGCCGAAGAAGGCCATCTAGCCATTGTGCAGCTATTGGTCGACGCTGGAGCAGACATCCACGCCCGAGATCACCAACAAATGACTCCCCTCATGCTTTCTGCGCGCGGGGGCCACCTTGAGGTCATGCAGTTCCTGCTCCAACGGGGAGCCGATCCCACCATCCCCACGGTACCGGACGGATGCTCCGCCTTGTGCTGTGCAGCGCGTCTGGGTCACTTCGAGTGTGTCCGGTGTCTGCTCGATGCGGGCGTGATGGATCAGTTAAACCGCTGCCAAGGCTCAGAATTGCCATCGTCCCATAATGCTGCGATGTGTCCCCTCACGTCAAGCGCACAATGGAAATGCGACAACGTAGTTGATATCCTCTTTGAACGATGGGATTACCTGACTAGCACCGTTGAGCCCGCAGACAAGGCTGCGCTGCTGTGCGTAGCCGCGGCGCGCGGGAATACGGCTCTGGTTCGGCAGCTACTTGAGTGCCATGGGTACGACCCAAATGCTCGATATGGTCAATCGTTCATCCTGGATGATCTCCCGACTGCCATTTGCTGGGCTGTAGTCCGAGGTCACGCCGAGGTCGTCCAGGTGCTCCTCGCTCACGGTGCCGAGGCATCTCCATCGCCGGGACGGATGCGTATGCGGAAGCCCTTAATTGAGGCCATTATCCAGGGCTCGGAAGCCATGGTCTCCATGTTACTTAGCGCCGGGGCAGACCCCAATGATCAGGATGCGCAGGACGGTTATGCGGCATTAAGGCATGCCATCCCATTCGAGGGCATATTCCGTCGCTTGCTCGCCGCGGGGGCTGATCCTACCGCCATAAATCGCCCGGGTGATACACTACCCGCCATCGTTCTGGCGTCAGGTCGTACAGCAATAGTCCAGATGCTGATCGATCAGGGACTCGATCTGTCGCGCCATATGAGTCGGGCCAATCTCCTTCACCAAGCCATTCGCGGGGGGCCGGCGGTTCTCGATCTGCTCGTCCGGACGGGGAAATGGAATAACTACATCTTCCCAGAGCACTTGGACAAAACCGCGTGCGAGCAGGCTCTCGGTATCGCGGCCTCTACGGGAAAGATTGAGACACTTCAGTGGCTGCTGGACCGAGGCTTTCCGGTAGCCCAGTCGTCGCCCACTGTCAACTTGCTCGCTGAAGCAGCCTGTACAGCTGCATCAGATGCAGATGCCGCCAAAACAATCGATCTCTTGCTTCAACACGGCCTGGACATAAACGAGCTCATTAACGAACCCATTGGCTACGAGACGCCACTGTCACACGTGGCCATTCATTACAATAGGCATATGGATAGCCACACCGGCCGCGTCCGTATGCGCATGCTGCTCAATCGTGGCGCCCATCTCCTGCCACCGCGCAGCCTTTCCCAGCGGTACAATCCTTATACATCCACTAGGGTCGTCTGCTTTGGTAGAAGCTCTGATCTCGATGAGATGATTTGTCAGGAGATGGAGGCCCGGCGTGAGCCGTGGAGAGCGGTCGAATGGCTCTTCCAGTGCGCTGAGCTCTGTGCGCGTGAACGCTGGGATTGGAAGGGCGTTAGGATGTTAAGACAGTATTCGTGGAGGGTGCGGTATCCTGTACCTAAATAATTCTATACTAGGACGATAAATTGGTGGCAATTTCACTCGTTCCTTCTATATATAGGACTACCATTACATATGTTCAACGGGCTTTTGGGATGGTTATAGAGCCTGTATAGACAAGATGTGTTAGCCGGAGCTTACACAATAGTGCTCACTAACTTCCTCACTATCTGCTGGTTAGTAATATTAGGAAAGAGAAGTCACCATGAAGGTCATGAGTCGACTAGTAGCTCAAGGGGGCATAATTATGCTTTGCGGGACATATTTCGTGCTGGGCTTTTCTCTATCTCAAAGGGGAAATATTCATGCTACTAATTCCGTTCTACCAGTGTGTCGTCATTGAAGGTAACATTCGCGGAGACTTCAAATACAACAGGGGATAAAATTAGATCGAAAAGGTAACAATATAGTATACTAATCGAAAATGGTCACAGATGGCAGGAATGAAGAGTATTTGCGACCATTCTTAAGATTATGTGTTATGCCCAATATGAACTCGACATTTTCACCATATCTATTTTCTTGGACATAATCGATCCTAGACAATACTAATAAAATTGGCTTATTCTAAGCACTTTATAAATCCAGAAAACTAAGAACTTAGTTGACTGAAACTACTCTGACAATGACGGGATGGTATTCCTGACCCAGTCCACTGTAAGCTAGTCACACAACCTAAGGCTTAACAATATTGAAGTTAGGATCACCTGGATCCAGCAACGACGCAAGCGTATCCAGCGCAGTAGTATCCCCATAGATTACAATACCGGCATTTGCCAAAGCATCAGGATCAGGTCCATACACAGCCAGCGCAGTCAACTGCTTAGCCGTACCCGTCAGAGTGACCTGAGCAGCGTCTGACTGGTCTGCGGTGCTGTAGACAAGCGCCCCATTAGACAGCCAAGAATGGTAAGTTTTATTATCTTGATCCGAAACAACAAGATCCATAAGCACCTTCTTATCCCACGCCTCGGGCCCATTGATCTGGATAGCAAGAGTATCAAGGACCATATCCGGGGTGAGCTGACCGACCACATCGGCCGAAGCTGTCTGTGTAGGCGTGCCAAAGTTACCATTGCGCAGCTCGGTCGCTCCGGAGATGTAAAAGTTCCTCCAGGTGCCGTTTTCAGCTCCGTATCCGAGCTGCTCGTACACGTCGGCCAGTCTTTTGCAGGCATCCTTGTGGTGCGGGTTGCTGAAGACAGCGTGACTCAGAAGCTCAGCTGCCCAGCGGTAGTCTCCTCCTAAATATGCCTTGGTACCCTCTTGGATGATCTCGTCCTCGCCGATGAGGGCCACATATTTCTTGGCCTTGTCCACGGGGATGTGTTCCCACAGGTGGGCTGGGTTGCCGTCGAACCAGCCGACGTAACGCTGGTAAATGGCCTTGACGTTGTGGCTCAGAGAGCCGTAGTAGCCGCGGCAATACCAGGATTGATCGAGTGCCGGGGGCAAGGTGAGCATTTCGGCGATCTCGGGGCCGTTGTATCCCTTGTTCAGGAGGCGAAGGGTTTGGTCGTGTACATATGCGTACAGATCACGCTGGTAGGTGAGGAACTTCAGGATGTTATCGTTGCCCCAGGTCGGCCAGTGGTGCTGAGCAAAGACCACTTCGGCTTGGCTGCCGTATCGGTCAATGGTCTCTGTCAGGTATTTGGCCCAAGAGTGCGGGTCGCGGACCACAGCTCCACGCAGGGTCAAGATGTTGTGGAAGGTATGAGTGGCATCCTCGGCAGCACAGAGTGCGTTGAGATCGGGAAACCAGATGAGCATTTCGGAAGGCGCCTCGGTGTCCGGTGCCATCTGGAACTCCATCTCAATGCCATCGATGGTTCTCTTTTCGCCGGTGCGTTTGATGATCATGTTGGGTGCGATGAGGGTGACGGTGCCGGTGGGTGTAGTCTGTCCTAGTCCAGCGCCGATCTGGCCTCTCGGTCCCTGCTCGAGGGCAGCACCGTACATGTACGCGGCGCGGCGGCTCATTGAAGTGCCAGTGTAGACGTTCTCGGAGATCGCGTGCTCCAGGAAGCCCTCGGGGGCAATGATCTTGACGTTCTTTTCCTCGACATCCTTTTCGCTGACGAAGCCTTTGACCCCGCCAAAGTGGTCAACGTGGGAGTGCGTGTAAATGACAGCCTTTACATCTCTGTTGCTGCCACGGTGTTCCTGATAAAGGGCGAGTGCAGCAGCACCGGTCTCCAGCGAAGTGAGGGGATCGATGACAATGATACCCTCGTCGCCCTCAATGATGGTCGTGTTCGAGAGGTCGAGTCCACGCACTTGGTAGATGGGCCCGGCGACATGATACAGTCCATTCATGCGGGTAAGCTGCGACTGGCGCCACAGACTTGGATTGGCTGAGAATGGAGCGTCCTCCTTCAGAAAATCGTAGGCAACGTTGTCCCATACCACGCCTTGATCATTGGTGACCTGGTTGGGATTGAGATGACCTCTCCAGCCCCGTTTAGCGTTCACATAGTCTTGCTGGTCATCGAAGGGCAGGCTTTCTTTGACCGCCTTCCACTGCTTGATGATGTGGAGGCTTGGGGGATTCGAATCCTCAATATTAATGGCTGACTGGGCCATGATCAAGACTAAATCCTCAATTTTGAAGAATTTGTGTTGTCTGAGTTCAGACTCGAGATGAATTGATATTGGTGTTCTGAGATTGTTGTTGTTGTTGCTGATGGAGAGGTTAATTCCATGGTCCGTCGACCCTTATTTATCTCTCACGGAGGCGAATTTCCCCCTCATTTCGTATTGCTAAAACGGCGCACATACAGATATTGACGACAACGACTTTGGAGTTCTGAATCCTTGCGCGACGCGGGTTTCCTGTAGATGTAACCATTGCTCGTATACCAAGAAGTCGAATGGGTTGAGTATAGATTGAGGGATGAAGATGGAACAGGGTTCCCTGGGATCTGACTGGTCAATAGCAACTGGCCACTTGGGTCAGGACCCAACGCCGCCATCTAATTAGCCTGCATTAAGGTAGCTTCGCCTAGCTGTTCAGCTCGGACTTCAGCTGAGGTGGAGATGCACCTGGAGATGTAACCATTTTATGCATGCCAAGAACACCCCCTCTTCGACAAGCGAATGAATGAAGCTATGGTGATCAGGGTCCTGCAGCAGCTCATTTCGGCTGCGCTCAGCCGTGTGAAATTGCACCCATCCAAGGTAGCAGGTTCTTCCTGAATAGCATCACTTCTCACTCATAATTGAGGAAAGACAGCAAGGGTCCCCCCACCTCCAGTCAGCCAATTGGCTGCATCTCATGTGTCATCGCTGAGTCCTGCTAGATGAGATTCTACATCATCTCCGAAGAAGCAATTAAGATCATTCCGATGAGATGACGAATTCTAGTAAGTGATAGACACTGATCCATTTGCTAATTGGAACTCCAGTCTCGCCACTGGCTGGGAAACCCCAAGCCACGATCCCCAAGACGCCGAACCTTGCACACACTGAATGCCCGTTACTCTATCGTATTTCGTGATTGCATCGTTTAATCGCCGCGCTGGTCAGCTGGGTCTTCAGCTTACATTTTCTTCTGATCACGTAGGGTATATCAGTGGAATCTGGGTGGCGAGGAAGCCTGAATCCTCCAACATAAATAGGGCCACTCCCTCTCCCTCTTTTTCTGTAAACAAACACACACTAGACACCTACTACACTTTTCTCTCCAAGTCAAATCCTCTGACAGATCTTTCTCGCTAAAGAGGCAATAAAAGAAGAACTCATCGCTTCTTGAACCATGGACCAGCTCAACAGGTAAACACTCCCCTCCCCCTCCCCCTCCCCCAAGCCCCATACACCCTGGAACTCTTTTCCGAAGAGCAACACCCAGATGCAGAGGAGAATTTTGACATCCCGTCCAGCAAGCAAGAAATCAACGACGCCATCGCAAATCATGCGTCCTTCATCCTGATGTTCACGGCCGTGTGGAGTGACGTCGGCAATGTAACCAAGGAAAAGTTTGAGAGGTAAAGCAGCCAGCCTGAATTCCCTACTCTGTGATGTGATGTTTCGAACGATGATGCGTTTACCTCGTTTCGCCTCTTTCATTGCTTGATACTAACTCAAGAATACTAGCATTGGTGCCAAATACCCTACCGTGTACATGGCCTGGGTTAGCACCGATGACCATCCCGAGCTGGCTGAGGAATGGGGGTACACTGCTATTCCGGCTACCGTTGGTTATAAGAATGGCACCAAGGTGGAATATTACATCGGTCCTCAATTAGTGGACCAGCAGGTCGAGGCGTTTATCAAGAAGGTGGTCTAACTTGGTGAGGGAAGGTTTGATCTTCTACTTGGTGGTTGCCATTTGTTAACTAGACGATGGATGCCACGAGTATATGTAGCTAGACTATACTATCAAAGAGAAATATATTAGTCACGACGTGTAGCGCACTCCTGCCATTTTCACAACCGTCTAGTCTCCTTCGTCCGCAGCTCGACATCGCGTACAGCCGGCCACTGCGTCCCATTCTGCGTGCTTCTGATCATTTCCCAAAAGCTTACATCAGGTTCCTGATCCATTGAAGATACTCGCACCGCATCTTCCTGCTGCATCTTGTGTTGATCCAACTTGATCGCCTCCACCGCTATTCCCGCTCCGGCGTTGGAATTAATCATGCCCTCGTAATGCGGCCACCTGCGCAAGGCATCAACAGCTCGAAGCCGGATGCCCATGTCTGGGCACTTCGAGGCCACCGCGAATAGCCCAAAGCTCAGTCCGTAGTCGAGTGTAATAGTAGGACGGCAGGGGAATTTGTCCATAAATTCTTCGTATTCCGATAACAGGTTACCGTATTCAAGTGTGAGCAGTCTGTCATCATACTCGTCAAGCAGACACGTTTTCAGTACGATCGTCTTCGCAACCAATTGAAGCCGCACGATATCCGCTCCGGTTTGCTCTTTCGTGCTAAGACTGAAATACTTTTGTTGGTAAAACGACTCGAACCGCTCTGCAAGGGATTCCAGCAAGAATAGAAGCTTCTGTCGCTTCCTCCATAGGGTTTCGTAATTCGCCAATATTTCTGTTTCTGAAAGCCTCCAAGCCGTAGCAATGAATGGAATCACGCTATACATAATTCTCTGATAGCCTCGACGCGCCTCTTTCAGATTATCAAAGTCCTCCAACGATTCGATAACAAAATCATTGTCCTTTTCGCTTTGAATGCTAGGGTCTGACTCGAAGTCTCCGACATGCGACGACTGGGACTTCAAGATGCGGAGAGTCTCAGACAGACAAGGAATCACGGGTATCCCAAGGCGCAGCGACTCCTCTAGGATTTGCGTGCCACTACGTAGGTGTATAAAGGCTCTGGCAAATTCTCCCAACAATAGCTCTGCCATAACAAAAAGCAAGCAGCACACCAGCACGACCTCGCGCAACTGTGGGTCGGGAGAGGCCCTGCGTTTCTGCAAATGTGAAAAAGATCGGGCGGCCTGCTCAAGTGCGAACCGATGTTTTGGATTCTGCAAATCCTCTCCTGCCAGTCGCATGCCTCTTTCCTCGGCATCTTGATGGATGGCGCTTACCATGTTGACAGCATGGCATACCGCTGGATCTGCATGGCACATCTGCAAGACCAGCTTCTGCCAGAGCCAGGAGTCGAAAAATCCAACAAGGTCAGGAACCAGGCGGTGTTGAAAGTAAGAAAATCCCCGCTTCTCATCTGATGTCATGATACCTTCAGACCTTGGTCCTAGGGTTGGAAGACATAATGCTCGCTTGATGGGAAATCGGTGCATATCGTATCCGTCGCACACTCGGCCCGTAGAAGTACAATTCTTACAAGACCCCGGTGCCTCGTCGCATTTTACGCGCCGTACCCTGAACTCGTGATCAGACATGGACAATCCAAGGAGCGACTCATCAAACTAACCGGCAGGTTCGACATCCCGTTTTGGATCTCTTCCCAGGCTTCCTGCGTCGGTGTCTACTTTCACTTTGCACGATCAGCTCTCCAGGCATTGTGAACGAAATACTCGAGTGGATGCAAAACGTGCTAAGTTATGGTGTGGCATATTTGTAATGAGGGAGCCGCCACGCTAATGCGAGGAAAGACGCGACTAGTAGCGTTTGGCTGAGACATTGGGCCAATGACGCCGCATGGGAGGTGCACCAAACTGGCCAGCCGTCGGATGCTTTAGCGGGTCACTCGCTGGGCCGCTACAAGGAGCAACGAGAGAGGTGCAAGTTTCCGCCCCCAACAAACCCCGCCACCGCGTTCCGGGGCCTCGATGGAGTGACACCGAGTTGCCAAACACCGTTGTTAAAGTTGAGTATTAGTCGGAGTGCATGAGTGATCTGACTGATGTGTCTGAGCCATTGAAGATCGACCTTTTTGGATCTAAACAAACTTGCAAGCAAGGTTCACAGGCCATCGGCGATCCGGCAAGAGTCCGAGAACGTGCTACATCTGCGGGGATGCGCTTTCAGATCCTCATTCATCTTCTTGATAGCCATCGAGTCTAGGTCAGGTCCAATACTAAACTTGCACCAGAGAAATTCATGCTAATAATAAAGCTATCCGGTTGTAAACAACCTGCCAAAATGTTAGAGAAGGACATGAGAAATCATTAGCCATAGGCAACGCAACGATCGGTGATATTGATGATGTCAAGGCTACTGACGTCTCGCAAAGATCGGAAGGATGGAAAGAGCAAAAGAGGCGAAGTCGAGTATATAAGCGCAACGACAAGGATACCGTCATCATCACCTGACCGGCCCGGTTAAGTCTAGTATGAAGCACAAGGCACGCGGCAAAACGGCATTGTACGCTAATTAGAAAGCTATCGCTTATCAAGAATATCGAAGTATGTCCAAACCATTGCACATGATCAAACTGATGAAATACCACCAAGGCAGAAGTCTAGTAGCTTATCGCATTCTAACTTGTCCTGCATAACAGATGGCGTAATCTGGAGGTGTCGAGAGATTACGCAGTCGTCTGCTGGGTACAACTGGTAAGCACAAAGTAGTACTGGATGTCTTGTTCCACAAAGATGCAATATATGCACCTTGTGTAATATAGGTGGTCTCTTTAACGGTCATGCCGCTGAGGACTTGATCGGATTGTTTCACGCGCACGGTTGCGCAGTAGAAATCATCCCAGCCCCACCCACCGTTGCTGGCCCGGAGAACCTGAGCGTCTGGTTCAGGGACAAAGGGCGGAGGAGGATTTACCCAGCCAAGCAGAGGGTGACAGACCAGACCAACCCATGGAAGTCAACTGTACCATCGCCAAAAATAACAGAAGATATCCAATGATTGCATGAGTGGCTGAGGGGGCTGGCTCGAAACTTCTTTGGAGGAGGAACCCCTTCGATGGAGGAAGTAAGGGATGGCATTGCCCGAGTGTGACAAGAGACGGTATTGCGGTATTTGCAATACACAAGGCAACACCATTTGGCGGTTTCGGATTGGCCGCCCAGCTCAGCCCTACGGAGAAAATCCACCCGCCCGGGGGAGCAAGCGACCCAATCAGGGACCCTTCACTAGACGACTCTATTTATGACCTGCACAATTATTGCGTCTCATCCTGCGCCCAAATCTTGGGCGGATGCAACTAGTTCACAGCATGCCACCACCACGTCATTACCCGGAATAGCCACCGCTCTCCCAGTGTGAAAGGCAGCGCTAGCGGTCGGTGGAATGCCCAACCCAACCCCTCCCGCAACTGCAGTTCCACCACCCGCCTCCAGTCCACATGATGCGCAAAATGAAGCGGAAAGTGATGTTGGCTGATCGACTTGATGGTGCAGTCCATGTTTGGGTGCTCCTGAAGGTCAACCTGGGGCTGTAGCAGAGCGGGATGGTCACCCTCCAGGTCTAGCTCCATTTTCAGGGATCCCGTACTCTTGAACTGCCGCACCTGCACCGCCAAATCATGATTCCGATGGTGAGAATCCCCTGAACTTTTATCATGGACAATCGTAAGATCGATAAGAGGGTGTCCGGAACTTTCGATAAGGTGATGATGGGTGGGATGCGGTGCCAGGTTTACCTGAAACTGTCCCTCAACGATCAGGTTCGGCGAGGAAGGTTTCTGGTGCACAAGAACCCGCGTAAACCGAAGCGGAAGGTCGATTAAAGCCAAAGATTGAATCACTACTTTCTGCGGGGTTGTTCCATTCTCAGTGATGGCTCGTCGTGCCAGCCCGTTATTCACGTAGCGGACAATATGATCGCAAATCTGAGTCTGGTACATGTGCCAAAAACGTTGCAGAACACCGTTTACCCATTCCACAGTCTCCCCGCGAGAGAGGATTTTATGTGCGTGGTATCGCCTGCATTCATCGCGGACGATACGCTGGACTCGGGTTAGATTAACCACTGCATAAGTCCGACACACTGCAAGGACGAAAAACAACCAGGTTAAACCGAGGTCGAGACGGCCAACGATCCAAGATATGAGGCAAACGAAGACGATAATGCGCGAGTCATCGTAGGTTTGTTGTAGAAGTTCGACAAGGTCGAAGGGTTCCGGCGTCAGCTTTGGCTTACCCATAGCGGCAAGAAGCAGAAAGCGACGGTGTTGGTAGTCGTAGTTTGAGTGCAAGGATAGTTTGAAGTAATGTTGTTTTTGTTCAGGGTAGAGTAAATAATGAGGCTAAGCAGGAGTTCTCCATGATCAGCCCAACTAGCATGATGAAAGGGTGTGGATGAAGAGCGGTGATGATGACGGAGAGGACTGAGCCCTTTAAACCGACCGCGCAGGGCTGCTGCCTCTGTTCATGCAGGCAAAGCCACCGCTCAGGACGGACAGGATTGACGATTTGGGGGCCTATCGCAAAAAGTGATGCGGGAAATGCAAAAACCAGACGGGAGTGGAACTCTCGTAACATTGTCACACTAATATTACGCAGTAATTTACGTATACAGTCCGTCTTCCTGGCTCCCCCGGCTCTCTTCCCCTCAACCACTACCACCATTATTCGCTTTCTCCTCTCCTAATCATCAGTTATCTTCATTCTCATGCCCACTTCCCAATAAGTGCCATGATGCCGGCTCCCAGCAATACGCAGAAGATCATTCCCAGCAGATGCGACCGCCGCTTAGCCCGGTCTGGGTCGAACAGAAAGTCGCGAGCCAGCAATTCCACTAATCCACTGTAGATCAGAATGCCGGCTGAGACAGCATCCAATACGCCCTGGACAATGTTTGCTGTCCTAGATCCCGAGTTATACGTTGTGCGTACCCCTATGCCGATAGCAATCGAAATTGGCGTAGTGAGGCCGTATGCCATGCAGAGAACCCACGGCAGCCACCAATGTCGGCCAAAGCGAAGCGCAGACATTCGGGCGCCTATTCCAAGACCTTCAAATGCTTGATGGAAGACCAACACGGGGTACAGAGTCGTGAACTCGTCGCCAGTCACTCCCAGGTTAAGTCCGATAATTACCGAATGGAAGATAATGCCGAACTCCAGAATAAGAAAGGCAGCGATATCTTTGCGGAATGAGCGCTCGGATTCGACTGAGCAAATGTCATCTTGAATTCCAGGCTGCTTGATTCCAGCAGCATCGTCATTGACTGTACTCTCGTCGTCGCTCTGGATTAAGTTTGCTTGGGCCAGAAACCGGTCGGTCGCGTCGTGCTCTTTTTCCACCCCATATACGCGCTCGACGTATACTTCGGAAGCCACGTCCATCAGGAACACCATGAGCACAGACACGAGAACAATGGCAGGACACCAGGAATAATCTGCCCAATGCTCCGATACGCCCACGCAGGTTGTGCTGCCGATGCTTCCATACGCTGGATCCAATAGGTGGATGAATGCGGTTGCGACAATAACACCCGTACCGAAGTATCGAGCGAAGAGATAGACAGGGTATGGGATATTCCAGCGTGGTATTCGCTTGGCTACCACTGGAAAAAGCGTACATGCTGATGATGTTATCAGGATCACAAATATCGCAGAGATGCGTGCACCCAGGTGTCCATTGTAATCATTACCAGACAACTGCAGGTAACAGTATATGTCCTCCACGCTGGCAGTGTCTAAGTTTACATTTGTGGGATCAAACGATGGCATGATGTCTGAATGTCATATTGTCTTCTACTTCATGCGTGGGGAAATCGTCATTAAATCATAACTGGATAACAGGGTACCTTGGGGGATGGTCAGAAGATCTTGGCCTAACCACAGGGTCCCTAGCCCTGCACTATGTTCTGACCGTGGTGGCAGACCCTTGCATGTGGCACACCTTTAACCTAAGGTTGGAGCTGACAGCAATAAGGCCTCTCTATCCTTTGCAGCTTTCTGCTGTGAATTTTCTAATACGTTGTACAAATACACCTGCTCAAGATGCAAACGACTCGGATCAACTTACCAAGGCGGCTGCCTTATGAGGCCACATAAATTGTCCAGGAAGAGTGTTAGATGGTTAGCACTCTCCTTATTGTGCCGGAGCCATCGCAAATAGTCACGACAATGACATTTCCTGTAAGCGCACAGGGACGGGGCTGGGAAGCTAGTGACGCCATTAGTAGGTTCGAACGCACAAAACCTTGGATACCTACGACGTCGAAGGACTTGCTCTGAGCTTCATCAGATTTCAGCTCTTCAAACCAGTGTCACCTGAGTACTTCCTGTGCCTTTGGACGAACCATTCGGTCTTCTCGCCCATTCAGTTGCCCACAGGTATCCTTTTGTCCCGCACTCACACCTTTCAGCAATACGCAAAGGGTCTATCTTCATTGTATGGATCAATTCAACTGACCCAGTGCTGCAATAGTAGCTTTTTCTTGGAATTTCCCACCAATGAAAAGGAGGACAATAAGGCATATGTCCATTGATTGCAAGTCCAGCAAAGAACGACCATTGCATCACATAAATCCGTCAACAAATAAATTGCCTGATCATCAGGGTGTTGGTCCCAAGGCAAATGCTTTCGTTCGTATAGACCGGGCCTAGATTATTGGCTCCTTTGCCTCTGCTTTTTCTTTGAGCAGGTCTTGAGCTCCAAAATACCCACTTATCACTGCATCAAGTAGCAGCGGCAAATTTGTTGAGTGAGAGTGAGACACGGCTGAATTTTTCCGGAGTGCCCAAGGCGGCCTCCCACCAATGCCATTGCACAATAGTACCACAATCTATGTCCTCGCGCTATCAACTTCCATGAGTTAATTTGAAATGTGGGTTGGATATGAAGAGTGGACGGAGGCCACCTAGTCTCGCTCTCTGTGGAGCAGAGGTTAATATCACTTTTCGACCGACAAGCTTATGTCGCCTCTTAGAGCCGGTTGTGCCGTTTGATTCCAGAAGCCGGTTTGCTTCACAGTATGGTATGATTGATCACTGTTTCAAGCACTATCTCCATTAAGCAGGGTCGAGAACCGGAATGTGGATATGGTACTCGTCATCCCGCGTTGGTTAATCTGGCCGATGCAGGAAGAAGCGAAGCGCACTTTACTCCCCGCAGCACGCGACACATTAAAGATATAGAACTGCGTCTTGGGGGGGGCATTGAGCCAGTAGTAAACTGGATAAGCTTGAATAGGAGTTCATGACGATCTGCTGGGGTCAATTAAGTGTGGGGAATGAGTCCTGGCACAGTGGATCCTCCCATCCTGACGATCACTAGGTTATCTTCTCATCCGCCACCCAGCGTGCCAATCATGATTCCCTCTGTGACGCATGGAATTGGAGATCGTCAGTGTCTCAGACGAGCTGGAGACTGTGCGCGGGTCATAAAGTGCCGGGTCAGACTTAACAGACTTGACTCGCGGGACAAGGGCTCAAACCGTTGCACGATCGGCGGGCGGGTGAAAAGCAACCAGAAGATGACCGCGGATTTTTCCCGTCCGAGAGTTTCACCATGCGATCCATGATCAATCTGCGACAGGCTCCGCCATGATTGACATGGCTGTTTCCATGTTCGCGTCAACTTCCCGTGCACATATGGCAGATAGGCCCAAACCCTCTATGGCAGGTTCTTCGAGTCTTCAACTATTAAACTACCTCTCGACTCAGCTTTGGTTCAGTTTCCATCACCAAGCTAACTCACACATTCACGTTCTTTTCATTCGTTTTCTTCAGAACTGCTGGTTCAGTCCTTCCTTTCATATCCCCAACCTTGATTTCTGAGGCTCGTTGCAATGACCCTCCTTCGTCATCTCTTAACGGCAACTGCCTTGCTCGGAGCTTCAGTCCAAGCAGCGCAGGGTGTCACTGGCTCCCCCTTCGGTTTCGCTAGCGGCACGACCGGTGGCGGTGATGCCACTCCCGCTGCGCCCAGCGACATCAGCCAGCTGAAGACCTGGTTGTCTGACAGCACCCCCCGTGTCATCCTTATCGACAAGGAGTTCAACTTCCTTGGCAGCGAGGGCAAGTGCACCAACTGCGAGTGCTGCAAACCCGCCTCGAACACCTGCGGTAGCTCTGGCCAGAATGCCGTCAAGCAGAATGGCTCCGACTGGTGCGGTAGCTATCCCACCCTGACCTGCACGTACGACAACGCCGGTATTGAGGGCCTGGAAGTCGCCTCCAACAAGTCTATTGTTGGCGTGGGTAGCTCTGGTGTCCTGCGTGGAAAGGGTCTGCGCCTGGTGAACGGTGTCAGCAACATCATTATCCAGAACATCCACATCACGGAGCTCAACCCCGAGTTCATCTGGGGTGGTGACGCTATCACCCTCGACGGCACCAACAACGTCTGGATTGACCACGTCAAGATCAACCTCATTGGTCGTCAGATGTTCGTTGCCGGATACGAAGCCAGTATGTTTCCAAAAATAGATGTACATTGTTTGGATTCAAAACTGACAGTGCGCAGGTCACAGCGTTACCATTTCGAACAGCGAGTTTGATGGTGAGACCAGCTGGTCTGCGACTTGCGACGGCCACCACTACTGGACTGTGTAAGTTCCATGTCGTCCCACGCGCTCCTCCTTCATTACAACATCCTAACACTATCTAGTCTCGGATACGGCCACAATGACAAGATCACCTTCGCCAACAACTACATCCACCACACTTCGGGCCGTTCCCCCAAGCTTGAGTTCAACAGCTTCTGGCACGCGTACAACAACTACTGGTACAACAACACTGGCCATGCCTTCGATGTTGGCAAGAACACCCGTGCTCTGATCGAGGGTAATGTGATGGTCCAGGTCGACACTCCTCTCTTGGCCGACAGCAACCCCGGTGCCGTATTCGCCGTGAACACCAGCGATGTTTCCACCTGCACCAGCACCCTCGGACGCACCTGTGTCCCCAACACTTTGATCAGCTCCGGTACTCTCTCCGGTAGTGACAGCTCTGTGATCAGCAGCTGGCCCTCTGGTGAGTCCGACGTCACCGTCATGGCTGCTAGCAAAGTTGCTTCCTACGTCAAGGCCAACGCCGGTATTGGTAAGCTCGGCAACGGATCTGGCTCCTCCAGCACCGTCGGCGCGGCCGCCACCTCCGCTGTCGCCAAGCGTGCCGACTCTGACGATGCTCCTTTTGTCCCGGCCTACTCTGAGGCTGGCCCCGGCGCTTCCGCTGTCCCCACCCAGCCCTCCTGGTCTTGGAGGACAGTCACCAACGGCCCTGCTCCCACTGGAGCTCCCTCTGATAGCCCCTCGGCCCCCCAGGGTCTTGGTGCTCCTGTCCAGGCTTCGAACAAGCACCACCACCAGGGACACGGCCGTGGCTACTAAAGGGAATTTGTGGGTTCGCTTCTGCGCTGCCAAGCTGACAATGAAGCAAGCTGAGATAATTCCCATTTTCAACGGTCTGTGAGACAACATTTGTGTACATTTCCGAACATTCATCTTCTTTGTACATGATCAGGCTCTAGCCAGATATTCCCTAGCTAGTGTCTTATTTATCCTATTTAGTCAATCTATCAATCCTTCCACATGGGTCTATCTCGCTCCATACCTCTGTAGCAGGCAATATAACCTATGTAGCAATCGTAGGCTGACATAGAGTGGTATGATAAGCAGGCTGCAATCCGAGTCTTGTAGCTTACGTATTCGTATCTACCATCATTTTCCTGATTGAATTCGTTTGTGTAGACATCAGTAAGGCACTTGTTCCAAGAACGATTCTGTTAAATCTCTATGTCTGGCCGTGATATGGCTGGCGAGCCTTTTCCGCTTACATTGTTTGTCTAGTAATGTCGTCAAGAGCATGGCTACCAACATTATCTCCAAGGGGTACTTTGAATGGGTAAAATGATGAAGTCAAAGACCTGGTACTTTGAATTACAGTTAGCAATATCCTTTTCTTAAGTTCTTTTCGTTTCTTTCTTTTTTCTCCCGTCTAGTATTTACTACTGTATACCAGTATTAACCATTGATAACCAGTCAAAGTTGAACCTGATTTCAGGGTGGAGCGATATATATAAATTGGACATCAATAGATGCCACCAAAAGTACTACTAGTGCTGGTTTTTCTGCCGATACCCCTACAGCAAAAAGCAACATATGCCAGCCTGACAGTCAGGCCTCTATGTCTGAATTCCAGTCTACCAAAAGATCGTATATCAGTACTTAATCTATGGCATATTCAATAGACAGATTGTTTCGCAAGCTGCATGACGTCATCTGCTGAGTGACACGAAGAGAGGGGGCGAAAAAGTCCGCTGGACGGAGCAGAGGATGGCTAGAACAAAAGAGAACTTCTTGAATAAGTTTTCGAATCACTGTCCGCTAGCTGATTATTTGAGAAACAATAACAATCGGTGCCCAGGGCCCCCACGCAGCAGTGGATCGTCTGAAGTCTCGCCGTCGATACGCGGCGGTCCATCACGTGAGACACTCAACGCGTGAAGGCGTCACGTCCGGCGCGAACGAGACACGAACTTGCAGCAACACCGGGGGAGCGCAGTTTCCCGCGACGACCATCATTCCTCGTGACAATACTACCAATCGTCAAACCTGCTTCTTTTTCTCATATTAATCCCGATACCCTAATTATTGGAGAAAAGAAACGCGCCTGCTTAAATTTCTATGACCCTTCATCATGCCTGAAGCCGTCGCCATGCCCCAGAAGCGGGTTCTGGGCGATGCATCAAATAACCCTCGTGGTGTCGTAACAGATCCCAGTGCGCTCAAGAAGCGCAGGATAGAGAATGGCCCTGCTGCCGCTATGAAACCGCCGACAAATGGCCAGCGCCGAGTTCCGGGCTCCAGCCAGCCCCAGAAGAGTCAATTCGAGGAGGAGGTTCTGGAGAAACTGACCCAGGACATCAACGGGTTGAAGGACAGCAATTCGGAAAAAGATCAGCAATGGGAGCGACCGCCACTGGGTGAATTTGACCCGTCCACGGAGAATATCTGTTTCCAACAGATCGATGCTGAAGAGGGGACAATCATGGGCGGCAAGACTGCCGTTCGACTGTTTGGTGTCACTGAGGTAGGCTCTGCGTACTCTTTTGGCATCCGATCATGCTCTAATGTCCGCGTCTAGGCCGGTCAATCGGTCCTCCTCCACGTTACCGGGTTCCAACACTATCTCTACATCGCTGCGCCAGTGAACTTCACCAAAGACGACTGCGAGCCCTACCGAGCTTTCCTGGAGAGCAGAGTCGGACAGTTTCAACCTACGATCCAGTCAGTGCAAATAACGATGCGAGAGAACATCTACGGATTTCAAGGCAACCAGAAAAGCTATTACCTCAAGATCACAGTTACGGATCCCAAATTCATCAGCAAAGTCCGGTCAGCGTTGGAACAAGGCGGGGCCCAAAGCTTGAACTATAAAGGTCTCTGGAACAACTCTGATGGCGGGATTCTCACATTCGACAGCATCCAATACCTCCTCAGATTCATGATCGACACGGATATTTCGGGCATGTCTTGGGTTGAAGCAAAGGCGGGGAAATACCGCTTATTCCAGCAACATGAGAAGGTGTCGAATTGTCAGATCGAGGCTAGTGTCGACTACCGAGATCTTATCTCTCATCCACCCAACGGCGAGTGGGCCAAGATGGCCCCGTTGCGCATTTTGTCTTTTGATATTGAGTGCGCTGGACGGAAGGGTATCTTCCCTGAACCGAATCAAGACCCAGTCATTCAGATCGCCAATGTCGTGACGCGCTACGGAGAGTCTAAACCGTTTATTCGTAATGTGTTTGTTTTAGACACATGCAGTTTGATCGTCAACACTCAGATCCTCGAATTCAAAGACGAGGGGAAAATGCTTATGGCCTGGCGCGATTTCGTGCAAAAGGTGGACCCGGATGTGATCATCGGCTACAACATTGCCAATTTCGATTTTCCGTATCTGTTGGATCGTGCCAAGCATCTGAAATGCACTGGCTTCCCCTACTGGACCAGATTGAACGGCGTGCAGTCGCAGAGCAAGGAAACCAACTTCTCCAGCAAGCAGATGGGTAACCGTGACACGAAGTCAACGAACACTAATGGTCGCATCCAGCTCGATATGCTTCAACTAGTACAGCGAGACTACCACTTGCGAAGTTATACCTTGAACTCGGTGTCTTATGAATTCTTGGGCGAACAGAAGGAGGATGTCCATCACACTATGATCACTGAGCTGTATAATGGAACTCCCGATTCAAGACGGCGTTTAGCTGTCTACTGCTTGAAGGATGCGTATCTGCCGCAAAGGCTGATGGACAAGTTGATGTGCCTGGTCAACTACACCGAAATGGCGAGAGTGACGGGTGTGCCCTTCAACTTTTTGCTGTCACGAGGTCAGCAAGTCAAGTTCATCAGTCAGCTTTTCCGCAAGGCTTTGGAACAGCAGCTCGTCATCCCGAATACGAAATCCAACGACGAACAAGACTACGAAGGTGCTACTGTCATCGAGCCTGTCAGGGGCTACTACGGTGTGCCTATCGCAACCCTCGATTTCGCATCCCTATACCCGTCCATCATTCAAGCCCATAATCTCTGCTACACAACGCTCTTGAATAAGAGTAGCGTTGAAAGGCTGAAGCTTGTAAAAGATGAGGACTACATCGTGACACCTAACGGTGACATGTTCTGTACCGCCAAAGTTCGCAAAGGCCTGTTGTCACAGATTTTGGAAGAACTGCTGTCTGCACGTAAACGTGCTAAGAAAGAGCTGGCCGTTGAGACAGACCCATTCAAGAAGGCTGTTCTGAACGGACGACAGCTCGCTCTGAAGATCAGCGCCAACAGTGTTTACGGTCTCACAGGTGCAACTGTTGGAAAGCTGCCCTGCTTGCCCATCGCGAGTAGTACAACCAGTTATGGACGACAGATGATCGAGAAGACCAAACAGGAGGTGGAAGCCCGGTACACAATCGCGAATGGTTATTCTCATGATGCCAAGGTCATCTATGGTGATACTGATTCGGTCATGGTTAAGTTTGGCGTTGACAACTTGGAGGAAGCTATGAAGCTAGGACAAGAGGCCTCTGAATATGTCTCGTCCAAGTTCCTGAAGCCGATCAAACTGGAGTTCGAAAAGGTCTATTTCCCATATCTCCTAATCAACAAGAAGCGGTACGCCGGATTATACTGGACGAACCCCAACAAGTACGACAAGATGGATACGAAGGGTATCGAAACAGTTCGTCGAGACAACTGCCTGCTGGTTCAGAATGTTATCGAGACGGTCCTACAAAAGATTCTGGTTGAGCGAGACATTGATGGGGCACAAGAGTAAGATCACTTGCGAATACTCCCTTGGCTTGTTACTAACTGTATTGCAGCTACGTGAAGGACACCATTTCCGACCTCCTGCAAAATAAGATCGATATGTCCAAACTCGTGATCACCAAGGCCTTGTCCAAGGATGCGTATACCGCCAAGCAGGCACACGTGGAGCTCGCTGAGCGCATGAGAAAGCGTGATGCAGGTTCAGCACCAACGCTTGGCGACCGTGTGGCCTATGTCATTATCAAAGGTGCTGGCGGGTCAAAGAACTATGAAAGGTCTGAAGATCCAATTTACGTTCTTGAGAACAACATCCCCATCGACACGAAATACTATCTCGACAACCAACTAGCCAATCCGCTAGGTCGTATTTTCGAGCCCATTCTCGGAGAAAAGAAAGCCAGTCAGCTCCTCACAGGCGAACATACCCGTGCCATCTCTGTGGCTGCGCCAACCATGGGCGGACTGATGAAGTTCGCTAAGAAGACGCAAACCTGCCTTGGATGCAAGAAGCCTTTATCCGGCAAAGAAGAAGCGGAGGGCGCAGTGTGCGCTTACTGCCGTCCTCGCCTCGGCGAGCTCTACACCAAGTCATTGACCAAAGTATCAGACCTGGAAGTCCGGTTTGGACGACTCTGGACCCAATGTCAGCGTTGTCAGGGCAGTTTGCACTGTGAAGTCATCTGCTCGTCCAGGGATTGCCCTATTTTCTATATGCGCATGAAGGCAAAGAAGGACGTGGAGGATGCGCAAAAAGAACTGTCTCGGTTTGATAATGATGCAGGTGCATGGTAATGATACAGTGATATCTTGGGTATGGTATAGCAGCTTGTATGACTAGTCGTGGGTTTCAGATATGGCGCATTGGGAAATAGCATGGGGGGTTCATATATTGTGATTGAATATTAACAAGCTTGTATGGAATACTTGATGTGCTTCATGCATTTGGCTTTATCCATAAAACTAAAGAGTACCATCTTCCTACTTAACGAGCAAACATAGAGATGTAGGGGCTATTCTACCGCTGCAAAGGCAGTGCAAAGCAGTGCTACAAGGCTGGAAGAAGTTCCAACCAACCAACCAACTAGTTGTGTACCCGGCAATATTGTGGCTGGCTGAACAACTCAATGTACAAAGATTAACTGAATCCTGACAATGAGCTAGAGCTGGGAAGAATGTAACGCTGCCAACACAACGATATCTCCAATGGCTTCGGAAGGGGGCTAACCGGGTCCTCTCTTATCCAGCTAGTATCTAGACAGCTGAGTGGAGACTAGTACGGCTGAACTTCTTTATTAAAGTAATGTTGGGGTTATGCCAGGTCAGACGGTAATGACCGTTCGCTTCGTTAGTGCTTACGGACAAATCTTGATTGGACATATCGGTTAAACACAGATGCTTTGTATCCAGTAAGCAGAGTTTAGTTTGTATGTGGCTGAGTTAGTATGGGATCGCTTCTATAGTACCGCAATATTGGTCTTGGGGGCGAAAAGACAATGACAGGTAGGTTCCCCAATGTCAGGGATGCATGCGGCTCCAGACGAAGTCCCTGAAAAGAAAATCGTAGGATACGGCTCTGAGAGAAACTATTTAAGCCTCAATGGACCCAGTCTCGAATGAATGACACCATCAAGTCCGAAAAAAACCATCAATTGAGCTTCATTAGCACCCGTCCCCAATGATTACCCTCACAATGACTGCCACTACACTTCCCCGGCGGGTTTTCCTCATTAGCGTCCCGCGCTCAGCATCCCATCTTCTTCTGAAGATCGTGGACATCCACAACCAGCCCAAGTTCTTAACCAACGAACAAGGAGGCTACTTCTTCTTCCCAGCCTTTGCGCCCGCCATCCACGGCGGGTATGCCGACAAGCCACTGAACGAGTGGACAAGCACCCAAAAGGAAGAAATAAAGGCATCATTCCATGGTTGTGTCTCAAGTCTGGAGGAGTACTCCGAACGGGCGCAGAAAGAGGACAAAGCCATGTTCATCAAGGAACACGCATACTGGTTCATGAACCCGGCACTCATGTATGAAATGATGACGGGAAATAAAGACCCGGAGCTCTTCAAAACGTTTCAGCTGCGCTTATCTGAGAGCTACGACCCACAGAGCTTCTCGCCCTCGAACAAGACTGTTCTGCCGGATGAATACCTCCGCAGCTGGCAAGTGGCATTTATCATCCGTCACCCGGCATTAGCATGGGCGTCGATGTATCGCGCCATGACCAAGATCAAGGGATTCGGAGGCATGGGCGGTAAGGAGTTCATGGGGGTGTGGAAGACGAACACGACGCTGCGGTGGACCCGCATGGTGTATGATTGGTGTTTGGAACAGGGTACTCAGCCTGTTCTGGTGGATGCGGATGATGTTACTCATAATCCGGCCGCGGTGAAGCGCTTTTGTGAGCTCACGGGATTAGATCCTGAGAAGATGCAGTACGAGTGGAGTGAGGAGACGGTCAAGGGGACTGGTCCGGGTATGCATGACACTGAAAATGAGCACTATGAGATGCAGATCAAGATCAACTGTGTCATGCGCTCTACAGTTGATGCGTCGTCGGGGATTGTCAAGGATAAGACGCCGACGGGTCCTATTGATATTGCTGTGGAAATGGAGAAGTGGAAGGCGGAGCTTGGGGATGAAGCTGCGCAGCTTTTGCACGAGGCTGTTTTGGAGTCCATGCCGGACTACGAGTATCTCAAGGAGCGGCGGATTATTGTATAGATTTAATCACCTATGATAAGACGATTGTTTTTGGTATATCCAATTGAAATAATTTTGAATTCCTAACTGAGAACAGCAATTGAGCTAGATACCTACCTTACCAATTGTAGAAATGAAAGACTGCATCAACCTTCAAGGCTTGACTTCATATAGTCTCCTATTTCCCGAGAATTAGACTATACGACTGTCTCCCTGGCTTGGAATATGAACATCGATCGTTGTCTGATGCTGGTGTGATTCTAGTAGGGACTATCCTATCACGATATAGTATTGGAGATGAGCGGAGGTAGAATGCTAATTTAGTTACTTTTCTTCCTTCCTGCTTAGGCAGCGCTTGCAGGTGTCTTCCTCTCTGGGCCCTTTTCACCTGCAGTGTCACTCCTTCCATCATCTCGACCACACATGCAACATCCCGAGTCTCCGGATACCATGATGGACATTGCGACGGCCATTTCTGAGACTTCCTGAACGGGCTACAAAGTAGCAGGTTGATGGGAAATTTACTAACACACAAGAACAGTTAATCATTGCCCCGGTAGATAATTCCCAATATCCACTGCGAGCCGGTTTGGGAAAATACTGTGGGCACTTCCACCATCCGAGATTTAGTTGAGGTGTAAAAATAATAGATAGGGCTGGGGAAATAAGTCGAGGACCAGAATCATTTGACTATTTTCGGGAAAGGCTCTCCATAGACAACTCTGCTGCTAGGAAAACTAATCTGCCTTTCAAGAAGCATCCCTCATGATGACATCCCCATCAGCATCGTGTGAACGAGCGTTGCTATCTGGACGGCCTCTGATAGGCTTCCGAAAGTTGCTGGAAATGGGTCGTTTCGCTCTTCTTTGACCGAAAGGTTTATAAGGGGGGCGGGTCGATGTGGAAGTGTCACCACCTTTGTCAAACTGGAGGTCTCCGATGAGATTCGTCTGGGCATGACCCTCCTGAACTTGGACTGAAGACCCGAAGGCGATGGCCCAAGAACTCACGATATTAGTATCGATAGATTGCTGATGCTGATGTTGCTGCCCGCAATTCGGTGACGCGCCTTCGTCTGCCCTGTTTCCTGAGGACGAGTAGAACGCGTTGGACAGGCGTGTGTCCCTGGCGAGATCGTTGACATGATGCTGATCTTGAGTCTGGGATGGCTGTTTTCTCAAAATAGGTGGCACGAAGATATCCTTGTCGCTGTCGCTGGAGGTATCGGGTTCGGTGTCACCTCTGTCTACGGACGACATGGTTTCTGTGTCTTTCTGGCTGCTTAGCCAACCAGTACCACCTGAGAAGGGGTTTGAGGAACTTGTCATGCTGATGTCTTTAGTTGAGACTATTGCCAGTTAAGTCGGATTAGCGAGAGTCATACGGTTCGAAGTATCAGTCACCTTACAAATCACTACCGAACCATCTTCAGGAGCAATACTATGGCCTAGAAGAAGTCATGAAATGAATTCAAAACTGGTGGGTAAATCTATAGGGTAGCTCTGTGAGCGCCAGGATTAAGAGCTCTCTGATAGTATGGCAAACACATCGCATTCACTGCTGTTACTTCACTGAATTCCATCCAGATTGAACTGTGGATTAAGCCCTGCCATATTCTGGCAATTGGAGTGCACTCAATCTACCATCTTATATTCTCTCGCCAAAATGTGTGTATACAGCCATTGCGGAACTATTCACGGGCTGGGCTCTCAAATTCCACGCTAGAGGTGAGCTTCGCCTTAGTGGTTACTAGCTATGGATAGTAGATTATTCGATATTCGCGGCTCGGAATCTTTCTCCACTCGCTAACTTTTGCGTCATGGATAAGGTTTGTGGATGGCGTGTCGCCCAAACCCACCGGCTGCCCTTGGGAACTTGGGATGCCGACAGTCTTGAGAATGTCCTCATATGATGCGAAGCTGCAGTTAACTATTCATCATCACCGAAGACGGAATTGTGACAGTCATATATATGACTAAGCGAAATTATGCGGAGACTAGGCCCGAAACAGACCCGACGAGGGCTACTCCTACTCAGTCTGGTGGAACAGACATCACGTGCTCACACAGATCCGGGATGAGGTTCCTCCCGTCATTCCAGAAAAACTTTGAACGATCGACAAAGTCAATTGTCGGTTCGCCGCGCAGGGGAGATTGAGACACGGGGAAGTTTACCGCTCAGAACTTCAGCGGTCACCATGTCTTTCCCTTCCCCAGGACAGCCAAGACATGTCTGCCAGAGCCCCAGATGCCCAGCAATTGACTCCCCTCAAGCCGTGCGGAGGCGCTGCCAGTATCACAGCATTCTGTGACTAATTACCATCTCCAACTTCGACTCAATCACACCGTGCAAGTGGGGTTCGTTGCCGCGTGTCCAACCAAAGAAATGGCTCGAGACGGGTGGAGAAGCACGAGCAAGTGGTGCGAACGTGGTTCCCGATGTCGCGATGCAGGTACCCAGCGGCGAATAAAACATTTTTCTCCGCGCGTGGCCGGAGTGTGGCGAGCTGTCGTTGTCGCCTACAAGAACTCTGGGGGAACCTCTCTTCTCTGGTGTGTCACCACTTCTACAACTTCGCATCTTCCCCGCCAAGATGCACCAGTCCACCACTGTCACCATGGAGGACGAGAAGATCCGCGAGTACGGATACGGTGGTCCTGAGGTGGTCAACTACGACGATGAAGCTCCCCCGCTCAAAGGTGAGCTGGAGCTCAATGTCGGTGGCCGTGGTGCTACCCAACGGCGGCTGAAGAACTACCAGGTCAGCATGATCGGGTTCTGTGGTGGAATTGGAACCGGTCTCTTCGTGGGAGCAGGCTCTGCATATGCAGAAGCAGGTCCCGCTGGTTTGCTGCTGGCCTACATTGTTATTGGATTCGTGCTGTGGTGTGTCATGCAGAGTATTGCGGAACTGGCTACCTTGCTGCCCACAGCGGGATCATTCCCTCACTGGGCCACTCGCTTCATCGATCCGGCCGTCGGCTTTTCCCTCGCTATCACATACGGTTACTGTTATACAATTGCGATTGCTTCAGAGGTGTCCGCTTCTGCGGTCATTGTTGGCTATTGGACAGACTTGACACCGGCGGTGGTTATTACGGTCGGGCTGGTGCTGATCTTGGCTATCAACCTGATGAGCGTACGCTTTTATGGTGAAAGTGAGGTCATCGCAGGCGCTATTAAGGTGTTGTGCTTTGTCGGATTGGTCATTGTCGCTATCGTCATCACCTCAGGTGGCGGTCCCAATCACCAAACCATCGGATTCCGCTACTGGCACAATCCCGGAGCCTGGACGAACTACAATGGCATCACTGGCCCGACTGGACACTTCCTTGGATTTTTGTCTGCCTTCGTCAATGCGTCCTTCAGTTTCGTTGGTGTCGAAACAGTCGTCATCACTGCCGCCGAATCGGTCGACCCGCACTACTCCATCCCCAAAGCTGCCCGTCGCGTGACATACCGAATTGCGTTCTTCTACATTCTCGGTGCACTGCTCATTGGAATCATTGTCAGCCCTACAAACCCAGATCTTGTTTCTGGTTCCGACAACGCCAACAGCTCCCCTTGGGTCATTGCTATCAAGCAGGCCGGAATTAGCGCCTTACCGTCTGTGGTCAACGCTTGTATCCTTATATCGGCCTGGTCTGCAGGCAATTCGTATTGCTGGGTGGGATCGCGCATGATTGTGGCCATGACGACCGACCGTCAGTTACCACAGGTGTTTGGCCGGGTTAACAAGATGGGCGTGCCGTACGTTGCCGTCATCACCTCCTGGCTTTTTGGGCCGTTGGCATATCTGAGTTAGTAATCATCGATCTCCTAATGTGTTTCCATCTCGATTAACGGAATTTCTAGGTCTTGGATCCGGTGGTCCGGCACAGGCTTTCAGCTGGCTTCTTAATCTGAGCACCATTGCTGGACTGATCGCGTGGGCGACGCTGTCCTTCTGCTACATTCGCTTCTATTCGGCCATGAAAGCGCAGGGCGTCAGCCGGGACACTTTGCCCTGGCAGTCGCCTTTCCAGCCATACACGGCGTGGGTGGGTTTCATTGGCTCAACTATCATCACCCTGGTGGCGGGTTTCCCTGTGTTCCTCAAGGGTAACTGGTCCACTTCGGACTTCTTTGCCTCATATGTGGGCATTCCTATCTTCATTGTGCCGATTATCCTCTGGAAGGTGTTCAAGCGCACGAAGGTGAGCAGCCTTATCTTCACCCTGGTATCGAACGATGTTGCTAACTGATGATGCAGTTTGTTCGCAGCTCCAATATCGACCTCTGGTCCGGTCGGCTGCAGGAGGGCGAGATTGTTATCCGAGAGGGCGGGCCCAAGACCCGTGTGAGACGCTTCGTGGACTGGTTCTTCTAAGTGTGGACTGGTTCCAAATTCAACTTTCTTTCTGTACATTTGTGCATCTTTCGGCGGAGATACCCATTATGTTTTCCATGCAATTTCAACAATTTGCAACCCGTCAAAAAAGTCTTATACTTTCTATATACATATTATACAAGTTTTAATTTATTGCGGGCGGAGCTGTTCGCGAAGCCTCTTGATATCATTGAACGAAGCCTTGCAGCAACCGCCAACAAGGATAGAGCTGAACTGGCCAGTCGCGCTAGCGTCATTGACCACCTGTGCCAATTGCACCTCCCAGGGTCGCTAATCAGTCAGCACATATATCTCTTCAATATCACAACCAACATCCAAAAGGTTCACTTACCGAATCAGCCGCACCACTCTTATCTTGAACCTTTTCCCACGTCTGCGTAGCAGTATTATAAACCTCCCCCTGCGTGCCATCCGGATACAGCACCAACGCAGGCCTCTCCTGAATACGCCCATCCCTCAACAACCTCTCCACAGCATCCCCAAACAATTTCACCAACCGGGGCAACTTATGAAGCTTCGTACAATTAATCCCAATTCCCCACGGCGTAGCACCCCCCTCAATCGGCAACAACGCCGCCTCTACCACCTCATCAACGGTACTTCCATCCGGCAGGGTATCCTTATCCTCAATCGGAAAAACACAAGCCACCCAAAACGGGATCCCCTCACAAAACCTAGAAGATCCCACAGCCCTCCTCACAGCCCTCACCTCATCAATCCTCGGCACCGTCTCCATAGCAATATACTTCACCCTCTCTCCCAACCTCATCCCCTCCATCGCCTCATCATTAAAAAGTCCCAACCGGTCCGTATGCCACCTCCACAGCTTCTCCTCGGTATCATGTTCCCCGTCATACTTCCCACTATACTCTTGTCCCGGGATCATGCACGCGCCATAGGGACCTAGACTTAGCGCCACGGAGGCGGAAGTATTCTGCACAGCTTGTCCGGCGACGTCGAGGGCGGTGCGAAGGTAACCGGCGATACTCTCGCGGGGGATTCCCGTCGGGTGGGAAGGGGTTTTTGTGCGCTGGAAGCCCTCCGGAGAGACTTGGTAGGTGGCAGTTAGGAGGACGTCGACGGCGGCGGTGGTGGTGAAGTCGCGTTGGCAGGAGAGGAGGGTCGAGGGGTCGGAGATCATTAGGTGCGAGGACCAGAGAGGGGTGGTGCTGCTGCTGAAGGTAATGTTGTAGTGGTCTTGGAGGGAGGTGCCGAGACCGCCGTCGAGAATGAGGATGGGGGTTTTTGCCATTTTGAGGTGTATTGATGAGGTGGATTGAGTGGGAAATTGAAGATGAAAAAGGGGAGTGATGTGAAGAAGAAGAGGGAATATTTCTTCAGTTTCTGGTGGTATTGCGACAACGGAATGGCTTTCTGCCCCGCAATGTGGGGTTGTTTGCGTAGGTTGCAATTCGCGATCGGGCTGGAATGGGATGGGATGGGCTTATCAGACTACCATCATCATTTACATATCTATTTCGCAGTACATTTGAGTGAAATAATCATTCAATGTCTACGGCTACTGGTGCCGTGGATTGGTTGGCACTGTTCATGGATCTCTATTTGGTGGTGATTGAAATCACGGGACGTCATCGACTGTCTACTACACGGCACGCATTCCAGCCAAGCCATTCGTTCCTCTCTGTTCTAGAAGCTCAGTCAGCTTTTTGACAGGCGGTATAGCTGCCTTCATAAGCCTCAGGCAGAGGGTATCTACAGACAATCAACCTTTATTCTCCTCATGTTCATCAGTTATGACCTAAAGGCTTCCTTGTTGGTGTTCTGATGCGAATAATGTCACAGACCATCAGTCTCCCTCGTGAAACCTTCTGCGACCATCATCCACAAATGTCGCAATGGAAGTACCATCGTCCTCCAGTTGACCGCATAGGCTAGGCAGCTATCTCCTACTGTTGCATCCAGCACAATGACCCCAAGACATTGCATCGACAAGAAAGATCTCCATAATAGAATGCTGCACATCGCCGATCACAAAAAACTATGATGTGAGCGGTGTGCCACTGCTGTGACAGGCACCAGCATCACCACAGCTAAGCCATCATTCTATTTATGCATTCTAGTTATTGAACCGCAGTAACTACCTCGGCAAACCCACGAGTGGATAACAGGAAAGGAACAGGCACCTCCATACTCCAGATACCCACGCAGGATGATCTTCTGAGGCTTATTCCGAGCACCAATCAAGCTGTCACCACTGAAATAGATTGATAGGCAGAGCAGTTCTCTCAACGACAGCAGACCCATACGCTAGGGAATAGAATACTGTTTGTAATTCTCTGTAAGTACAACATCCATGTCAACTCTGCGACCGTCCCTGTCTGGAGTGTGGCTTTGATCAATAGTCCATCCGCCGGCCATATTACTCATGTCGCACCTTGATACACAGCCCCAGCCACAATGTTCCACCTAGAGTGATCTATTAGATTAGATGCATGGGATGGCATTATCCCACGAAGCTAATAACAAACCACTTCAACGACTAGCACTGTCACGGCGGCTATGAGACTGCTATCCAGTTCCTACCAGGAACAGCCAACCAATGACAATGAATGGAAAAGCGAAACTCCCTCATACAGTAGGAGTACTAGTAATAGACCCTGCAGAGTTTTACAATGATAGACAGACAGACAATACTCGCAATTCAATGCAAGGGACCATGGAACAGTCGGTCGGCCCAACGGTCTACAGAACCGGACCCTCATCCTCCATATCCTGTCAGTGAGTAACTGCCGCAGTATCTTTATCCCGGCCCAATCTGACTCGGTAATAGTGTCCGGTAACCGGGGAATCGGTAAGCAAAAAAACGAAAATGAGGTTGCCTAGGACCCTTTAGGCGATAGTGCTAAGAATAGATCAGCATTGGCACAGCCCCATTGGCCCAGCATCCAAGCAAAGCTTAGGTAAAGCTTGGAGACTGCCCTGTTGTAATGTAATGTATGTGTAATGGGATTGTTCGTATTCGGATTGACGAAGAGCACAGAAGCAACGCGGCGTTTCGACTGACCAAAATTGAGTCGGGCGACGGAGCGAAAGCAGTATGGTTAGCTGCCGATCCCTGGTATTTGGGCGGATTCAAGGTTTGGGACAGACATGAAAGTTACGGGACTATTGAAGTTGGATGATAACTACTATACCCAAATGTGCTTACTACGTATCAGATGGGGAGTACAGAGTTACAAAGTTCACAGTAAGCGAAGCAAAATAAGCAAGTAAGCATCCATCATAGCTCATTAACCACCGCGAAAGAGAAAGAGAAGGAGAAAGAAACAAGACTTGACACCGTCATCCGAGCTCCTCACCTGGTTCTCTGCATGAACCGCGCGTCTATAACACCCCCCCAATTATGGACAAGCAAGCAAGCACAACTCAGCCCAAGTTTCATCAACCACACAGCCCAGCCACGGAAAACCCGGCACAACACCTCCCCAAGACAGCGGAGAATCAGTCAACAACCATCCCAACATGGAATCCGGCGAATCCCACGACAAACAAGTCGGCCGTGCCAAGAGTACTAGCCGGCAGGGCTGAGCGGGTTGACGTGGACCATCTCGTGGCTGTGAGTGGCTGATTCTTGCACTTTCAACCAACCTCCCCGCTTTCTCAGCATGAAAAAAGACGGATTCTTTCGAGGACTTTCTGTTTTGGTGTCTCTCGCGGCCCCCACCCGTATCATTACACCACTGATACGCGCTTACACCCTGACCCACACGGAATGAATCGCCTGGCCGGGCTGGGTCGTGGACCCCTGATCCAGAGACTTGTAATGGGATGGGATGATGGATCGATCATCTTTAAAACATAAATAGCGGGTTGTCCTTCTCTTTTTCTTTTGTTCGCTCATCTCCATTACACTACAGTCAGACTTATCTGCTTATACTTAGATATCTATCTCTATCTCTTATCTCTACTCTCACCTATTTACAAACACAACACTCTTACACTACTACATCAATCAAAATGGTCTTCAACTGGTTCAAGTCTTCCAAGGAGGAATCCTCCGCTACCCAGCAGCCCTCCTGGGACGCCAACACCATGACCATGCAGCAGCCTTCTAGCCCCGAGGCTCCTTCCACTGAGCGCGTTGTTACGCAGCAGCCTGTACGTTTCATATCTTCACCATATATGTATCTCATATTATATGGAATAAAAGCTAATGATTTGTTTTCTGCAGAACTCCCAGGAAGAAATGAAGATGGGCCTGCGTGGTGGTGGTGCCGGTGATGTGTGCTGCGGAGTGTATGTTCTTCCTCCCCTCTTTCCTTTCTCTATGCCATCATGATAGTCAAGCTAATTGTTATTCTCTAGTTGCGCCGGTCTCCTTTGCTTCGAGTGCTGCGAAGAGTGCTGCTAAACACCTTCCCTTCCCTCTCATACATACGTTCGACTACTGTCTCCGTATCTTGACGAACAACAAAGATAAAAGAAGAATACCCTCTTAAAGAAAACGGACATGTGCCATCTACGAGACGAGCTATGAAATGTGGACCCGGATGAAGTGGATTAGATTTTTGGGTCGATGATTCCATGGATGGAATGATGGATGGTGTTTCAGTTGATTTTGGATTTGCCTTGCGAGATCGCTTATACCCGGTGTATTTATCCCATCTACGATTTCTCTAATTTCGCTTGGTGCTTTGAATGAATTGAGTTAAGATGAATGCTTATTTCTCGGTTGGCCAGTGCGCTGTAGATCACATTTGCATTAATACTATTCATCAGGTGGCAGTCTTGTTGCGCGCTAACTCTCCTCTGCGAATATTGTAAACTAGATCTTCGTGATTTATCAGTCCATCAGATTAGGACCCTCCTCGTCTTTCTTATAAGTCACCTTCTTCGGACCCATTGTGCCAACACCATACTCAACGCTTCCGTCCTCGAAATGACCAACTGACTTGACCAGCCCTCCACTGATGTCATTGATCACCTGGCTGAAATGGAGCCCTTTGTTCACCTTGCACCGAGTACTGGCCGACTCGCAATGAGCCACCAGGGCAGCCGCCGTTTTGAAGACGCGAAGGCATCCAGGGCACCTAATAAGCCGTGAGTCAGACCATAGACAAAACAGTCATGCAAGCATGCAGCCGCTTACTGAATGCTCCTGTTCTGGTTGGTCTTCGTTACCACATGCTCCTCAAAGTCCTTCATGCTGGAGAATTCAGCCTTACAGGGACAGATAAACTTTCCGGAAAAGGAACTGAAGTATACGGTAGGGTCCCAGTTCTGGTCCAACATGCGCAGAGTGTGTCCTGCATCGAAGCGGATATTGCCAAATGAATTGCTCGGGCTTGGGCTTGGGCTCGATGGCCTGGCACCCGATGCAGGCATCTTCCCCGCCGATGCTGATCGTCCTCTCATCTCACTCGTCATAGACGGAGAGGCCATAGACGACTTGCTCTTCCATTCTGGGACGTTGGTGTTAAGAGATAGACCGCCCACCCCGTCCACAACAGATCGAGTGGCCTCGTCGTTGTCAAAGTCCATCTCCAAAAGGTTCTGCTCGATTTGGACTCCGCCGTTGTCATCTGGACAATCGGGGTCAGCGTTCTCATTCTCATTTCCTGTCTTGAGCGTCTCCCGGTAGAGGAGTCTCTTTGACTGTTCCTGTAGGAGACTAGACAAGGGGATGTTTGGGCAATCGCCGCTCTCAACGTGATTTACCATGGCACCTGCCTGTCTGAACCTCTGCCCGCAGCCGTAACAGATCAGGCTCTGCGGAGTTCGGTGTTGCTGTATAGACACCAAAAGTATTAGCTTGAATATAATGTGGATGGTAAATATTTGTGGTAATGAATGATACTAACCTGGCGAGTGTGGAGGTCTCTACCACCCTCGCTGCGGAAATCGATCCCACACACCACACACACGATATGCTTGTCACTCTTGATCTTGTGGAGCAGTAGATACTCATCATCCTGGAAGTCTTCGTCGCAACGCTTGCAGTAGTCGTGTTCGTTCACCTTGTGCCTCTTCATGTCCCACTCCGAACCAAAGACACCGCTGCAGTCCTTGTAGGTGCAGGGCACCCTGGTGGAGGATCCGTGAGCGGACATCTTGGACTCGTCCAGAAACTCGTCAAGTAGATGTAGGGCGAGTGTCCGAATAATTGAGAGAAGCGAGATGAGGTCTCAACAGAGAGCTAAGAAGAGTAGAAAGTTCAAGGTCTGCGAAATTCACCGTAGTGTTGATGAATGAGTGTCACCCTATATGTGACCTGCCAAACTAGGAAGGTATGCACTTGAAGCGAGACGGAGTAGTAGATGCTGGAAGGCTTTTTATTTAACCTATGAATATTACAAGTCGGTTCATATATTGCATGGAATGAGGTGGCATTGAAGTGAGATTTGAATTAACGGAATCCTATCACTTTCCTCTCACTTCGTACCCACAGCTAGTCAATACAAGCCCACTGGCCACATACTACAAAAAGATAATTCATAAAAAACATTCATTAGCAAATCATTTACATAAGCCTATATATGCAGTCATTAAGCCCGATCTAGAACCGCGAGAACGGCAGCCTACCGACGTCAGTATATCACCAGCGACCATCAATCATCCAAGACAACTTACCACTTGCCACGCAGGGTAATCACAGCCCAGTTATTTCCATCCGCATCCGTCTCCTTCTCAACCTTGGTAGAGAAAGAGATAGCGCTCATGATACCATCTCCGAACTTCTCATTCAGCACCGCCTTGTACGCGTATCCATAGTTCTGCACAATCTCGTACAACCGGTAAATCAACGGCTCCTTGGGAGGCATCTCAACGCTGCGACCACGGTCGGGGAAGCCACTAAGCCTTTCTTCCAGAGCATCATATGGAATGGTCAGGAGTCCTGAGAGTTTCTCAATGTCTTCGGGGGAAGCCTTGGCCTGGCCATAGAAGATGGCGGCGGTAGCCACTTCATTGCGGCCAATGTGCTGGGCAATTTGCTCGAAGCTCAGTTTCTTGGCGGCTTTGGCCTTGAACAGGGTCTCCGACGCGGATGGGAGGCTGGGATGCTGGGCAGTCTGTTATTTGACAGTGATGAGCTCATCGTTTCTGTTTTTGGCACAACGTATTGGAGGGAGGACTTACGTCAAGGGTGGCGAGAGACATTGTGTCGGTAGGATGCTTGGGCAGAGACGGCAATGGAAAGAATTCAAGGGGACTAAGACTGCGGAAGATTGGATTCTAAAGCTAGCTGCCAAAGTCAAGCAGAAGGATGGGTGTCATTCTTAAATAATTGGCGGTGATCCGCTTTCTCCAACTATGGTGCGGGGTACTTGCCGTCTCGCTGCAACGGTGGGGGCTCATGCTGTGAGGGGGTGCATCAACAAAACGTTCGCCTCTCTATAGACGTTTGTGTCATCTTTCAGGTTCTTGGTGAAGTAGCACTATTATAGGCTCGCTGGTAGGTGGCAGCGCTGGCAGCACCCTCAATAAAGCTATGGAGTTCACCTTATCTTCGTGTAGCCGTGAAAACGTCAGGTGCATCTCAGATAAGATACTGCGGGGTTCCGCCGAGGTCGGATCCGCAAGCAACCGCCTGCCAACAACTATGACATCTAGCATACGTATATAGTATCGAGAGGAGACATACTGTAACAGAACACCAAAAGAATAGAGATTTTAGTACTCTATTGGAAATAATCAGGAATATGTATGCTCACTTCCTGCAGCGTAGTCAGACTCAACTTGGATTTGGTTCGTCATAGCTAGTACCTACCAACTGGAATTGTCTGAACTTACGAGAAACTGGCATCAGTGGATGTATCTTAAGATATTGGTCTCTCCCGAACTGAAGAGGTGTAATTTGTAACTGTAGTTGCCAATCGGTATGGTGCTACTAGTAGCAGATTCGTCGTGATCAATAGTTGTTATACAACATATGCTACCGGTGATAGTCTTCTCATTCGGCCCTAGTACCAAATACAAAATATAGTATTATCATGCTCAGCAGGTTCCGCACCAAACCTATAGTACTAGTAACTACTCAACTAGCAGATATGAGCTCAGGTAACCCTATTCCAACCCTTTAGCTACGAATAAAATCACTAGTAGTTTGACTGTCGATTACTTTGCACTCTATCGTGAATCAATAAGTCACGTGCCCACTGCAAATGTGGGGTTTGTTCTTTCTCCGCAACTCCGCAACTCCGCCTCTTCTACACCGGTTAAGAATCCTCGTGTATAAGTATACTTGAGAGCATCATGGAGAGCCGGCCTGCAATGAAGCGCGCCTCGGACTCAGAGGCGGATCCCCCACGTACGCGTCCTTGTCCTGCTTGCAACAAGACATTCTCAAAAGCCGAACATCTCACGCGGCATCTCCGCAGCCACACCAAAGAGAGACCGTATGCGTGTACCACCTGCGGAAAGGTGTACTCAAGAAGGTGTGCACTCCGAGCCTGAACTATTAGCGTTTATGCTGACAATTGCTAGCGATGTGCTACGACGGCATTTGAAAAGCCACGAAAAAAATCCTCAAAGTGCTTCTCCACAGCCCCGAGCTTCGAGTTCAGGAACGCCATCTCATTCAGTGGAAGAAGAATCTACTATAATCACTACCCCATCGCATGGGGCACCAAAGATACATGAGCTACTCAATGATGCTTCGTTAATAGTACCAACCGTACCTCATCAACTGATTGGCGGGACTGAACCATCTCAACCCCAATCAGCGGTAGGGATGAGTCTTCACGATCCCGTGCTACAAACAGATACCGATTCTTGGTTCCTGGGGGCAGACTTTGATGTCAATGCATTGGACTTCTCCATCTCATCGGCAATATCGGAATGGGCGCAACTGCCTTCCACGCCACACATGTTAGGCTCTGTTGGCTTAGGAGAAGAGCCGCTGCATTCCGTACCAACGCCCTACGCAAAGGGGAACGGCAATGATCCTCGTCCAGCAGACATTGTAAGGAAGAGATGGTTTACCTGCTTGTCTCCACCAGAGGTGAATCATTTCGTCTACAGAGGACCTAATCGTCCCAGTGACTCCTTCCCTCAAGGGAGGATTGATGCCGATGACAACTATAGAGCTGGTCTCTCCCAGAGGCTAAAGCCCCGCATGCATGATGAAGCACTGCCCTCTGCGGAGCAATTGAACCTCTTTGCAAAACTCTTCTTCAGTCGATTCCACTCTCTATTTCCGGTCATACATGCGCCCACATTCCGTCCGACCGCGGAAAATTCGTTGCTATTCTTATCAATCTGCTCAATAGGCAGTCTCTTTGTGGGTTCATCCCATGCAGTGGCACAAGGCCTGAGGATTTTTGAAAGACTGAACAAAGCAATTCTGGCCTCGTGGGAGGCCATCCTGGCCCATAGCCAACCGGATGCCTTGTCGATGGTGCAAGCTGCCATTCTGGGCCAGACTTATGGAATTTTGTCCGGAAGGCCCAAGGACTTGGTCCTGGCTGATGTCCTGCATGGTACTGTGATGGGATGGGCTCGCGAGTCCAATAAATACGCCACTCTTGGCCATGGCCAGATTCTCGATGACTGTTCGACCGAACAAGAGCTGATCGAGCAGTGGCACCGATGGGCCGAGGCGGAACAGAGAAGACGGGTCGAAATCGCCCTGAATATACACGACGCAGAGCTTGCTAGTCTGATGCACCATGAACCTATTCGCAAACATCGACTCTCACAATATCCGCTGCTAGCCTCTGAACCTATGTTCATGGCCCCGACAGCCGCCCGATGGGCCGATATATTCAAACAGTCACCGTCATATACCAAATTAAGCCTGAGCCCCGACCTTCACTTTCACTCCGCCGGGCATGATTCCAGGTTTGCTATCTACAGTGTGTTGGAGAGTATAAACGCCCATGTTATCGAGGCTCGCCTCTCAGGCACCCTAGATAGAGGTAGATCACATAATCTATCTGGCCTACTAATGCATTGGTGGAGTAAATATAGCCTACAATACATCCAGAATGAGGAAGAGGACCCCTTCAGTCTTCCAGTCCTGTGGCACTCGATTTACATGTCTCTTTACAGCGACATGGACCTGCTTGAACGAGCAGTGGGTCGTAATGGGCATGCAGCTGCCACTGGATCTCAGGACCCAGTCCAAACGTGGGCAGGCTCCCTGGATGCCAGTAAGTGCTTGGTACATGCGCTGTTGATACAGCGTTACCTCGAGAGGATGCGGATTTCCTCTGAACCCGCAATACACGTTCCCGGGGCTCTATTTTCTGCTGCTCTCGCATGGCTCTGCTTCACGAGAATTGGGCAACAGCAATCCATCAATCTGAAAGCTTTTGATGCCCCAGAAATCCAGCTCCTGGGCAGTGAGACCGCTTTGCAGGAGGCTCAAGGGCAGGCATTTGGAGACTCTGCATTTGCAGATGTTAATCATTTACATCGACTGATTGACCTTCTGCACCGTTTTGGGCGCTGGACGATCTCCAAAACATTCGCCACTGTGCTGTGCACCGCTTTGGAAGAGGTTAGGGAAGAATGACGTACCTTTCATTGCGGTTGCTATAGCAATACATTTATGCACGACCGCTGGAGAAAAGAAAGTATCAATGAAACACTTTGTGGCAACAAGGCGTTGACACAATGCAAAAATGGTTCATGCCGAGGTCAGCGGGGAGTTTCCCCGCAGGAATGTGGGATGTGTTGCGGGGTGGCGGGGTGACCCCGTGGATCGACACTCGGAAGGGGATTGCAGACTGCTTACCTGAGGATGATGAGATCACTTACGAAATGAACTGCATATACATCCCATCTGGTTGGACGCTTTGCATAGTGAACCCGCCAATCATACTAATGATCATAACATAACCGGCAGGATCGCTGGAGACCCCATACGTGCGCAATAACGCGGCTGGACATGGCGCACTTCGGGTCATCCGTCGCTCGCTGAGAGTTCTTCCCACCTGTGGGGTATCGATGTGTGGGGTTTCTCCAGACGATGCCGCATTCAACAACCGAGTGAATATTCACCCATGAGAGATGATATATAGATCTACAAGCCCACCGAGTATGTTGTTCTAAGAGAAGTGAACAAACTAAGCATTACATCGAAATGCCGGTCTTTACAGAATATGCATCCAAATCGCGGGACCTCCGCGTCCTTCCTTCCTTTTCTCTCCCGGTACCTCGTCTTACTCCGCCATTCGAACCCACCGTAAACGATGGGGTCGAGCGGTATGAGGTTGTCATCGTCGGGGTAAGTCCCTTTGAACAGCGGGTGAAACCAGCCAACACGCACGAGCGAGAAAAATAACGTCATGCAGGCTGGGCCCTCGGGGCTGATGCTGGAACTCTTGCTGGCCAGATACGGATTGAGTGACGAGTCTCTGCTTTGTATTGATTCGAAGCCAAGCACCTTGAAATCTGGACAGGCTGATGGCGTCCAACCTCGGACGTTGGAGGTGTTCAAGACATTGGGAATTTCGGACGAAATTGAGAATGAGGCATGCCAAATGTGGCAGTTTGCCTTCTGGAATACCTCATCGGACCCATCCAAGATTATTGAGCGAAAGTCCGTGGTCTTTGAAGTGATACCTCCAGCTCGGTTCCGCTACGAGGCTACTATACATCAGGGACGTATTGAACGGATCATGGAGACTGACCTCCTACGGTATTCCAAAAGAGGGGTGCAAAGGGACACCAAGTTAGTCCATGTTCAGCTGAACGAAGATGACAAGGAGTTTCCCGTCCTGGCGGAGATTGAGACCCGCGGAGTAAGAAGATTGATCCGCACAAAGCACCTTGTCGGAGCAGACGGAGCACATTCTATGGTGCGTCAGTGTATGGGGTTAAGGTTAGAGGGTCAATCGCTTGACCATATCTGGGGCGTTATAGACTTGGTAGTGGACACTAATTTTCCTGACATTCGTCGGCGATGTGCCATTCATTCTCCGGCTGGCTCAGTCATGGTCATTCCACGAGAACGGATCGTGACGGGGGAGTATCTTACCCGACTTTATGTACAGGTGCCTGGAATGGCAAACCCCGATAGCGATATAGCGGTGGGCGCTACCCCAGTATCAGAATTCGATGATGCCAGGGCACGCAGACAGAAGGTGACCAAGGAGGGTATCTTGAAGCAAGCATCGGACGCATTCAAGCCATATTACCTGAGGCCGAAGAGTGACGAATCTATCGACTGGTGGGCAGCGTATCAAATTGGACAGCGGGTTTCGCCAGAGTTCACCGTCAAGGACTCTGCTGGAGTCCCTAGAGTATTCATTGTGGGAGACGGTATGTGCACCTGTACTCAGGACTGAAACCGAATGCTAATGACCATAGCTTGCCATACCCATAGCCCCAAGGTACAATATTCCAACTAATCGTGAGACGCGGCTAATCTTTGTCTAGGCCGGTCAAGGCATGAATGTGTCCATGATGGACTCCTATAACCTCGCTTGGAAGCTGGCCTACCACATCCATGGACTCAGCCCAGCGTCTGCCGAGCCAGGACAGCCACACCCCCTTCTCGACACTTATCATCTGGAACGGCATGCCAACGCGCAGCAGCTGATTGATTTTGATCGCAAGTTCTCTACCATCTTCTCGGGTCAACTGGACACGGAGGAGTCAGGGATGTCGCACGCGGAATTCGTGGCCACATTCAACACCGGCAACGGCTTTACCAGCGGCTGCGGCGTGGAATATGGAGAGAGTATGATCGTTGACAGAACGGCATCGGACGGACAGGATAGCCCCATCCGGGGCACTGATTACTTGTCCGGGATACTGCGACCGGGCAGACGATTGCTGAACGTGAAATTGAGGCGCCATGCGGATGGATGGCACCGGGATATCCAGGATGGTCGGTATCATCATCCCCGCTACCCCTTGCATATGCTAATCATGGCCACACGTTTAGACCTGGCATCAACGGGCCGGTTTCGCGTCCTGACGCTCACGTCCGATGATCTTCTCAACGCCCAAAGCGCGTCTGCTCGATCATTGCAGGATGTGTCTGCATTGCTGGGAACTTTCCCAGCGGGGGTCATCGAGCAGATTGTGGTGCACCCGCAGCTCCCGAATGATTTCGAATGGGACGACCTTCCGGCGTGCGTGAAGGAGCATGCGGAGATGCGCTTCTACAACGGAAGCGAGCTGGAGGATGCGTATGGAATCTACGGGGTGGACCCTCATCAGGGAGCCATGGTGGTTGTCCGGCCCGACGGGTATGTTGGAATAGTTGTGGCGCTGGGGGAGGTGGATCGTGTTCGAGAGTACCTGCGTCGCTGTATCCGAACGAAGTAGAGATGGTTACCACACTTGTACATATTATCAGACCAATGAGGATGTTATTTGTCACGCTGGAATTGGTCACGGTCCCTCACCAGTTCAGCCTTGTTTTCCGAGATGCTCCGGAAAGACTATTATTGTCGGATGCATGCATGGCTGATGGATGGCAGCCGAGAGATCCGCCTGAGCCACAACATTCCGGGCGGGTAGGCATCACGTGTCTAATCTGGATACACGCTTCATACAAAGTATCTAGTCTAGTATCTAACTAGTAGGTAGTTACAATTCCAGTCTGATGAATGATGATATTATTAACATCTTCCTTACCCAGTGAGTATTAGCCTGCGCTTGACCGCTACCAAGTGAAACCCCTACTCCATCCCACTAGTTTAGAGTGATGCACACCGTTAAGACTGAAGAGACACTTGGCAGGACTGCACAGCCACACCAACGGCACATTCGCGCCATTCTTCCCCACTTCTGAGCCGGCCAGCCTGCATCCCCGAGTCGAACTAGACTGATTAGTTGGTTATCTGTTGGGATCGAGATCGTGGGAATGCCATGGAGGGGTTGCATCCGGGTGTGGACGACCACGACCAGCCAGCCTTACCACCATGTTCCAGTGACCCCGGGCAAAAAGCAATGAATCACCGGTCGGGATTGATCATAATAATAATTGCAGCCTAAATGTGGATTCACCTGGTGCAGTTGGTGTGAGAATGAATGACTGACTGAGTCTTGGAGGGGCGGGGCTCGTCGTCAGTCCGTCAGCCGCGCCCTCCATCATCATCTTCCACTCTCTTTCTCTTTTCTCCACTCGCTCAATCCACTGGGCTGATCCCTCTCTCCCCTCCACCCCCCACCCATTCCTACTACTAATAGCTTCCCTTCGCCCCTGGGTGCTTGGTAGTCTGCACCTCAAAAAGTAATCCTCTGTGAGGATTATCTGTTATACCTTTCTCTGACAACTTCGTTCATCCTTAACTACTTAAGTGTTCCCTGTACCATGACCCGCCCCGAGGACGACCTGGCCTATGGCCAGTACTACCAGGACTCCGCCCGGGGAGCCTCTTCCGGAGACTCCTCCAGGGGTCTGAGCGACACTTTTAAGAAGCTGAAGCAGACTTACAAGTCCCACCAGTCGCAACAGGGCTCTTCCCAGCAATCTCAGCAGTCGCAGCAATCCCAGTCCGCCAGCTACTACAATGTAAGTTGTTGCCTGTACCTGGTCACCTCCCCGATCCCCGGTACTAACCGACCCGTTCCAAACTCCCAGACTTCGAACCAGACCTACCAGTCCCAAGGTCCCTCGCAGTCCCAGCAATACCATCCTCAGCAGCAACAACAACAACAGCAGCAACAACCCCATCCGTCGAAACCGCAGAAGCAGGACAAATTTTCCGGCTTGTTTGGCAAGCTGGAAGAACTCGGCAATGAGGTGGCACAGAAACTGGGTACCGCGCTCGACCCCCAGGCGTATGCCGAGTATGGCGCTCCAAAGCCGCAGACCGAGAACCGCTTCGGGAGCTTTGCGGCCCCGCGTCAGGGTAACGAGGTCAAGTGGCACGTGGATGGTTGCGCCTACTTTTATGCTGTGTCCAAGGCATTGGAGAGTGCCAAGGATTATATTTGGATTCTGGACTGTAGGTACCCAGGGGACTGCTGTGTTGGAGGGGCATGAGACTGACTATGCATTTTAGGGTGGCTCTCTCCGGAACTTTACCTGAGACGACCCCCCGCAAAGCACGAACAGTACCGGCTGGATCGGATGCTGTTGGCTGCGGCGCAGCGCGGAGTCCGGGTGAACATCATTGTGTACAAGGAGGTGACGCAGGCACTGACCCGTATGTTTTGTGCGTCTGTTGCGTGAACCGTCAAACTGACCCTACTGGCAGTCTCCTCACACCACACCAAGCACCATCTGGAAGACCTCCATGAAAACATTGCAGTATTCCGTCACCCCGATCACCTGCCCGACCGTCAGGAACTCGAGGCGTCCATCCATACGTCTCTCCAGAACTTGTCCCTCGATGCCGGCAACCTTGCCAAGATGTCCGAAGACGCCATCAAGGGCATCTACGGCATGCACGAGGATGTGATTCTGTACTGGGCTCACCACGAGAAGCTTTGCCTCATTGATGGCCGCATTGCGTTCATGGGTGGTCTGGATATGTGCTTTGGCCGCTGGGACACCAACCAGCATGAACTGGCCGATGTTCACGGTCAGGACCTGAACAAGATTGTCTTCCCCGGTCAGGACTACAACAACGCCCGAGTGAGTGATTTCCACGACGTTGCCCACTGGGAGCAGAACCAGCTGGACCGCAAGGACACTTCTCGCATGGGCTGGTCCGATATTTCGGTCAGTTTGCACGGCCCGGTCGTCGAGGATCTGAGGAAGCACTTTGTTCAGCGGTGGAACTTCATCTATGACTCCAAGTACCAGTCGCGCAACAACTCGAGATACGCCAGATTGGCCCTGTACGGCCGGCCGACCTCAGGCCCCCAGCAGCAGCAAGGGCCCCAACAGGGTGGTCAGGCCCAGAAACCGCCCGCGTCGCCTCAGCCTGGTGCCACTGGGCCTCCCCCACCGAGCTGGCAACAGCAGGCAGCGTCTCCCCAGCCTGGGGCAAATCCTGGTCCTCCTGCTCCTAGCTGGCAGCAACAGGCAGCTCCGTCGCAGCCTAGCGCCCAGGCACCTAGTTCCAGCAGCTCTTCTACCCCAAGCTGGCAGCAGCAGCAGACCGGAGTTGCCAGCAACACTCAGCCTTCCAGCACTGCCAACCCCGCGACACCTACCTGGCAGCAGCAGGCACCGACACCTCAACAGGGAGGCTACGCAGCCAGTCCTTCCCCCAACCCGAGCAGCCAGGAGAAGCCCAGCTGGCAACAGCAGCCTGCGCAGCCCAGCGGTTACCAACCCCAGGCACAAACCACTGGCAGCCAGGAGAAGCCCAGCTGGCAACAGCAGAGCTCTGAGCCTCCTGCGTACTCGGCCCACCCACAGCAGCACTACACTTACAGTGGTGACTCGTTCCCCCCACCCCCTCCTGGTCCTCCGCCAGCCCAGAACTCTGTGCAGGCGTCTTACCAGGCGTACAACCCCCAGCAGCCGTCGCCTCAGAACCAGACACCCACCCAAGGCCAGAGTCAGACTCCTTACTATCCGCCTCCCCCGAACCAGGAAGTCCACCACTCGCAAACACGCGGTATTCACGACGCGCACCAGAGCGGATATGGCGACTCTGAGAGGGGCTTCAACCCCCGCCGTCTGCGTGAGAACTTCATGGACTACGGCAACGTCCTGCGTGGCGAGTTGGCAGGCCAGATCCATCAGTACCAGGATCGGTTCTCCACTCATGGCCGTCAGGTTAACCAGCCCCGTGGTAACATGACCTGCCAGATCGTGCGCAGCTGCTCGAAGTGGAGTAACGGCACTCCGACCGAGCACTCCATTCAGGATGCGTATGCTGCGGTCATTCGCAACAGTCAGCACTTTATCTACATTGAGAACCAGTTCTTCATCACAGCGACCGGTGACGCGCAGAAGCCGGTGGAGAACAAGATCGGTGTTGCGATTGTGGAGCGCATTCTGCGCGCTGCCCGTGCTGGTGAGAAGTTCAAGATCATCGTCGTGATTCCCTCCGTCCCCTGCTTTGCCGGAGATTTGAGCGATGAATCCACCCTTGGTACCCGCGCCATCATGGAATTCCAGTACAACTGCATCAACCGCGGAGGCAGCAGCATCATGGAGATGATTGCCAAGGAGGGATTCAACCCGATGGACTACATCCGGTTCTATAACCTGCGTAACTACGACCGCATCAATGTCAGCGGCCCGCTGATGCAGGCTGAGCAGAGCAGCGGCGTCAATTACGAGGATGCCCGCAAACAGCACGATGTGACTACCGGCGGCCCTGGTGGTTATGGTCCTGGTGCTCCGCGGGCAGCTTTCGACACCACCGCGCCTTACCAGCAGTACCAGCAAGCTGCCCAGCAGGTGGGCGGCAAGTCTGGCCAGTGGGATAGTGTGAGCAGCTGCTACATGCTCAATGGCCCTGATATTCGCAATGTGCCCTGGAACGGACCTCCGGAGGCCGAGATTGATGCGTTTGTCACCGAGGAACTCTATGTTCACTCCAAGGTACGTTAGCCATTCACATGGTATAAGTGCAGAACTAACAAGATGCAGGTGATGATTGCTGACGACCGTGTTGCCATTGTCGGATCGGCTAACTTGAACGACCGCTCTCAACTGGGAACTCACGACTCGGAAATTGCCATCGTCATTGAGGACTACACCCCTGTGCAGTCCCGCATGAACGGCCAGCCTTGGACTGCCAGCCGGTTCGCTACCTCCCTCCGTCGTCAGCTGTTCCGCAAGCACCTGGGACTGCTGCCACCACAGGACATGGAGCGGCCGGACGGCAACTTCGAGCCAGTGGGCGTTCCCAACACCACCGACTTCGAGTCACCCGAGAGCCAGATTGTGGCCGATCCGCTGGCGGATACGCTGCACAGTATGTGGAACACGCGGGCTCGGACGAACACGGAGGTGTTCCGCAAGGTCTTCCACTCGGTTCCGGACGACTCGGTGCGCAACTGGGCTACGTACAAGGAGTTCTACGGATACTACTTCCACAACGCGGACAAGCAGGCGTATGGCGAGGACGAGTCCAGACCTGCTCGCTACAAGTATGGGCACGTGGTCCGCGACGACTTCCCTCCGGGCCCGGAGGGTGTCAGGCAAGTCAAAGAACTGCTCAGCCAGGTCAAGGGCACGTTGGTGGAGATGCCTTTGATGTTCCTGATTGAGGAGGATGTGGCGAAGGAGGGGTTGACGCTGAATGAGATTACGGAGCCAATCTACACTTGATTGACTGATTGACGGCCATCTACACCTGATTTGACGAGATAAGCCGATTACCAGTTGTCATGCTTTGTTAGTTAGGGAGTACTAGCCATGAATTTGATTCTTTGAATGAAGCGGATGAAGTGTGGTTGATGTTCTTGATATTGTTCTCGAGAACAATACTAAGCGGCTAGTGCTGATTGGCGCCTGTCGACTAACTTTGCACCTAGAATTCCCGAGTTCGGGAAACACCTGACTGCATGTTTGTCTGCTCAAGCTATTCGTGTGCCCTAAAGTGAAAGATGTCTTTCAGCTCTAGACTGGATGATGTACCCACGCGTACTGCATTTGCCTGCATACAATGCACAACACCTTCATTTGGTCTACATTCCATCCCCAATGCAGACAGTCTCTCTCAGCAGGTAGCCGCAAGAATCCGGTACCTTTCGTATTCATTTATCTCACCCCTGGTCCTGATAGAGCTTCTGTAGGACTAGTTCCACACCAGGAACAATAGAAGCCAAACTAAAGCCATAGCTAGTATTCACTAGAACACCCCCAAATCAGGGGTCCTGAAGTAATGCCAGACAATCCCAACTGACAATCTCCGATCAAATCAACCACCTGCAATGGTAATTTACACCTATCCCCTTGGAGGATTGACCCTGTGACACTGATTCATTCATTCATGAATCCGAATCCAATGAATCTCAATCCAATCAAACGCACTCCCTGAATCATGAAGCACGAAGATGAATCCGGACCGGTGCCCTACCCCATAGCACAGACACAGACCCATACTATCCATCAATGTAGACTTCAATGAACTCCCTCCCAGCAGGAGAGGAACTATACGTAGTAAAATATCTATATAAACCCCCTCACCCTCCCCTCAAACCTCGATCTTGTTTCCTCATCACAAAATCAAAACAAGCATTCCAAAAAGAAAACTTTTTGCAACGCAAATCAACTATCTATCACCATGTCTCCCTACGAAGTTGCTAAGGACTCAGTCTCTTGCGGTATTTACCTCCTTCCATCTCTTCCTTCATTTTAATCATACATGAGAATATGATATACATGGTCATGCAAGCAAAGCTAATAGATATATATGATATAGCCGGCTCCCCCGGTGGCGGCTGCGTGGTCATGTAAAGACCCTCCGCATTAACCACGAGATAACCCCGATTTCTTCCATTTCATGTTAAAGTTTCCAACCAAACCGCCAACTCGCAATGTCAATCGATAATAATATGAAAGAATAGTCTATGTTCGCTGTGACTATCCTCAAATCCAACATCAAAAGAGACCCATGGCCGCTTATCTCGGACCCTCTACATACCTACCTATCTACCTCGCAATTCGTTTCGGATCAAAAAATAACTCTACAAAATATCAAAAATAATACCGGGGGAAGATATGCTCTTGTGCTGCGTTGCACGTGGCGCTGAACTTCTTGCCTTTATTGCAATATATTGAACCTCGATCCTGTCTTTGGTCTTTTATTCCGACTCCTTTCTTTTTATGCTCCGCATTTTTGGATAATATGATTGTGGAAACTGGATGGTCTATTTGGGTGTTGGGTTTTATGTTGGGTTGGTGGTTTTGGTTTGGTTAATGGATACTATTTACTCGGGAGGTCATGTTTAACTTACTGTTTGGACAAGTTATTGTTCAGTTTTCGGGATAGGATTGGAGGGGATATTTATTATATATCTTTTATAGAGTCAATATATTTATATTCGATTCTATAATGCTTTCTTATATACTCCGTAGGTGCCTTCGTAGGCTGAAGGCGGGTGAGAACATAGGCGGTGGTGGGTTATGGCAGCAATCCCTCGCGTAGTCCTGCAATAAGCTTCCGTATCAAAGGGTTGACTTCTCCCGTCAACTTCTCTATCTGCATTACCTCCCTCTCAATCTTGTCTTCTATATCACGGAGAAGTTCGCGTGTCGCACTCAGTGCCCCATACTCGCGTAGCAGAAGCACCAGGCAGCTGTAGTTCACGGAGTTGCCGCAGGGATCTTTCTTCTCCTCTGCACAGGAGCAGCTACTCTTGCTTGCGTCCTTGCGTTCAAAAAGGTATCGAGAGATCTGCGCCCGACTGTCCGGTTTGATATTAGCCAGTCGAATAACCGGGTACGAGAGGACGCGTGCATCACTGAAACCACTCATCTTGCTCTCCCGGTTATGGAACGAGAGGTAGTCTTCTTTGACATGGACAAATCGAGCTAGCAGCGTAGCGAGGGGAGTAAGATCAGGCTTGCAGTGGAATGGCAAGCAGCTTTCAGCTTGAAGGAGTTTGACAAGAAGTGTGTATAGTGATCCCGTGGTGTCATCGACAACGGAAAGATATTCAGCCTCCGATGGGATGCACGCGTTGTACTTCCAGGTCAGCTCACGGCTGTGACCGGCATACAGACGGTTGAAGCCACCAAGGAGGATGTCGGTTGCAAGGGCAGGGTTTGCCAGGGCGCGTGCCTCCGACACCGACTGGATAAAGGTGTAGTAGGCGCTGTTGCTAGCCTGCATGGTACCGAAGACGGCGTGTGCAGTGGGCTGGTTGTAACGCTGGGTGTTGTCCGCGGTGATATCAGTCAGGGTTGTGATCGCGTTATATAGAGATGTTATGAGAGACGAAATGCACTGGACGGCTGGAGCTGGAGCGCGTGTCCATTGATTCAATGCGGAGGGGGTCATGTTGAGGGTCTAGATCGAGGAAGACGGTGGCATGGTATTGATGTAGTTGGTGACGGCGGTAAGCGTTGTGGATTCGCCTCGATCGTAGGTTCCGGAATATGTGTGACTGGATGAGTAGGAGATGGTGGAGGCCGGAGTGGTAACCCGTGTCCACTCGGATGGAGAGCAGGAGCACGCGCTTGTAGACAGGTTGTTGCAAGGTCCATTTGCAGATAAAGCACGCCAGTAATTGTAGCCTGCCATTGCAACTCCAGCGGCTTCGATCCAGCGGCGCAGCCGCATGGACTCAACAGGGTATTTCCCGCAAACTTCTGCCTGAAGAGCCCGGTAGCGATATTCGAGGTCGATGATCCGGCTTTTCAGACTTTCCTTTCCTCCTTCGAAAGAAAGACTTGGCATTCTGCCAAAGTCTGTTTGGTATACTCCTGAGCTAGTGGCATTTGCACCCCAATACTCATCGTTCAGCATGTGACATTCATCAACCACGTTCTTGATGTCTCGGAGGAGTATCCGGTCCATTTCGCTTAGCTTCATACCAATAGCAAACTCGAGGATAGGCCAGAAAGTCCTAGGTCATATTAGAAATCAACAACTGAGAGATGCATGTTGACGACGTACCTAAACGCAGAGCTCTTCCTGCATCCAAAGGACATTGGCTCCGGTGCGACAGCTTTCCCAAGGAGCTCAAGGATGAGCATACCCTGTTCACGATCGAACTGAATAGCTTCAGTGGCCACTTCATAAATCAGTGTCCGCAGCTGAGCCTGTCTGTCGCCAAACTCTTTGTTGCATGTACTAGGACAAGAGCAAGACGAAGCTACAGAGCACCGATCCAGACATCGGGTCAGCATACTGTAGACTTCCGCTCTGCTCTGTGAGTCTAGCTGATCGGAAAAGACTACACTATTAGCTGTGTGCAACAGAAGCAAGAATCGTACATACCATCACACAAATGGCCCAATTCGATCAGTTTCACGGCCGTTGCCGTTCTCTCCGGCAAGGCCTCAGGGACAACCAAGGGAAGCAGATTCCTTCCAACATTGATGGGGCGAGAAGATACACTGCCACAGCGCATGGTATCCCAGATACAAGCAAGCTTTTGCGCGGTAGTGATGGCAATTTCATTGTACTTGCTGATCCGCACTGGCAAGGTTGTGAACGCGCCGGACTTGCGGACAGAGATTTCGTCGACGGTTGTTGAGTTGATCCAGGCTGCTGAGCACTCCATGATGAATGACAGGGCGCGTATTGTATGACTTGAAATATGAAGATGGAAATGAAAGGTGATTGTGCGTCTCGTCGAGCTTTATATAATTCAGGGGGCCGGACTACAGCAGCAACCAGACCTGTAGCTCAACTTGCGGGATTCATCATCTCTTCGTCGGTGTATGCACGATTCCGATATATCCACCCGGTCTCTGCGGTTGACCTGCAAATAGGAGCATAATATCGGACGGAGCGCACTGGGATGGTGCGGTTCTCCGGAGACATATCAGATCCTGGGTTGTGCCTTGCGTTCCAGGAGCCATTGCTGCATGTGATATCCCATTGCGGTGGCGTCCAGCCCACCTGGACCCGAAGAAGCTGAAGCTGAAGGATTCTCTGGGAGTGAATACCAATAAGAAAATAGTGTTGTCTGCCACATTAGCCATTCCTCACAGAGGAGAAAGGCTCACGTTCGAGGCCACTAGGCGTATTGTTGTCTACATTTTGATGAGGTAGTATTGGTTCATAATCAGTGTTCAATACGTGGAAGTTGCAGCAAGTCAAGCAATCCAAGGCGAAGGCGAATACAGCCAGTCATGTGCCCAGCACGAATTTAGAGCCTGTCCCACATTTTCTTCATCATCAAACTCGATCGACTCGTGGGATACTCAAGCTTGGACTCCGTTTGCTGCAACTAGCTGACCTAGAATTACGACCACGATGAGCCAGATCCTAGATCTGATTCTTCCTACATTCAGTCCGACCAAGCCACAATCCAAGACGCTATGCACACTACTCCCACTTTGCTGCAGCAAGATGCACATCTCATGTACACTCCCAATAACGATGGCTTAGCCACAGCAATGAGGCTTCGTAGCCGCAAACGAGTTGTAATTGGTCCCATGGCTGCATAACAGCCGCATGTGTACGTTGTATTGTTCGATTAGATTCACCCAGGTTAGCTATCTTGCAGCTAATATTGACCATTAGTCCTGGGGCTTCCCCACACTGTTTCTGAGAGTGAGTCTTCTCTCCTGCGACGATCTAGGCTGGACATTCATGAGCAGTTAATCCAAAGCCACCGCTTCTTAGTCTAACGGTCGCAGATACCGGAAACCAACGTGCCGGTTCGATCTTCATCCACTAATGAATTCTGCGAACCAATGCTTATTGGGCTCATCTGAAGCCTTCAGAGCGAACCTAACCCTCGAGTGCTCAAACAATAAATCCACCAGTTTCAACCAGATCAATATCACTCATATTGTGATACTAATATCAAGAAAGAGATTTACTGCGTGAGCGTGGAGTATGTTTCATCTGAATGTGGTTCATGAAGCCTACTTTTGGTGAGAATAGTATACAATGGCGAACATGCCGTACGGAAGTCTCCTTAGTACAGGTAGTATCTCAACTTCAGTGATCTCATGTCCGATTCGAAATAAGATAATAACAGAAACGAGCACTGGGCAGATGATGAGGTAAGAAACAGAAGTGCGGAGACACCATCCACGGTTCAGACGAATCATGGTTTCCAGCATATGGGATCCCCTCCATCACGGTACTCAATCCCCGTCATATCCAGGGTCAAACACAGAAACCCAGTGCCAATCAGAGTTGGTGACATCGGCATCCGAACTTTAGTGTACGTCCATGGCAGATGCACTGACGTAAATAGCTACCTACCCCCCTTAAACTGGTTATATTTCCCAACTTGAACTCATCTACATCAGCGCCTTCAGAAATGGGGTTTCTTGCACGATGAGGTCTCGCATTTACTGGGCTATTCTCTTTCTTCTGCTTGTCTCATGTGTCTCGGCCAACGATCAATATGTGATGGGAGTGGCACCCACCACCACAGAACCAGAATGGTTCAAGACCCGACCACAAAGCTTTCAGGGTGTGTGACTCTGTACTTGTCCGCTTGCCTGACTAACATATCAGGATACACGGCGACCGGGGCTGCGCCGTTTCTGGCGCAGACTAACCCTGCTCCCTTTGGCAATCCGGCGACCTACACAGCCAACCACCCGCTGGAGACGTCGCAGCCCATCCGGGGCGGTAAAGATCGCAATATTTTCCATCACATGGGAATCTTGAGGTACATTCATCCATGTCTTACTTCCAATATGCAGCTACATAGCCTGATAGTCCCTACTATCCCCGAGCGGATGGATTCGGTGTGGACGAATTCCCACGCCCCAAAGGCTCGAACATCACGCAAATGCATATGCTGCACCGACACGGCTCACGCTATCCCAACAAGGACGAAGGTGATGATTTTGCCAATTGGATCAAGGCCATCACCAACGCTACAGCCCACGGGGCCGTATTCAGAGACGAACTCTCATTCATCCACGACTGGACCTACAGCCTCGGAGCTGATATGCTTACCACACGAGGGCGAGAAGATCTATTAGAAAGCGGCATTCTCAACTTCTACAACTACGGCCATCTCTACACCCCAGGAACTAAGATAGTCGCGCGCACCACCACTCAAGACCGCATGCTGAAGAGCGCCGAGAACTTCCTAGCGGGATTCTTCCACCTAGACTGGGACGAGCACGTCAACCTACTCGCCATGATCGAAGAGAAGAATTTCAACAGCTCCCTCCAAGCCAAAAACGCCTGCCCAAACGCCATGAAAATATCCTTCGATGACTACGTATCCGACACCGTCACAAAATGGAAAACCCACTACCTCTCCCACCGAACCCACCACCTCAACTATCTCTCTACCGACTACCACTGGACTAGCAACGACAGCTTCAACGCGCAAACCCTCTGCGCCTACGAAACCGTCGCCCTCGGCTACAGCCCCTGGTGCTCGCTCTTCACCTTCCCCGAATGGGAAGGATTCTCCTACACCTACGATCTCACCTTCGGCGGCAATGCAGGCTTTCAATGCCCCATCAGTCGCGCAATGGGCATCACCTGGGTACAGGAATTCCTAGCACGGGTTGAGAATCGCTCGTTCTCGACACCGGGATCATCCTCTGCTGCGAACCTCACCCTGAACACGAACCCAGTTACTTTCCCAACCAATCAATCACTCTACTTCGACTTCGCACACGACAAGATTCTCCTCGGTGTCCTCACAGCCTTCGGACTACGCCAGTTCGCTGACCTTCCGTTTCCTGATTATACTGATCAATATTTTATGGATGTCTTCCCACCCCGCCACCACGCTTTCCAAACCGCCAAACTCATACCCTTCGCCGGCCGTCTTAACATCGAGATCATCCGCGCCCCACATAAGATTAACCCGCGTCGTAGCCACCATGATCGTCACCAGGACACTTATATGAAGCATACGGCAGAGACTGAATATGTGCATTTCCTGCTCAATCAGCGCACGGTACCGCTACATAAGAGTCTGCCGGAGTGTTCGTTCCGGAGTGATGGGTGGTGCGAGTTGGACGCGTTTCTACGGGCGCAGAAAGATAGTCTTCGAAAGGCGGAGTATGATTTCTCTTGTGTGGGGGAGTGGGATTTGGGGGAATTTGGGGATGTGTGGGATGGGGTTCCTGTTCTGAGGGGGGAATAAGATATCGGTATGTATGTGGTCGGAGAAAGGTAGGATATTGCGTAGCTGCAACTGTGATTAGTAGGTCATTGTATCACGAGTAATGAAAAGTTTGCAACACGGCAGGTTATCAATATCAACATAAGCAGCAGCTTGCATATATTTAGCCACTAGCTCTATCTCATCATACTATAGCAAGAGGTATCAATAGGCCTGCACATTGAAACCCTCAGGCCAAATTCAACTATGTACAGAACCCACAATCAAGGCGACGTCTCCTTCCGAATCATATCTACCCGCGCGATATCATCCGCACTTGGCTCGGGCAGGTCGGACTCGTCCACAAAAGCCTCCCCGACCGCATCTTCGACTTGTTCCAGCATGTATGAGATCAAGCCAACCGATCGCGCCATTCCTACTTGGCTCAGGCTCTCGCCGACCGCCGCTTCGATCTTCCCGTCGCCGCCATTTTGCGCCAGGTCGGCTTCGAAGGCATGGCAGAGGGACTTGAGCGGCTCGAGGAAGCGATTGCGGAAGTAGACGTAGGTCTTTTCGAGCTGGAGCTGCTTGCGTAGGTGCGGTGACGATACGATAGTGTAGTAGAGGCTGAGGGCCGCGTGGATGGAGGGGGATAGAGTCTGGGAGAACTTGATGAAGGAAGCCACGAGGTCGGATGATACGTTCATGAACAGGTCGGATGAGTTGAAGAGGGAGGGGAACACCACCGAGAAGTAATGCGGGTCGAGGTAGACGCTGGGCTCGGCTGAAGTGCCAGCTTTAGATGAGTTTGCTGCTTCGAGAATACCAGTCCTGAGCCATCCAATCGCACTATCCTTGACGCTCTGGAAGCGGTCGTCTTCCAGAACTGTTCGGATTACTTTGAATTGAGTGACCTGTGAGGGGTGCGTCCGGATGATTGTTCCAGGAATCCGCCGCACGGAGCTATAATTTTGGCGTGCAGTGCAAGCAGTCAGGGTCAGCACGAAGTCAACAAAGTCCTTCTCATGGGGTGTCGTGTCGCTTGGCTTTTGCATGGAAAAGACGGTCAGCGTAAGCAGAGAGTCCAGCAGCACTTGGGGCTGTCCGAATGCCACTTCGTCTGGAGAGTTGTATCCTCCAACAAAATTTTGGAAGATTCGTGCCAAATCAGGGAATATGACGATCGGGCTGACTTGACCAGATGAGAACAGTTCTGCGGTAGCCGCCCGCGCCGCGAGCAGCAATAAGGAGCCGTGTCTTTCTAGTGGAATCTCGTCCGCCTTCCTTGGAGGCTCCTCAAAGTCAAGAGGGAGAGGCTGGTCCTTCGGGGCCTGCAAGGCAATTTCAAGAAGTTTCTTGTCATTGAGACCGAAATCTCGGGATAGAGCCTGCGGCCGTTAGTGAAACCCAGAATGCAAGTTGTCGGTAACCTACCGTGATCTTGGCAATGATCATGTCCCTCTCTTTCAGCTCTTTATGATTGGCAAAGGCATCGCTCGGTGTTTCCTGCTTCGCCAGACGCAAACCGGGTTGCAATTTCTCTTGTAGTCTAATCGCCCAGGACATACCCGGGTCTGACGGCCCAGTAAAGCTCAGTAGGTATGACTTGAGAGCCTCGATCAGGCCGAACTGTAGGAACTTTTGAACCAAAACCGATTCATCATCACTTGCCGGGGAAGGGGATTGGACCTCTGCTTCCGGATCAGGTGCAGATTTCTCCGACAGACGCAACACGCTCGACTCGCTGGGCACTCTGGGTGGCGGAGCCGGTCTTTTGGACGGTGAAACGTCTCTGAAGAACTCCAGCAACGCATAAGTCGTCTCGTTCGTGGGCATGAGGGTATAAGCCTCCAGTACAGCCTGCAGTGATGTCGCTAGGAACCGACTGGGGGATTTGGTCTGGATACGGGAATGGAGGACCGATAGCATCGAGACTAAAGTATTGAACTGCAAGATATGGCGCGGCAGGGCCGCGTTCTTCGATCCGCCATCCGTAGCATCTTGCGGCGCTTCATCAGCCTTAGCCGTGCCATCGTCGCTATCATCATCCTCGTCCTCGGGTTGTAACTGCATGAGCGCATCGGAAACTCGCAATATCACCTCTCTTGGGTTTCCCAGGCGGGCAATGTCGTGCAGGCAATCGAGGGATTGGGGCAACATGGGCAGCAACAGCTGCACCAAGTCCCAGCCGATGTTCGTCGTCAGGACTTCATCCTGGAGGAGTTTGTGGAGAATGGGAAGGCGGGCGGGGGTGAGTTGGTATTCGAGGAGGGTGAGATAGGTCAGGTAGTCAGTGGCCGGCGGCAGGGCCTGAATGAGCGGATCTTCTTCGGCGGCCATTGCAAGGTCGGAAGTGCAACTGGGGGTAAAAGAATGCGATGGGAGAGATGGCCAGCCAGCAGGAGAGATTGCAGCTGGTCGAGGCGGGACAGCCGAAACACGAGGAGGGAGAAACAAGCAGCCAGAGGGAGAAACAGGCAGAAGGGCCATTGGGGGGAATTGCTTAATGCCAGCCTGCACCGCCCCAGTGCAGATGATGTCACCCGCCCCCCACTCTTCTCCATCAACTTTACGCTCTTCTCTTCCCTTGTACCACTCGACTCAGGATCAGGAACCGGATATTATCCCATATTCTGGTCCTAATTTCAACGATGCAAAGGCTAGAAAAGGCCGAATTAGTCACTAAATGAGTACCATTTCATTGCAACCATGACGATGGCTCAGCTAGCTAAGTAAGGAGCCGGTGATTATCTCTGTCACGGCTTCATCCCACACAAACGCCTCCTGCCTATTAAGGTAGAGATGTGCAATTCTTCGCCCGCTTTCTACGTGAAACAGAAATCATACTTTGTAACGTCTTTGACACTCCATGTGCAAGCAGATTGCAGCTATGGGCATCCACTCACAATGCCTGCTTTACTGTTTAGCCTGAAGTATACATGCCACGTGATTGGGCTGGGTGGCTGGTAATTGATAACTGTTAGTGCCTCAGGCTGCGAAGAAGCGTATGTGGCATGACCGAGGAATTATTCCCCCTCGACTAGTTAGCTCGACAACATTGGACAATCAAGTTCAAGGAACAAGGCATCCCAATCGAATGCTTGGATATTCGCATCTATTTGTGAAATCTGCCAAATCTCATCCAGGTGGGGAAGGACTGGTATGCTGTCCTGGTCGTCGACAATGATGTCGGTAAGGCTGCTTGAGCTGCTGTCGGCACAGAGGGACTCGGAAATAACCTCGCTGACCGACATATCATGTTTCTGCACAACTCGCTGAAAAGACTCAAGGAGCTTGATTGCAACGGGGGAGTCTTTTATGGCGTCCTTTAGAATGCTACATGCATTGACTACTTCCGCCCGGCGCTCCTGCCGAAGTATGGGCTCCTGAGAAAGACACATGTCCAGGAGAAGGGCCGTAATTGCGATGCCAACGCACTGCAAGATTCCGGAGAACTTCAGTCTCGTAAGCACGAAAGGGATATTTTCGGTTGCTAGCATCCTCTCCGCCTGGACGACACACCGAGCCGCTTCCAGACAAGCCTCTCTTGAGGGGGCATACATCGGATCTACCAAGCCGCGGGCTAAGTATGGGAGATGCAGCCGGCACCGTTGTGAGTGGACCAAGGAATTAATGATGTATCGCTGGATCATAATGCCCGATGCAATGTTTGGATATTTGGCGATCAGGTCATCAAGGGCATCCCCGTCCAGGCGGAAGAAAGGTGGTAGTTGTTCAATGAACGTAACAATCCTCTGGTCCACGCCCAAAAGCCGCCCAGACTCCATGTCTCCGTCATTGTATGTGGTTATCGAAGAAGAGTCTATGACTTCGCGACAAATCTCCGCTAGCTTGATACGCTGAAGGCTGTATGAGATTTCGGTGGGTTGCTCCATCGGTCGGTCAATGATGGGGGAACCAGCCATAAGTTTTGCATCGTCAACATTGCGAGGCTTTCTGACCACCATATGTAGCGGATTGATGCTGTAGGTGCCTCTATGAGGACCAGGGAATTGGGATGCCATCCTGTGCCATTCAGTAACGGGCTTTGGCAAGAGCAGCGGTGGGCGATGACACATACCAATCCGTAGCAACCAGATACCACCATACTCGTCGCTTCATTTCAGATTCAACAGAGTCAGCAGGAGCTTCCTCTCTTCTGTCTATCCCTGGTTGATGGTCGACTTTGTGCAATGAGAGTTCTCGCGCTGCTGTTATGGCTGTTGACAACAGGTCACGGAATCGAGCAGTGATACCTTCAATATTAGTGATGGCAAAGGAAAGTATGATCATTGCCTGAATTGCCTCGATAGATTGAAGGGATATGCGACGACAGTGATCTAGCAGATCAAGAGTTCCTTTCACCCACACGGAAGATGTTGCGTTCACCTTCTCGGAAGTCGCAAAGGGCGCATTTTCTGAGTCCTTGCGAGTCCATGTGAACATGGCACTCGACAGGATGCTCAAAAGCAGTGCCACCTGGCCCGGGCTTACGGGTGCGTGTTTCTCAATGTCGCCGTAGATGTTGTCTACCATTGTACGCAGTGGACCTCTGAGAATAACATGATGGATGTAGGTAATATCACGCAAGTATTTTTCAAGCAGGATCACGGACTCTTGGTGAAGTGGGATCGAGAAGTTTCTGACCGAGTGGCCTGAACTGCTACCTCCAATAGTCATAACGCTGGTTATATTCCACATCGAACATGATCGAAAAGTTGTCGTGTCAGTTGGGATTGAACTCTGTTATAATTTAGTTGCTATGGTCCTCTGCAGAGATCCGAAAGCACACATACACAAGACACCTGGCTTGCGCATTCTGCTTCGAGCCAGATCGCATCCGCCGCGGCCTGCTTATCCTTTCGCTCTAACTGCGGTCGACTCCTACGACGATCTGGCTTGGGGTCTTGCGCTCGACTAGACTGTCGGTCTGTTGGAAGAACAATCTCCTCTAGCCGTTTCAGGCGTGTCAGAATATCAGGCGTCTCGTGGCTATTGCTATTCTGAGGTTTGTCAATCGATGCTAGGGGCGAGTACAGCCCGCAGTCGATTCCACGGCTGATACAATTGGAGCAGGGAAGCTGACGGCTGCACCGCAATTTTCGCGACCGACAAAAGTGGCATGATACAGGCCTGGAGCGGGAAGTTGGCTTCTGTATTTGTGACCGAGGCATCGCACCTTTCTTGCGACGTCTGTGTCTTCGAGTGAAGTGATTATGATGGCTTGCTGCGAAATAACAAGACGTGAGCGTCGACACGAGCGTGGCGAAGGATCCGAAGACTACCCTCAATCGACCAATCATCATGACAGTAGCCCGCGGAATCTCCGCGGGTAGAGCCAAACCCTGAGAGGGAGCTCTATAAGATCCAGCCATGCTGCTACAGTCCTCCTGCTATCCAAAAGACAACACAATACATTTCGCTACCAATGGACACTATCATCGCCCAGATTCGTACTCTGGCCCTCACGGCTGATGAGCCAGGTCGCGCCAGCATTTATAATGATCTTCGCTCGCTTCTGCCGGACCTCCTGAGTCCGATGGATATGATCATGGATCTATTCAACTCGGTACTTTTTTCTTCTTCATAAAGCATATGCTGTATTGCATCTAACACACCTCATAGCACCTGCGAGCTGCAATTGTCATGCTCGGAATGAACACTGGTCTTTTCCGAAAGTTGGCACTGCACGACTCCGTATGGACATCCTCGGAGCTGGCAAAGGATCTGAGGGTTGACGTACGGCTCCTGGGTAAGCATCTCTCATCTGAAGCTGCAAAAGTTCAAGGGCACTAATATCACATCTACTTGCAACACAGAACGCATTCTTCGTTACCTTGCAGCAAATGGTATGATCGAAGAGACGACTGTTGGACACTTCCAAGCCAAGCGAACAACCAAAATGCTTGCCGATAAGCGTTCGGAGGCATTCGTACTCTATGCGTAAGAAGTATTCATCATATATGAGCTATTTGGCTCTTGATTGACTTTATCATGAGGCAGATTTGAAACCTGCGGGCCAGCCAGTCAAGCAGTTCCGGCGTTCTTCGCAGATAACAATTACGACGATATAACGGATAATAAGAACACTCCATTTCAAAAAGCCTTTCAAACAGACATAACCTGCTTTGAATGGTTAGCCAAGCATCCTAAGCTGTTTGATGCTCTACAACAAGTCATGACCGGCCTTAGGTCTACGGACTGGTTTTCGAACTTTGATCTCTTTCAACAAGAGGCTCATCGCGCTGCTTCAAGTCAAGTGCATCTTGGAGAGGACATTTTCTTCGTCGATGTTGGCGGGGGTCATGGCCACCAGTGTATTCAACTCAGGGACAAGTATCCCCATCTCCAGGGACGCCTTGTGCTGCAAGACCTGCCCGAAGCGGTCAACCACCTTCCTTCCCTGGATGGTGTGCGGGTTATGGCCCACGACATCTTCCAGCCGCAGACCATTAAAGGTATGTACATCTCGTTCTTTTACAAAGTGCCCCAACTCCGATCTAATCTAACAGTTCGGTTCAACAGGAGCAAGGTTCTACTACCTGCGACGAATCCTGCACGACTACCCAGATTCCCAATGTATCCAAATCCTTCAACATCTCGCCACTGCCATGGAATCCGATTCAAGAATCCTCGTGGACGAGATTGTGCTACCGGATGTGGGGGCCCCTTGGCAGGCAACTCTGGCCGATGTGTCATTGATGATCTCGCTTGGTGGTAAGGAGCGAACAAGGAAGCAATGGATGGAGCTGGCCAATCGTGTGGGACTGTGCATCGAGGAGATACACACTTATGATGGGGAGTCCAGCACGTCTATAATTGTGCTTCGGCAGGAGTAAGGGTGCGTTCTTTGTGCATAAGACTGGTGCGTGGGTGGATAGTCTGATTGGAAATTTTGCGACTGACTGTATACCTCGCCCTCTATCAGCCACAGCTTTTTCCAGATGCTCAACCTATTGGTTATCATATTATACTATACCTCC